CATAGGAAAAAGGGTCTATTTGTTGAATAGAGCATGAAAATAAAATAAAATAAAATTTTCTTACCAGCTTATCTTCTTCTACTCTAATATGATTGTATCTGAGTCTAGAATAATAACAGATAAGATAAAGTAAGATAATGTAAATTTATTAATATAATATATATTTTTTATCTTATTCTTATTCAATTTTTATGTTCTATCTTGTCTCCTGAACAGAGTTTGTGTGTGTAATTTGCCTTTTGATGGCCACAAAATCTGGATATTTCTCTTTTATCACTATGGGAGATCAAGCAGGCATTTTCTTCTCAAAGGCACACTATATCTTGAAAGGTATTGTGATATATATTTGAACAAGTTAGGTAGAGGGGTATTGTTTCACTGGAGAATGATTGAGTGTAAAGGAGGAAAGTGCAGTGAAGTTTCCCACTGCTTGTTGGAGTCACACCTCTAAAGTTTTAAGAATGTGCTTTGTATACGTCAATGTCGGGTATAAATTATACATTGATATGTATGATTAATTAATTTTAAAATTGTGCTTAGTTTACGTTATAGTACTACGGTAAATGATCAATAATGTAATTACAATTATAATAATGAAAAAATAAAAAACTATTCAAGCAAATCAATCAGAATCTTAGTCACATCAGCAACAATAGCGATGTCAAAACTCAGTTAAACTGTATATAGTTGAGAGTACAATAATTAAGTAGTAATGATCAGAAGTGAGAATGGCATGCATTATCCGGTTTGCCTTTGGAGTTACATAAGAGGAAGCAATGGGATCAAAGATGGTGGTGTCCCATGGCTCCATGCTTACCCTTTTCTTTCCTTCTCTTCCAAATCAGATACATTAGGGTTTTCTTTGTTTGTGTATGAACATCAAAAAGAAAATATTGTCTTCAACATAAAGGCAAAGGCATCTTATCCTAACTTGTTTACCTCTTCTTTTAATTTTTATAATTACTTTTCCCCTTTTAAAATCCAGCTATTTGAGTAATTGCCTTGTGTAATTCAAAAAGAGTGACAAGAATAAATGAAATTATAAGTATGTAAAATGTAATATTTTTCAAATTAGACTTAGTCATGAAATCGATTAAAAATAGTACTAGTTTATAATTTATTAGTTTAACTATAATTAAACCGATATTTAACTGGAGGTATAAGATATACTTTTTAATATTATATAATATATAAAGTAATAAATTAATATAAAATTAGAAAAAAACTAAGTTAAGTTAAAATTTAAATTAGCATAATATGATTATATTGCATGTTTTATAAGATTAAAAATTATCATAAATCATTAAATAATAGTAACTTATGTATATATATTCATTAAAAAAATTAGAATTAAAAAATTAAAAAATAAATTTTTGATACAGTAACCGACTCAAACTAACTTTTCCATAGTTCTTGCTCGATTTAGTCAATTTTCTTCTTGATTAATTTTTTAGGTTGTTCAAAACGATTATTTAGTGGTTTCTAATCAAAGTAGGTGAAACAATTAGTTCGGTTTGAATTGAATAAAACTCACACAAATTATTGCTGTTTTTTCTTTTCTGTGGAGAAATTTGAATGAATTTGATGAAATACAGTGAATTGAAAGAAGAACCATTAAAAGGATTTTTTTTAAACATAAAATGTTTAATTGGAACTTTCCTTTTAAAAAAAAAACAATTAAGGATATAAGTACGGATTGGTTGAATTAGTGCAAGAGATACAAATATAAGACTCTGTACTTCTTTACTCTCAACTGCAAGAGTACTTAAAACTAACTCTCTCTCTCTCTCTCTCTCTATATATATATATATATATATATATATATATATAATTTTTTAATTATAATTATATATTATTTAAATTATTTGTATCAAATTTATTAAAATTAAACACATATAAAATTATTACTAAATAATCTTTATTTTCATAAATTTAAAAAATATAAATTACATTAATTTTGATGCACATAAATAAAATATTAAATAATTTTGAATTGATCTCAATTTTTTTATATATAATTTATATGATTAAAAATTTTAATCTATCGATTGCTTTTAAAATTAATTTTAAAAAATTATTAAATAATGTAAAAATAAGTATAATTTATACTGATATAATTTTATTTATAATTATTGAATTTTATAAATTATATATATTATTTTAAGTATAGACTTGTAATTTAACTCAAATCAGTTCGTTTATGACCAGATTGAATTAATTTAGATCATATATTAAAAATTAAAAAATTAATTAAATTTAATCAGTACATGTTGGGCACCTAAAATTGATAGTTGGAGAGTGATTCGAGTTCAAGGCTTTAGTTGAGAATTTATAGTTTGTAGTTTAACTTGACAGTGTTAAAAGTTTGTAATTTATAATTAGTTTATTGAATTCGAGTTTTTTTTTTAAATTATATGGCAGTTAAAATGTGTTAAATTATTGAAAATAAACTGTGAAGATTATGTAATGTGAGTATAAATAATTTAAATAAAGAATATTTAAAACTAACTTTCAATAAATTAAATGTTAGAGAATTTTATTAGTTAATTTTTGAAAGTTATAATTTTTCTTATTTAATAACTTTACTTATATATCTATTAAAAATATAAATTATAATTTTGTATTATCAAACATACTTTAAGATTACCATTTCATGATGGTAATTTCACTATGATGTTACATAAGCACTTGTATTGTATAGTCACATCAAAGATTTTGGAATTGAAGTTAAATGCTGGTAGATATTTGATAATTAACCACATCCTAAGGAACATGTAATAGGCGCGTAATGTCACAGATTATTTGATTGTTTTCATACAATGCCAAAACAAAAGTTTTGGAATCCAAATTATTTTGGAAAATCAATTTCTTGGTTAACCCGATCTCATCTCACAACCTCAGATATTAAAATTCAAACCTAAGTGAAACAGAATATTAAAACTCATGTTATATATGTCCTGTCCAATAATTTCAAAATTGAAATGTTATCTCATTAAATAAAAAAATATGTTGATAACTAAACTAGTAAAAATAATTCGTTTTACCCCATTAATTGTTTTACTTATGGAGAATGGTCATAATGATGTGATTGGTATATGGGTGCTACAAGATCCATGCCTTCTTATTTTACGATGCACTTTTTGCAACACGTTGGAATCATCTATGGAAAATAATTTGATTGTTGTGGTAATTTGATCCCTATGCATATAACAGCTTCCATAGAATATATTTAACAAAGAACTGTTAGATTTTAAATAAAGTTGTAGAATTATTTATAATTGATATTTAACTATCAATTTTTTTAACGTTGTTACTGTTTGAAATATAAATTGGATAAAAATAAGTTCTAAACTTGAATAATTTTTATATACTAAAAATATAAAAACTCAAGAAATGTGTCACACAAGACTTAAAAGTAATTAGGTTAGATTCAATTTTTTAATGGTTAACCTGTTTGTTTAATTCATGAGCTTAATTCTTTAAGCAAACTTAAATCAAACAATTCATTTAGTATGCAAACTTAAATCAAACAAACTTTTTTTTTTACCCCAAAATCATTACATAATACACATCTAATGCTGTATATATAATACTTTTTAACCTTAAATTATAGAAAATTACGAGACTTATTATGGTTGAATAATTTATTTGTGTATTGCACACATTACTCTTAAGTTGGAGAACTTGATGTAAGAGTTCGAATGCCATTCATATATTTCCGTTAAATCTAAATTATATTAATCTTTACTCTGCTAATGAAAAAACTTTATTATCATTTAAGTTATATCTACATTGTTATATCTACCCTAGCACAAAGATGAACACCCTTAAAGACGTTGACAGAATAGCTATATGCTTCTGTTCTCTACATTGCTTAAGCTGAATGAGAGTAATACAGACATGAACTGACGTCAATAAATAATAAATGGAAGTGCGGTATTTAAATGCAGAGCCGTAGTTAGTTGTTGACAGATGCCACAATATGAACCAAATTATATGTGCAAAAGCGAGGTATTTTACTCCCAAACTTGTGTTCTAAATATATATATATGAACCAGCCTTTACGTGACAACATAATTCTCACCATAGTGTTTTTCCTACAATAGCATTATTGTCAAGCTTATAGATTCATTTAGTTATATAATTGTAATTTTATTTTGTAAAGTATATAAATTTTAATTACATAATAATTCATGCCACAATTAATGTGGTGGGAATTAAAAAGGTATATATATATATATATATATATATATATATTCAACTTCAATGACAAAGAAGAGTACTTTGACATGATGGTCATGTCTTCCTTCAGTCCCCTCCTTCCGAGGGGAATGGTGCATTGAGATTGTACTTTTGTTGTTGTTTTTATTACTATTGTTATTTTTTTTCCTACTGCACCAAAAAAATATAAATTAGAAGAATATATATAATTCAAATTAAGAAAAGTGTTCTTATATACATCATACCGAGTTTTTTTTGTACAAGTATTTGATCTTCAAGTCTATAGTTTACTTTATGGACTAAAAATCAATTGCCACATTAATTATTTAGTCCGTTTACTAAGCAACTAGTGAACTGCCCATGTAAAATTGTTAATTGAGAAAAACGTGGGAGGAAATAGTAGTAATAGTCCTCTAATTGCGTACATATGAGTATGACATAATTAATTGTGATTAATTATGATGATTTTGTGATGATTAAAAGGGAACAAGCGCATCTTCCAGGAAGGAGACGGCTCCTTCAATTCTTCAATAATAAAGGAAGCATCGTGTCGAAATGAAAGCCGCAAGAAGCTACGCAACAGAAACATTAGAACTGTTTATCGTAAGTACCTATTTGTTGGTTACTTATGTTCCTTTCTCCTTATATAATTCCCTCACCTTATCATACACCTCATACCATCCTGTTTACATTCTTCTATCATAAGCTACCACCCTTAATTTCTCTCTCCAAGTTTCACCTTATACACACACACACACACTCATTAATTTCATTCAAATATGGAATTAGATTATGGTTTTGATTTCCAGGATTCTTTCCCATCCATGATTGCACGGCTAGGAGCTGAAGGGTTCATTGGAGAACTTTGTAATGGGTTTCGTTTGCTAATGGATGTGAACAAAGGGCTTATAACGTTCGAAAGCTTAAAGATGAGCACTTTGTTGCTTGGTTTGGAGGTGAGGGATGATGAGCTCGTGTGCATGCTAATGGAAGGTGATTTGGATGGGGATGGTGCTCTAAACCAAATGGAATTTTGCATTCTCATGTTTAGGTTGAGTCCATGTTTGATGGATATGCAAGGTATGGATCATCCAGTGTTAATGTAATGTAATGTAATATAATATATAATGTAAATCTTCTATGACCAAGTTTTCTATTTCTCTCTTTTTCAATAACAAGTTCATCCTTCTTTGTGATGAGAGAGAGAGAGAGAGAGAGAGAGAGAGAATATTGTAGTAGCTTTTAATTAAATATGTGTAATCAATGACAAAACCTACTCTTAGCTATGACTTCATTTCTTTGTTTGATGTAAGATGGTTATTGCTTTATGGGTACTCCAATATCATGTGTACTTCTTTTTGGAGGTTACGTTTAGGTAAGAAAGCTACTCAAGAATAGACATTTTAATTTTCCTTCACGTTTTTTTTGTCTTTTACTTCCCAAACTTCAAGGGAGCTGAGGCATGAAAAAGGAGAAATAATTGCATGTGTATGGAGAAAGTGACTTACGTAATATTTGAAATGATGCGGTATGTATGAGTAATGAGTTATCCGTAAGAATTTATTCAGTGAAATTGTTGTAAGTATACAGCATCGTGTTGAATATTTTAGTTTATCATACATAAGAAGTATTTATTATTTACACCTTTCTCATCGTCACATAAAGAAAAGTTTTAAATTACATAAAAGCAAGTCTAATTTTTACAAATTATCTAATTTGAATACATACACACATATATATATATATTGTATTAACGAATGCTGGATCACTTATAAGTTATAAAACAACAAAAACCAATGTTTTTTCAAGGACGAAATGCAGGAAAACGCAATTTAAATGCAACTTTTCATTATTATTTTGAGATCTGAGTATTACATATATACAGACCATTTATATTTACATATACGACTGTACAAATTAGTTTTATTGAACGTACGCTAAACTTACACAAATTTTAACTAAGAAGTTCAAATACTGTTGTGAGCCCATTGAAGCTTGTCTTTTTCTGATTGTTTTGTGCTTTGTGACCCTGTCAATAAAAGGGAGCATAAAGATGCACGACCCCTTTATCTTCCTTTCGTAATTGTCAAGTTTCTTTATATTTAAGCCAATTCCTATATCGTAAAGGGACATGTATTATAATTGAATACTTATTTTTAACTTTTTGGCTTAAAGATTGATTTCATATCTTTTTCGGCCTTGGCGGCAAATTCATGAAAGTAATTCCAGTTAAATATCAAGGGAAAAATAAACATCTAACATTTATAATATACTTTCTCCCATCTTATTCGCAAAAAAATAAATAATTAATTTATTAAGATTAACAAAATAATTATATGTTATAGAATATAATATATTTTAAAAATATTTACAGCATTAAATGATTAAATTAGTCATCTATATACTAAATGAATAATATAGATGAATGTTTGTTAACACAAATATTACAACAATAAAGAATATGATTTAAAAATGAATCTTAATTTATATATTATAATTTAAAGAAAAATATATTGATAATCGTTTATTATAAATAAGACAGGTAAAAATAATTAGTATGATATTCTAATATTGCATTTGAAGTTATTGAAATTGGGTCATTCGATCAGTACCGTGATGAGAAGGAATGGAAAGTTTATAACTAAAGGAATGGAAAGTTATATGATATCATATAGTTCCCAATGAAATTTTATAAGGACTTGTAAATTTCTTATCAAAGAGGAATTGCTTTGCTGGAAGAATCAAACTTTAACGGCGAAAGATAATTAATACGAATCTCAAGATATTTATTCCCTCAAGTCCATAATCCCACGACTAGAATAAAGATAGAACACAAACTACATATATCTGTCTGTTTATCGATGTAAAGAAAGTATAGATTAAGTTATTCAAACACACTTATTTTACTTAATAATTCTTTATAAATATTAAATTTTATCAATCTAATTATTAAATAATATTGTATATTTATATTGATATGTATATTATGTTTTGAAAAAAATTAAGATTCATGAATGTATAATTTTATAATCAATATTTATTTACATTTCAAATGCATATCAGATGTTAAATTTATCTGATAATATATATTTCAAAATACATATTAGACATTAATTTTTTTTTATAATTTTTATATACTTTATAAAAAATTTAAATTGAACGATTGAATTTACAAAATAAAATAGATTGGTTTGGGGATTGAAAACACGGGTCGATTTTACTTTTACATGTCCCCATCTTGATTCCTCCAAGAAAAGTGATATATCTCGAAAACAAAATCTATTTAAATAGCAATATGATCTTGTAGATATCATTTGGTCCGACTTTAATTTAATTTTTAGATTAAAAGTTAGCTTTTAGTTACAAAACTATTTGGTAATGTGATTATAGGTCTTAGACTTGGAAATTGAGAACGAAGATTAAGGATAGATTTTAAAGTTAACTTGTTTAAAAATTGTCATGTTACGTTTTCTTAACCAAACAAGTTCTTATTTTATTTTATTTTATTTTATTTGTTTGTAAATTTGTGTTTAGTACAATTTATCCATTTAAGAGATAGCTCAAAATAAATTAGTTAAAAATACTATAGTAGTTAGTTTTTTCTTGCTAAGATGCTATATCTTTTAATTATTGGAATAAACAAAGAAACATACAAAAAGTATAAGTAATTTAACTTTTTCAATAATGGCTGCGTTAATTGTGAACCAGATACTTAGTAGATTATTGGTTGGTCTCCCAATCAAATATAGGTCCTTAAAGTACTTTTGGTACTTCATTTCAATAAAGTTAATGCTTTTCTTTTTCCCTGCTGATTAAAAGATATTGATGCTATTATAGTAAAATGTAAAGCATTTCTCTTCATGCAACGTGGATTGTTTTTCAATTCTCATTTCATGCCATATCAACAATTTAGACCACCCATCAACTTTGAAGGTTAATTGAATACAGATACTAATTCTTATATGTGTCTTCTGTCCTTTTCGTCCAGAAAACCTAAACGGTTCCATGACTTCCGTTCTCATTAACGATCATTATTTGGTTAAATCAATTATTGCTAGCAACAATCAGCATCCTTGTTATTGTCTCAGGATAATTCTTAACACAGTGAAGCTTCACATAATAAGGAAAAAGAAAAGCACAATATGTGATTGTCTAAGGGTTTAATTGAATCAGTGGGGCATATGAAATAGAAAGAGATAGAGTTGAATAACTTTAAGATCTATTTTGTTTGGATTGTAAAAGATAAGATGTTGTATGGAAGGTGAGATCAATATTTGTCATTTTGCTTCTCTCCTAATTTGGAGGTCTGAGGAGTATGGGATGGATCATAAAATTGATCTCTTTTGCATTTTTAATATTCAATTTTTTAATGTGTTTAACATAAATCATGAAATTTTATTAAAAATTGTACCATTTAATATTATTGTATAATTTTTATAATACACTGAATCACATATGTAACTTCAATAAAAACTTACCATTTACAAGTTTTCATTATAGATTCTTATATATACATTACAAAAATATCCTTTAATATTATCCTGTTACCCGTGACAAGCTTGATTAAGTGGTAGAAACCACTTATATCTAATAGTCAGCAGAATGTTATACCAAACTAGTATTTTCTACAAGATTAATTTATCTCAACCAAGTGATCTGAAATAATACAGAACTGAGATTATGTGTCTATATAACCTTTAAAAAGTGATTACTCATGGTGAGCGTTTGAAGTGAAAATGTGAATAAACTTGAAGTTTCATTCCTCTTAACCCATTCCCCAAATTATGAAGTTTATCAAACAATCATGCTCTAACATTCCTTCCTTCCTTATGCTTGATGACATTAAAATGCCATATTTAGAAAGCTGAAAATAATGTCATTTTGAGTGCTTGCTTTCCTTGTCTTTGAATACCAACAAAATCGATATTAACAGCTAGGGAGTAGGGATTGAGTTCCTTAAAGATAGAGATTAAAAAAAAATTAATGCCTAGAAGTTAATTTTATTTTAATATATCTAAACAATAGAATGAAATATGTTACATCTTAATGCGACTCATCTTGTTTAAATCTATTTCATTGCACTCTATCTTTTTTCATCAACCATAGCCTAACTCCCAAGAGTTGAGAATCTTTTTTCTTTTTTTTTGGATACATCAAGTTTAAGCTATTTTTTTTATAAGCAGTGGATTATACCGGAAATGTGTGCAAGCAAAAAAAAAAATGACAAGTATAATTTTTGTTCCTTTATATATAATGTGCAATTTTAGTCTCTAATAATATTTTGCTCAAATTCAATTTTATGAATATTCAAATTCTACAATTGTCCTTTCATTAATTTTTCCGTTTTTACTACAATTTTTAAATTTTCATTTTTTTCAATCAAATAATTGAAAAGTAGGATAATTTTAAGACAATAAATTATTTGAACAATTCTATGAAAATTCGATGACGTATTAAGGATTTTTGAAAGTAAGGCTAAAGTTTGAAGAAGGAGAAAAATTATTATTATTTATTTAAGTGAAATATGTTATTTTAATTGGTGGGTTTTAAGTAAAAGAAGCTTGAAATGATTGAATTGATTTAGTTGGTAGAGTTTTGATTAAAAATAAAAGTTAAAGAATACTAAGTGAAGAAATATTAAAAAAAAAACCTTTATTGCGGTAATAATTCGAAAAATAGGAGATTGAAATTAAGAAAAAAGTTATTAAAAAAATTTAAATTAAGCATTGATTGCAGTAAATAGCCGAAGATAAATTATATTATTGTGCAAGTTTATCGTTTCCTTAGTGGTTTAAAAAGATCTATGCCGAACACTCTGAATTTTCGTTGCTGCAATGATCTGTCTAATGGATTAAGAAAAGTATTTTGTTGAGAACTATGGGTCAAAGATTATTGGGATCATAAACTGTTTTGTTGCCCAAGGAATCATCAATGATGCTATTAGTGCAGTAAGAGATGTTAATAACACCCCGTTGAATACAAATTACTTTTTAAAAAGTAATTACCTTATAAGATAATTGCTTTAATTTTTTTAAAAATAATTAATCATAAATTATGTGTTGAAGGGTGTGTTTAGTCGAATGTGTTCGTATTTCTCTATTTTTGTTGCTCATGAATGATGTCACTGTGTTCCAATTCTAGGGTCATCATTTTCGCCTACATAATCAGAAGCACATTCTTCGAACACTCCTGAATATATGCTGAATTTATTTGACTCAGAGTAATCTTAATTTATATTGTTTTTTTTAAGTACTAAGGATATCCTCTAGCCGACAGTCGAAGACTATTCCCTTTGAGGTTAGGATATATGCTGAAGAATACAACTGTGTCAGACTTTGTTGGTAAATAGTAATTTTTTTTGTCTTCAGACCATAAGCATCTTTCAATAGATACAATTTTGTTCAGATTGATAATCCTTGTTGAACACTGCATAACATTACAAAAAAATTATAAGTAGAATTTATTTATAGCAAGAAGTATCCACCATTTCATATGTTAGAAATAGATTTATTGCGGTTTCAATGGCACAATACATGCATGGTGTCTTTCTTTATAATGATAATAATATGGACTAATTTGTCCATTATGAAGAACATATTACAAGACTTACGAACGCAACATATAAACCGCAATAATTCTAAGTTCATAAATAACCAAGGTAATTGTACATGTGAATTCAATGGTCAAAGAAACCGGCTGGTTTTTTCTTGCCATTTTCTTGATCATTTTTCTCCGTATCTGAATGAGAAATAGAATTTAATAACATTCTAGGTGCAAAAATGGTTATAAAAATAGCTTCTGTTATTCTTCACCATGAACCATAAAGTATTCTAGTGTTCTAGAACGTCATCTCTGACCTTCACTTTGACTGTGTTCCCATCTATTTCAGTGTTATCTTATACCCCTTCATATGAAAAACACATAAATCACTGAAATCAGAGTTCTCTAGTTATGGCTTTGAGAAGAAGTCATTACTTATAAAATATGATAAAATGGTGGATAGCATCATGGTGTTATTTTATTTGTCCCTTTTACTCTTCTACTTGAAAACATGTAGTTCAGTAGATATTCTAGCTGTGAATCAATCTATTATAGATGGTGAGAGTTTAGTTTCAGCAGATGGAACATTTGAAGTGGGTTTCTTCAGCCCCGGGAATTCAACAGGTAGATATTTGGGTGTGTGGTATAGGAATTTATCCCCTTTAACGGTTGTGTGGGTGGCCAATAGGGAAGCACCTTTGCAGAATGGTTCAGGAGTCTTAAAATTCAATGAAAAGGGGGTTCTTGTGATTTTGAATTGCTCAAATAGCTCTGTTTGGTCATCCAACATATCAAACCAAACAGTGAATAATCCAATTGCAAAGATCTTGGACTCGGGAAATCTTGTGGTAAAAAATGGACAGGATACTGAGGAGGAGCACTTTTTGTGGCAGAGTTTTGACTATCCATGTGATACAATGATGCCGGGAATGAAGCTTGGATGGAACTTGGTGACTGGTCTAGATAGATTTTTATCATCTTGGGAAAGTGAACATGATCCAGCTAAGGGAAAGTATTCTGTAAGGGTTGACCTAAGAGGGTATCCACAACTAGTTTTCATGAGGGGATCTACCATAAAGTTTAGACTGGGGTCATGGAATGGCATTTCTTCAACAGGATATCCAACTCAACAATTGAAGCAAAAACAAAGATACAAATTTGTCATGAATGCAAAAGAAGTATATCATGTGTATGAAAACCTTGATAGCTCTATGGTCTCCATATATACTTTGAACCCTTCTGGCATTATGCAGGGCTTAGCTTGGACAAGTAAGACAAGTGGTCAAATAGTTATTGCAGCTGGAGGGAGAGACACGTGCGATAATTATGCTTTGTGTGGAGCAAATTCGGTGTGCAATATTGATGGCAACACTCCCAGATGTGAATGCCTTAAAGGATGTGTTCCAAGCATTCCTGAACAATGGAATGTATCATATTGGTCTGGTGGTTGTGTTCCACGGAAAAAATCTATATGTGAAAACCACACCACCGATCGCTTTTGGAGGTACACAAACATGAAATTGCCAGACACATCATCATCATGGTTTAATAAGAGCATGAACCTTGAGGAATGTCAGAAGTTATGTCTGAAAAGCTGTTCTTGTACAGCATATGCAAATTTGGATATCCGTAGAGGAGGAAGTGGCTGTCTACTTTGGTTCGGTGATCTGGTTGACATGAGGAAATTCTCTCATCGGGGACAGGACCTTTACATCAGAGTTCCTGCAGAACTAGGTATAATTTTTTTAGCTTCTTATTTTTCCTTTCCTTTGTGATATTGGAATGACAATATTTCATATTTCTAACAAGCAAATGGAGAGGGGTAAGGCAATGAGAGCTTCTGTGGTGAGTTCAACAGAACATTTTTGGTATTGCTGCTTGAAATTTTATTCTCAAGTCAAGGCCACAATAATTGAGACAAAGACCTGAATGTTGCAAGATTTTGCTAATTGTCATCATCAGTCATTCTTGTTAACTGTTAGGTTGCTTTTATTTTCTAGTTTATTTCCTTATTTTTTTCACATTGTGAGGGCTAAATTACATACTAGTATTACTGTTTTTTATATACACCACCAGTGTTGAGAAACTAGTCACATTTTTATCAGTTCTAATTGAATCATATACACCATACTAATACTAGTTGGTGATTAATCATGCTTTTGCACCTATCAGATAGCGTTGAGGTTCATGGCCACGGAAACCAGAAGAAGATCATAGGAATCACAATTGGTGTGTTTATTATTGGATTCATTGCGTGTGTCTGCAGAATAACACTTAGAAAACGAGGTAAATTTTGTATTAGAAATAACTTGTCGTATATCTGTTCGAAAAATTTTGGAAATTATGTTACTTATCATTGAGCATGAATTTAAAAATATTTTTAATTGTGGGCGTCAAAAAGTAGAGAAAGAAAAGGACAATTTTTGTCATGTTAATAATTTCTTCTTATTATCATCTTACACACTTTAGCGGAAGCCAGAGTATCTTCTCATCTCCCATCATTTCAATGGGGGCAAGAATATTTTAGATTGAGGGAGGAAGATATGGAGTTGCCAACATTTGATTTTCCAGTCATTGCTAAAGCCACCAACAATTTTTCTAGCAGAAACAAACTAGGGGAAGGTGGATTTGGACCAGTGTATAAGGTAATATAGTCATGTTCTATAAAGACCTTTTTCTTTTTCAACAGAATCTTATAAGCATTACACATGATGGTTTTCAGGGTACACTGATAGATGGGCTAGAGGTAGCTGTGAAACGGCACTCAACGATGTCTGATCAAGGATTGGATGAGTTCAAGAATGAAGTTCTGTCGATTGCAAAACTTCAGCACCGTAATCTTGTGAAGCTTCTTGGTTGCTGCATTCAAGAAGAGGAGAAAATGTTGATCTATGAATACATGCCCAACAAGAGCTTAGACCGTTTCATCTTTGGTTTGTGTCTTAACTTACTATAAAACATATATGGCAATCTTTATATGATTACCTTTAAAGCCTGTTAATAAAGCAAGTGGTATACTGAACATGTAAGTGAAATTAACCAGATGGAACTAGAAGCAAGCTCTTGTCATGGTGTCAACGTTTCCATATTATCTGTGGCATTGCTCGAGGGCTTCTCTATCTTCACCAAGATTCTAGACTGAGAATTGTTCATAGAGATTTGAAAACTAGCAACATCCTACTAGATGCCCATATGAATCCAAAAATCTCAGACTTTGGCATGGCTCGGACTTTAGGGGGTGATCAAAATGAAGACAAAACCAAAAAAGTGGTTGGAACATAGTAAGTTACCTTCTAGTACTTTGTGCATAGTTTATGCAAAATGGTATTTTTGACATATTCCACTGAGAAACACTTGCAGTGGGTACATGCCTCCAGAGTATGCTGTGCATGGTCATTACTCTGTGAAATCAGATGTATTCAGTTTCGGTGTAATCGTACTAGAGATAATAAGTGGGAAAAAGAATAGGGGATTTTCTGTCCCGGAGCATTCTCTCAATCTTCTTGGACATGTAAGCACAATGCCCATTTACTTTATTACCTAGTTGAATTATCTCGGATTAGAATGAATTCAGTGTTAATGGCTACATTAATTCATGATTTTAGGCATGGAGACTATGGATTGAAGACGGGCCAGCGGAACTGATAGATGAACACTTACATGAAAGATGTATTTTTTCTGAAGTCTTACGGTGCATACATGTGGCTTTGTTGTGTGTACAACAAAAACAAAGAGACAGGCCAGACATGTCCACTGTCATTCTTATGCTGAATGGTGAGAAGTTATTGCCTCAGCCAAAGGCTCCTGGATTTTATACTGGGAGGGGTTTACCTGGATCAATATCATCATCATCTAGAACATGCAATCTGTTATCCTCAAATGAGTTGTCCCTTACAATTTTTGAGGCAAGATAGAATTTGAATCAAATGAAGAGGCAAAAGCTAAACCTTTTTAACTAGATTACAGTGTGCTCTACACTTTTTATTGAATGGATCTGTTTTAACTTGGACAGTGTTCTGCATATTGACATTTGCACAAAGTTTCTGACTGCAGTGCTAGAAAAATCGGATTTAGAGACGGATAAATTCCATTTTTAAATGCTTTTTTTTTTCGTCACTAACTAATTTAGAGATAAAATTACAGAACAAAATGGTCTGTCGTTAATTCTTATGTTGCAAATGTATTAGTGACAGAATCTTAATTCCGGTTACTATTTAGAGGTGAAACTTTACCGTCTTATGATTTAATTGTTGGTCTTATGATTTCATGGTTGGATAGATTAGTTGTTGGTCTTATGGTTTAATGTCAAATAATATTGACTTCTATGAATTTTCTTTGTTTTCTGTAGTCAATAAATTTTTTATTATTATCGGAGTACCGTAGTGTTATTAAACTGTAATCTAAGTTATTAAAGTACCAAAAAGTGAGTATATATATAGCATCTGATTTAACAAGTTTCTTAATATATTTTCTAGTCTGAACTTCTGAATTCAATGACATAAACACTTGAGCACGAGGAGAGACCTTTTGAACTGAGATGTTGACACTTGCGACTTTTGGTAAAGGTACTTAATATATTGGGACACGTGTTGATTTCATGTTTCTGTCTAATTGATCCTACAATCTAAGAAATAAGCAAACTGATAAAGCATCCTTTGGATAAAGGACAGATCTTATGTGCTTTTTTCTAAGCGTTGGTAGTTCTGTATATCAATCAAAATTATTTTAATAAAAAATTTGCAGTTAATATTATTGCATATTAATGAAGTAAAACTCTAATTTTGATTGAAAAAAAATATTAACAACATATAAAAACAGTACCTGAATTTTGTCCTTTGCTAAAGATGAGACTTTGGCACAGTTCTTTGAACATTTTTTGTGTTATTTTTCAATCAAAATTAAAATTTCATCTTAATAATATACAACACATTAAGACTTATTTTTACCGAACTCTTTGATTTAAAAACAATGCATAAATTACTCAAGTAAACCTAAATTTTGTGCCTTAGACAAAGGCAGTGGACAATAAACAAAGGTAGCCTTTCCCCTAACGCAACCCACCCTCCGTATAAAATGTGAAGGACCCTCTTATTGAGTTTGGAAAAGTCTTTTGCTGACAAGATCTGAATATAACATGGTTCAGGATAATCTTGTTCGTTCCTCAAGCAATTTTGTTCACATACGTGGCTCTTCATCATTTGAACACGTAATTTTGTATAGAGATAATTTTTAAATAATTATTAAAATGAAATAAGATGCTAATAATACTTAATATAATCATGTAGTTTTTAAATTTGAACACATAATTTTGCTTAAGAAATAAGTGTAAATAAGGATGGGGGGAAGAAACGAGTGCTCTTGGAGGAGTTTGAAGAAAGAGCATCACTAATTGTTGGATTTCATGTTCACAAAGTAGAGGTAAGGATCCTGATTGGTATTAAAATCTCATGATTATATTGTGTATTACTTATAAAATTTCTTATCATTTGGCTTGGATTCACTGCTCTCACCTTTGTCGAGAAACCCATCACTTTTTGTGGCTGCGTTTCATGCTAAAAATCCTTTGGTGTGTTCTGTTCTCTGTTTCTCACTAGCTTGTTTGTTTCTCTATCCCTCTGTTATATTTATTTTTCTTATTTAGTATCTCTAAATATTATGGGTTTTTCTTTTTCATTTAGTTCCTCATTTTAGGATGATTAAAAGGAAAATTCATGATATTTATGAGGACCGAATGTAAAACTCGTAATCCCAAATGAAAATAAAACATGAAGCACGGAACACTTGAGCTAACCCCCATTGATCTTAAGCCACCTGAATGAATATAAAATTATATTTTATTATATTAAAGGAGGTGGTAGATGAGGAATTTATTGAAGTATTAAGGGTAAAAATTGAAAAATAATAGAAAGATACAAATTCAAACTTTATAGGTTATTAATTTCGATAAACTTATTTACCAAACACTTATATTTTAGTTAAGCAAGCTTATAAGCTTGTGAAATAAGTTATCGGTTAGTTAAAATGATCAAACACTCTCTTGACATGGAAGAACCCGCCAATGATTTAACCCTTTTGACTTAATAAAAGGTTATATTGATAGAATTCATAGTGTTTAAAGAATTAATTATATCAAACTGAGAATTGTTATCTATTTGTAAAAAGGGCAAAGTTTAGGGATGTTGTCAGATTTTCCTTAATTTTTAATTGAAACAAATTTTAGTGGCAATTTTATTTTTCTCTTTCTTAAAATTATTTTGGCATGCTGTTTACTATTATTTAGTTCTCATTCAATCACACATTTTTCTAGTTGCAGGGGCCAGTAAAAATGAGCATCATGTTTAATAATATTAAGTCAACTTACTAATTAACCCCACGTTTGGGACCAAGTCATTGTCATTTCTTTGAAGAAAGAGTGAAGGGAACGGTTTCAGAGATTTCAGCATGTTATGTATTTGGTTCATTCTCTTGTTGTACCTTAGAAACTCCACTTCATTGGACACATTGGCTCCTAATCAATCAATCCGAGATGGAGAGACTCTAGTTTCAAATGAAGGCACATTTGAAGTGGGCTTTTTCAGCCCTGGAACTTCAAAAAATCGATACTTGGGTATATGGTATATGAATGTATCCCCCTTTACAGTGGTGTGGGTGGCTAATAGAGAAAAACCACTTCAAAATAATTCAGGAGTTTTAATAGTTAATGGAAAAGGGGTTCTTGTGATTCTTGATGACTCAAATAGCACAATTTGGTCATCTAACACACCAAAGAAAGTAATAAAGGATCCTATTGCACAACTCTTAGACTCAGGAAACCTTGTAGTGAAAAATGGACAAGGCAGAAATGAGCACAATTTTTTGTGGCAAAGTTTTGATTATCCATGTGATACATATTTGCCCGGAATGAAGCTTGGACGCGACTTAGTAACTGGTCTGGATAGAACTTTATCATCTTGGAAAAATGAAGATGATCCTGCTGAGGGAGAATATTCTATAAGAATTGATCTTAGAGGATATCCACAGTTTTTTGGATTCAAGGGATCCATGATAACATATAGAGCAGGGTCATGGAATGGGCATGCTTTCACGGGATATCCAATTCATCAACTTGCAGAAAAGTATAGTTATGAATTTGTGTTTAATGAAAAAGAAGTGTACTATGAGTACAAGCCCATTGATAGATCAGTTTTCTATATGTATACACTTACCCCTTTAGGATTTGGGCAGCGTTTTGTTTGGACAAGTCAAACATGTAGTAGAAGAGTTATCCCAACTGGGGGAGCAGATCCATGTGAAAATTATGCCTTGTGTGGTGCCAATTCTATATGCACTATGGATGGTAATGTTCCAAAATGTGAATGCCTAAAAGGGTATGTTCCAAACTTTCCCCAACAATGGAATATGTCATATTGGTCTAGCGGTTGTGCTCCAAGGAATAAATCTATGTTTACAAATAGTACATCAGATGGCTTTTGGAGGTACTCAAACATGAAATTGCCAGATACATCTTTGTCGTGGTTTAGCAAGACCTTGAACCTTGAAGAATGTCAGAAATCGTGTCTTAAAAACTCTTCTTGTACATCATATGCAAATTTGGATATTCGTAGTGGGGGAAGTGGCTGTCCACTTTGGTTTGGTGATATGATTGACATGAGGACATTCTCTAAAGGGGGACAAGACCTTTATATCAGAGTCCCATTTTCAGAACTAGGTACACAATTTTATTTGTTTTTGCACTTTTTCATTTCCTTTTCCTTTTAATGATTTGGTTGATTATGTTTCATTATTCTAATGGAAGTGGATGAGAGGAGTAGGGCAATGATAACCAAGGTAAGTCCAGTAAAATATTTCACTATTGTAGATACAATGCCACGCTGAGGTGTGGACCCCAATAATTGAAACATAGATCAAAGGAATACTGGATTTTACTAAAGGCTATTTAGGAAGTTATTAATGATGATGCATGTTGGTTGTTAATACTATTTAGTGTCTGTTTTTTGGCACTTTATTTTCTCTCTCATTCCCATTTTCTGTCGCATTGTAGTGGTCAAAACAAATACATTTTGTTCCCATATGCTACACTGTTCTTCAGTCTTGACAATTTAGTTGCACCTCGCATCAACTTCCATTGAGTTGTGCACTAAAAGTTTGTATTAATCACACTTTGCTTATATCAGATCTAGTTGCAGTTAATGACAACATAAATGAGAAGAAAATTGTGGCAGGAATTACAATTGGTGTGATTATTTTTACCTTAACTACATGGGGCTTCGCAATGATACTTAAAAAGCGAGGTAAGTTCTGTTTTTAAAATAATTTATATTATAATATATGATAGTTGGTAGGCACAAGAATAAGGTAAAAGACAGAACATTTACCCTTATCTTCAAACCAATCAGGGACAGCAAGAGTACGTTGCACAGAGCATTACCAAAATATACTAAGGAAGGAAGACATTGATCTGCCAACATTTGATTTGCCTATTATAGTTAAAGCCACTGAAAACTTTTCATACAAAAACAAACTGGGAGAAGGTGGCTTTGGACCAGTATACAAGGTACCACAAAAATTGGTCAAGAATTTACTTTCCATAACATATTTCTAACTGTTGCAGATGATAAATTTTAGGGAACACTGATAGATGGGCAAGAGTTGGCAGTGAAAAGGCTCTCAAAGAATTCTGCACAAGGGTTGGAGGAGTTCAAAAATGAAGTGGTGTTGATCACCAAACTTCAGCATCGTAACCTTGTGAAGCTTCTCGGATGCTGCATTCAAGGAGAAGAAATAATGTTGATCTATGAATACATGCCCAACAAAAGCTTGGACTACTTTATTTTCGGTTGAGGCCTTCATAATTTAGACTAAAACCAATATTGCATTCTTTTTATTTCTTACTTTAGCTTATGAAATTAAGGACAGTGGAAATGATTTGCTAAACAATTTTGTGTAATTGACTAGATGAAACGCAAAGGACATTGCTTAATTGGCAGAGGCGTTTCAAAATTATATGTGGCATTGCTCGAGGACTTCTTTATCTTCATCAAGACTCTAGATTGAGAATTATTCATAGAGATCTAAAATCCAGCAATATTCTTCTAGATGCAAATTTGGATCCAAAAATATCAGACTTTGGTCTCGCTCGAAAATTGTTAGGAGAACAAATTGGAGCAAACACAAACAAGGTGTCAGGAACATAGTAAGTTAGCTCAGTCCATATTTTGGAATTTTGAGATTTCATCATTACTTATTTTATCTTTGAAAATGATGTTTACAGTGGTTATATGCCGCCTGAGTATGCTACACGCGGGCATTTTTCAATAAAATCCGATGTATTTAGTTTTGGTGTGATAGTTCTTGAGATAATAAGTGGGAAGAAGAATAGGGAATTTTCACACCCAGAGCATTGTCATAATCTTCTTGGACATGTAAGCATAATAACTTGGCTATATAGCAAACTTGTCAACTTTAAATTTCTTGCAACTAACTAATTTGATTACCACAATTTTAGGCATGGAAACTATGGAGTGAAGGGAGGCAACTGGAACTATTGGATGAAGTGTTAGGAGAAAAATACACACCTTCTGAAGTGATACAATGCATACAAGTGGGCCTATTATGTGTGCAACAAAAACCAGAAGATAGACCAGATATGTCATCAGTAGTTCTTATGTTAAATGGTGATAAATTGTTGCTCAAACCAAAAGTTCCTGGATTTTACATTGAAAAAGATACTATTACAGAAGCAAATACCCAGTTGGCAAAATGCACACTAGTGTTGCCCGATGAAGTTTCCATTACATTATTAGAGGCAAGATAGAAAATGAAGACAAGCAAATGGCAAGGATTGAATTTGTAATATTAGATAACACAAGCTATTCAAGCCATATTTTTTCTGGAATATATATTTTAAGTCATGATATGATTTATAGGATCAACTACACTACCTCGATAGAAATGATATATTAGGGCAGAATTAATGAATATTTTAGATTTTGTGGTATTCTTTATCTTTTCACTTGCAAAAACTCTTTATTTGAATGTTTAATATTGAGAGAAAAAGGTGATGGAGGGTTTAATTATATAAATAATATTATTATATTTCATATATTTTATTTATATTTTTTTATTTTTATAAAAATAAAAAGTAAATATTTTTTTCTCAAAAATTAATAATTTTAAAATTAATTTTTTATTTTTTTAAAAAAAATTCACTTAAAAAATTAATAATTAAAAAAAATTATAATTATAATCGTGAAAAAGTCTAAGAGAGTAAAAGAGAAAAGAACCTTAAAAAATTTTCAGGTTAAAGGAACTAAAAAAATTAACAGTAAGAGGACTTTGGAGGGTGTATAAATATCTTTAAAATGTTTCTTTTCTAATTAAGTAACTTGCATACAAAAATTAATTCTTCATAAACTCTCCCTTTCTCTCCTCTTCCACCCCTCTTAAACTCAACTCATAAATATAGCCTTTGTGCTAGAAAAGTAGCTTGTGTGTGTGTTCGACTTCTGTTTTCAATATCTTATTTATGTTTTCCAAAAAAGAAGGAATCTACTTGTTACTTACTGTGTTTAATAACATTTAATAGACAATGAACTCATGAATTTAATGATTGAATTATGTAATATTAATTTTATAATCATGCATGTTAAATTGAAGACAAATTGAACTAACATGTATGTAATGTTATAACATAGGTTATATTTTATTTTCTTTTAAAAAATAAATTTTGAAAATTATTTTAGAAAATAGTTTTTAAAACAGAAAATAGAGAAGAGACTATTTTTATTTCCCACCAAATAGTCTATATTATGAGGTTTCGTCAGTTAACTGTTGTATTACTTAATTAGTAGTCACAAGTATTTTGTGAAGGAAAGACTCAGATTTCAATTTTGGATATGGAATCTTTTCACCCTAATGGATGAATTCACAATATTTGAGATACAAATCACATTACTAAAACAAAAACCTATTCCTAAAATGAAATCATATATTACAAGATGACAGCTCTAGAGATAGGAATGCACATGGCATCTGCAACGAGAAGGGAAGACAATTGAGGGGGAGGAGCTAAAATCTCTGCAACATCAGCAGGGGAAAGACTTGGTTGTAAAATGACACACTAATCACCTTGAAGAAGAACTCGAATTTGAGACAGGAGAGGACATTACAGATGAAATAAAAATTAATATAAAATTAATTTATGTAAAATGTTTAATTAATATAAAATATCAATTTATATCTATATTCAGTCTTTATTTATTTAAAAAAAATACCAAAATTTAAAATTAAAAAAATGTTCACTTTAAAAATTGGTTTAAAAATGAATCTGATGTGGGTTTATTATTATTATTATCACAATTTTTTTTCCAAATACTGTAAAGTTGCAAAATAACACGTTAATCGTGACCATTTCCTTTCCAAACCTTTTGGATAAATTTAAATTATAGGAAAAAGAACATTAAAAGCTTTGCAACTTTTAATAGCTGTCATTTTATTCTCGTGTTGAATTGAAATTTCAACTAAAAAATCATTGTGGGGTCATGGAAGAAAAATATAATAATAATAATAAAAATGCATGAATGACACCACTCTCAAATCAACGTTGATTGTTTTCATATTGAAAAGATCTTGCCTCAGTGTATACTTTTCAGCGTTTTATTGATTTATTATTATGGTATCTCTTGATTGGACTTTTGACTTTTAGAAACAATTTAATATTAATTACTTTATTTTATGCGCATACATAATCCATTTCATGTTTAGACTCAAGTTAGAAGTGAGAACTAATATATATGTATGCAAAAGTGCGAGTTTGAAAATTTTAAATAAATAAAAAGATTGATAACCAAAATTAAAATTTTTCATCTAATTGTGATTAAAATAAACATTATGGTATTTTAAATATAAATTACATTTGTGAATGTGAAAAGAAAATAATAATAAATTACATTTTTGTGCAAACTGACATTTTCTTCTAGTGGTTGAAAAAGACTGGTGCTGCACTTCTGATATATATGAAAAATGATAACCTGAACTTTAAGGATTGAGTATAAACAATTAAAAGTATTAAACACTTTTGTTGGAAATAAAAGCATTTAATATCTTCAGAATATAAAAGTTAATAAATTTTATATTTTTTAATAGAAAAAATTATTTATTGGGACTTAAATTAGCCATAAGAATTGAGCTTAACAAAAGAAATCATTTATTTACTGCATTGGTCTCTGTATTTGACCAAGAAAAGTAATTTGGTCAACTTTGTGGAAAAAAAATAGCAGCTATAATGGTAATCAACATGAACTCTTCTATTCCTCATGGAGCCACCATGATAAAAGAAATCATATACTACAAGAAAACCCATCTTCCTTAATATCTTGTTAGACAGTAAAGAAAGGTTATCATCTTGGGTGTGTAATTCAGAAATCAGAGTTCCATTGTTGTAGCTTTTAGAATAAGTCATTGGTTAGAAATTAATGGTTGATAGCATCATAGTGTTGTTTTGTTTGTTCTTTTTACTCTCCTACGTAAGACCCTGCACTTCACTATACAGTTTAGCTGCGAATGAATCTATTCAAGATGGTGAGAGTTTAGTTTCATCAGATGGAACATTTGAGGTGGGTTTCTTCAGCCCGGGGAATTCAACAGGTAGATATTTGGGTGTGTGGTATAGAAATCTGTCTCCTTTAACGGTTGTGTGGGTGGCGAACCGGGGAATTCCTCTACAGAATAAATTAGGAGTCTTGAAGCTGAATGAAAAGGGTGTTATTGTGATTCTTAATGGAGCAAACATCACTGTTTGGTCATCCAATATATCAAACAAAACAGTGAATAATCCAATTGTGAAGCTCTTGGACTCGGGCAATCTTGTGTTAAAAAATGAAGATACTAAGGAGGACAAATTTCTGTGGCAAAGTTTTGATTATCCATGTGATACTTTATTGCCAGGAATGAAGCTTGGATGGAACAAAGTAACTGGTCTAGAGAGGTTTGTGACATCTTGGAAAAGTGCAGATGATCCAGCTATTGGAGAGTATTCAACACATATTGACATTAGAGGATTCCCACAACTAGTTTTTATGAAGGGATCTGCGATAAAATTTAGAGGGGGCGCATGGAATGGCCTTGGTTACACTGGATATCCAACTCAACAATTGAAGAAAAAACAAACATATAAATTTGTATTTAATAAAACGGAAGTGTATTATCAGTATGAAGTCATTGATAGATCAATTGTCTCCATATATACATTGAACCCTTCAGGCCTTTTGCAGGGTTTGGCTTGGACAAGTCAAACAAGTGGTAGGAAAGTTATTGTTCCAGGAGGGGTAGACTCGTGCGATAATTATGCTTATTGTGGTGTAAATTCTATATGCAATATGGATGGTAATGCTCCAAAATGTGAATGCTTGAAAGGGTATGTTCCCAAGTTCCCTGCACAGTGGAATATTTCATATTGGTCTAGTGGTTGTGTTCCAAGGAATGAATCTATATGCAAAATCATTAACACAGATAGCTTCTGGAAGTACACAAATATGAAATTGCCAGACACATCTTCTTCATGGTATGATAAGACCAGGACCCTTGAGGAATGTCAGAAGTCATGTCTGAAAAAATGTTCATGTATAGCATATACAAATTTGGATATCCGTAGAGGAAGTGGCTGTCTGCTTTGGTTTGGCGATCTGGTTGACATGAGGAAGTTCTCTCAGTGGGGACAAGACCTTTATATCAGAGCCCCAGCTTCAGAACTAGGTATGCAGCATTTCTTTTTTCACTTTTTGCATTTTTTCTTTCTATTCTGGTTTAATATATTTCATTGTTGTTACAAGTGAATGAAGAGGGGTAAGGCAATGAGAACTATGTTCTAAGGTTACTTTAAAAGAAAATTTTGGTATTAAAGCTTGAAATGTCATGCTCTAGTGGAGAGTGGAGACCATGGAAATTGAGACAGAGATATGAAGGTTGCAAGATTTTGCAAAAAACATCCAACAATTTATTAGTTATTAGTCATACTTGTTAACTATTATACTGATTTTGATTCCTTACTTTATTACCTTTTCCTCACATGACAAGGGTTAAATTAAATAGTATAACTAGTCTCTACAATCTCAGTCAAAATAAACAAGTCATGTAAGTCATGCTACTGTTAGTTTCAATTATCTGTTTTAACAGTTGATGATTAATCATACGTCCTCTGTATGTGCCAGATCATGTTGCAGTTAATGGCCACAGAAATAAGAAACAGGTGATAGTAGGAATCACAGTTGGAGCGATTATTTTTGGATTCATTACCTGTGTCTCCATAGTAATATTTAAAAAACGAGGTAATTTCTGTATCATATATAATGTAAGACAATAATAATCATCTATATTAGTCATGTGATTGATGATTTTTGGCCCGTGAATAGAAAATATTTAAAGATTCTGGTACATAATATCAAGCTTGAATTTACGATTTTCTTAGATATGGCTGTGCGTAGGCTCCCAAAAATAGAAAAACAAATAAAATAAGGACACTAATCATATATATATATATATATAATTTTTTTTTATAATTTTTTTTTATATTGTCATCTTGTACATTTTAGTGGCAGCAAGAGTACATTGTCATGTTGCACAATTTCAACGGCAGCAAGAATATTTTAGATTGAGGAAGGAAGACATTGATCTGCCAACATTTGATTTGTCAATCATTACCAAAGCTACTAATAGTTTTTCTAACAGAAATAAACTAGGGGAAGGTGGATTTGGACCAGTGTATAAGGTAATATAGCCAAATCTATAAAGATTTTCATTTTTTTCAACAAAATTTTTGAAGTACTCCAAATGATGGTTTTCAGGGAACATTGATAGATGGGAAAGAGATAGCCATAAAACGGCACTCAAAGATGTCTGATCAAGGATTGGAGGAGTTTAAAAATGAAGTTTTGTTGGTTGCAAAACTTCAGCACCGTAATCTTGTGAAACTTCTAGGTTGCTGCATTCAAGGAGAGGAAAAACTGCTGATCTATGAATACATGCCCAACAAGAGCTTAGACTATTTCATCTTTGGTTTGTGCCCTTGATGTTTAACTTTACATTAAAAAATTCATGGCAATATTTGTGTAATTACCATTAAATCCTGTTTACAAATCCAGTGGTGTACTAAACATGTAAGTGAAATTAATTAGATGCAGCTAGAAGCAAGCTCTTGGCCTGGCATCAACGTTTTCACATTATTTGTGGCATTGCTCGAGGGCTTCTCTATCTTCACCAAGACTCTAGACTGAGAATTATTCATAGAGATTTGAAAACCAGCAATATTCTACTAGATGCCCATATGAATCCAAAAATCTCAGACTTTGGCATGGCTCGGACTTTTGGGGGTGATCAAATAGAAGACAAAACCAAAAAAGTAGTTGGAACATAGTAAGTTACCTTCCATTTGTAATTATTGTATAGTTTATATGCAATTACATTTTATGACTTATTCTGAAGATTATACTTGTAGTGGTTACATGCCTCCAGAGTATGCTGTGCATGGTCAATACTCCGTGAAATCAGATGTCTTTGGTTTTGGTGTGATAGTACTAGAGATAGTTAGTGGCAACAAGAACAGGGGATTTTCTGATCCAGACTCTCTTAATCTACTTGGGCATGTAAGCACATGACTATTCACTTTTATTATTACATAGATTCCAAGTATGTGACTATTTTAATTTCCATGACTTCAGGCATGGAGACTTTGGACTGAAGATAGACCAATGGAACTCATAGATACACACTTGCGTGAAAGATGCATTCCTTCTGAAGTCTTAAGATGCATACATGTTGGTTTGTTGTGTGTACAACAAAAACCAGATGACAGGCCAGACATGTCAACTGTCATTCCTATGGTGAATGGTGAGAAATTAATGCCCCAGCCCAAGGCTCCTGGATTTTATACAGGAAGGAGTTTACCTGAATCAATATCGTCATCACAAACATGCAATCTTTTGTCCCGAAATGAGATGTCCCTGACAATATTTGAGGCAAGATAGAATATGATGACTCATGTAAATGATGTGTTACTTGATGAGGCAAAGAAATGATATAGCTTCCGATATGCATAATGTTGATATGAATTTTTAGTACACAGAACCTGTGAATAGCATTATGTCATTTGTTTGCTGATCTATTACTTACTTGATTTTGCAAATTTAAAACCGAGTTTGTGTCTCATTTCTGTACCATTTATGTGTAATGCCATTTTCTGTTGAAGTCTCACAAAATTCTTATTGAATGAATAATCGTACACAAGACTGCAAACTTTACCTTCTAGTGGGGTTTACTGTTTTAATCTTTTATTATAAAATGGGTTGGTATTTGTCCATTTTGTTAGGCCACGAATTTGTCTTCATTGACACTGTAACAATGTTTCTGTCCTTATTTTTACAAGTTTAAATAATTTGATTAAGTGATCCAAACCTGATGCCTCATGCCTTTGTCCATATAAATAATGTATATTGATGATAATGTAAAATGATCCATGAATATTTTCATTGGCAAATAACTACATTGCCTCCAGTTTGGAGACAACTTCATTTGATGCCTAGTTGGGAACTCTTACAAAAGTCGCTTCTGTTTAGTGTTGGGCTAGTATTAAACAAGGCTCAGGGCAATCCTTCATGTAAAAGTCATAGCAATGCATTCTTTTAACACTCGTAACTATTATCTAAAATAAAATTTATTAAAAATTACAAAGTGGTGTTTGTTAGCTTAGCTTATGTGTTAGTTATGAGTCCAATTTTGAGTCATGACAATATTAGTTGTATGATTATTTGCACCGAGAAATTTAATAACTTTAAGCCCAACGTCAAAGTTGATGAGTTTATTTTTATTTTGTATAATTATAATTAATTTTTAATTATTTTATTGTTGTCATTTTTGTTTTTGTTAATATTTTTCCAACACAGTGTTCTCCATATATTGCTGAATTTTATCTCTAACTTGGTAAATGACCTAAATTCACTTAATTTTAAATTTCACCTTTTTATTTTTCTCTTCCTCCTTAAGACTTAATCTTAGATATTGAAATTATTTTCCAAGTCCAAGGACAAAAATATCTGTATATTTCTGCGTCTGCATATTCATATATAGCAGCACTTTCAAAATGTTAGCTTTTGCAACATGGTAATCGATTGAGACACTTGTTAATTTCAAGGTGGTGACTAATTCTAAATCATACAAGTCAATTTGCTTAGTCAACCCAACTGCTTCGTTGATGAGTCAAGTAAATTGAATGCTTTTGATGCTTTTTATTGAATAAATAATCTAAGTTAGTATAATTAATTGAAAATTTTAATGAAAAGATATTATTACTTGAAATGCAATGAATTATTTAATTATTTATTTTTTGCAGTTGATTTTTGAAGAGTTTAGAAGAGAAATAGCAATTGAATCTAAAGAGAAAAAGTTAAATTACAGCAAGACGTATTTATGAGCACATGCATAACTGATTGTGGGGACACAAGCATGATAAAACATATAAAAATAGAATTTCTGCTAAAGACAACAACTATTATTACACTTTTTAGACACAAAATTTTAAGTTTTCTGTATATCTTTACATAAAGATGTGTTTCATTCCATTTTTTTTTCTCTTTTGTATGGAATTTTGATGGGAAGTAGGACTACATCCCTTCATTCCCTTTACTCTTTAATGGAACATTGATTTTTATATTTACATTTTCCTGTAATTTTCCTTCAATTGAACATGAAGTTTAGTTATGTAATATATTTCAATTTCTTCTTCTTTATTCCTGCTATGTCTTGCTAATTTTACTAGAGTTAAGAAAGGATGAACTTAATCTTTTATCCATTGCAATGAACTGAACATTGAATATAACGGATTAATGTATAAATTGGATAATTTTAGGTTATGACTTGGACACTTTTCATGTTAAGTGTTTGGATTTTTTAGTTAAATTTCTTTGAAACTTGAAATTTTTATAATTACTTATATATTTGAGGAGAAGAATGCAAATTTAAGTGTTTTGATTCTTTTTTGATATATTTTATACTTAGAATAAGAAGAGAAACATTACTCCAAGTTGAAAAAAATTCAAGAATTAAGCAAGAAGCACAAAAAGCATGAAGTTTGAAAAAAAGAGACCTTCTCGAGGTCTCTCACTGCAACAAGAATTCATAATTTTAGAAGAGTGATTCTGTATTTTTCTCGCTACAACGAATAGTAAGACAGTTGCCTCTGCAATAAAAGGCAAGTAGAATGACCTAATTTTTATATTCATCTCTCGCTACAGTGAGAAGGCGTTGCTGTAGCAAGAGAAGCTTCGTCTAAAATGTTATAAAAGGAGACTTTTGTGTTTATGGGAAAAGTTACTATTCCATTTCATTGTTCAAAGAGGAAGAGCGGCAAAGAGTGTAGGAATAAAGCGGGAACACTCATTTTCACATATTTGATACCGTTTGTACCTCTTTTCTTGATGTTATGCCTATAATGAGTAGCAGCTAAAACTCTTGTGGGATTGAATGTAAATCTTCAAACTTGATGTATTCTCAGTAATTTATATAAATATAACTATTTCTTCTTCATTTATGTTGATTTGGTGATTTTAATCCATGTTTAATGCTTAGATATGTTTAACTGATAGTTTCTTGAGCCCTTATATCTGGAAAGGTATTGCTCAGATCCAGATCTGATTAAGATTGCCCAATAACTGGTCACTCTAAGAATAAATTTTGAGTTATTGATTTTTTTTTAAATCCTGATTGTAATGCTGAATAGTTTGTTAACTAATTAGGAATCAACATTTAAGAAATTATCTTATAAGTATATTTTCAAGTAATTGAGATATATGATTTTTGTATTTTGCATCAATATCAATGGAAATGATTGTTATGTTTATTGCTGAATTACTAAAATAATACAGAGAGGGAGATAGATGAAATTCAATCTTAATTTCTCTAATTTGGATATTTTTTTACATTTTACATCGTTGTCTTACATTATAATTGTCACTCAAATTCTATGAAAATCATCAATCAATTTTATTGTATATAAGTTCAATCAATTTATATCTTAACAATTAATATATTTTGAATTGTTCTCTAAGGACAATATTTTGCAACTCCACCAGTTATTACTTGCAACAGACCCAGTACACTTGCCGTATTTTAAGAACAAATTTCAACAATAAATCAAATGCAATCTGTAATCTAAGGTATTTAATTCTGAGCTTAATGCTTTTCTGCTTCTTAGCACTCAGAATTGATGAAAAGAAATTTATAACTGAAAAGTTGTAATTTTTTTTGGATTTGGATTAAATCGCTCATTATAGATTATCTAGGAATAAGAATCTCTAATGATGTGGTCATGTTGATTTCTAAACTTAATACTGATCACCTTCTTGCTTATCTAAGGACTTGAGAATTTAGAACTGGTTTATAATTAATCAACCAAGGAATTAGTGTTGGATATTGTTGAAAATATGACTATTAGACTGGATTGTATTCTAAGTTATATATATTTGGATACAATGGAAAAGGATTAAGGAATTCTAAACTCAACCCACCTCTTATTCTAATTATAACTCCGTTTCATTTTCTGATTTAGTTACCTTCTGCAACTTAGTCTCATTTATAGTTAATTTCTTATGTCTAATTTTTACTCTTAATGTTAATTTAATTTTTCCGCACTTGTATCTTACTTTTACTTTTTGCAAAATATTTAAATTTTTCTTTCTAATTCTTACTCTGTTTTTTAACCCAACTAGCAACATTCTTATGATTTATTAATTAACATTAATCTTAATGAATAATAAAATCTAATTATTTCTGCAAACAATTTGGTAAACTTGCCAATTTATTTATCATTCATCCATTGGAGCTCATTTAATTTTACCATGACGTTCAGCATAATCAGGTCGATTCCATAAATCGGAAGTACAGATTTATGAATGCAGAGATAACTAATGTTTGACTTGGACTCCTGTATTTTTATCCTTTATGGATTATTAATTTCAATATTTGTTAGTAGATGGAAGAAAGCAGAGGTTGTTGAACAATTCAACATTATTATTGTAATTCTTGTGGACTTACTTGCTCTCGTCAACACTCCAAGGATTATTCATAAATATCAAAATTATTTGGCGCACACATTTGAGATATTTCCTAAGGTACAAAGTCAAAAAGAATTAAATTTTTGCAGGGGAGACTTGTTTTGGCTATCCTTAAGTATTTGAAAGTCCACAGTGGATCACTATAAGAAAAAGAACTTTCTTAGCCAATGGCTTCTTTGGAAAAAATATAACAGGAAAGAAAAGAACGGACAGCACATTTTAAAATTTCAAACGTAATTTTGAAGTTTTTTTTTTTTTTTTTTTTACTTTTCTACATTTTATTTTCCTTTTAATAAAAAATAGATATTTTACAATTTCCACATATTATTTCCAAAACTATTTTCTTTCTCTTGATCTAAACACTAGGTACACATATGCATGATATGCTTTGATTATGTTCAAAGTTAGGTTTGAATTTTTCTTAATTCCTGTAAATGGGGGTGATTTTCCATGATTAATTCACTTCTCAAGCTCTCGCTAGATATGTCCCTAGGGCAAATCTGGTTCGTACAGTAAAACATGGATATGATAAAAAAAATATTTTAAAAGTGACATACATAATTAAAAGAGTCGTTGACTCTGAGTCTTCTTTGACAACAATGGGCGTTGCCATGATATTACTATATCAACCATCTACCATTTTTACATTCATGTGTCTCAACCCATGTACCATGCTTCAAAATTGGATTGCTGAGTTAGTGAGTTTCTTCTAGTTCAATTTTATGGTCATCCTCTCCTTGTGCATGATCAAAAGCACTTACTCTCACAAAAGCTTATGGAAAATAAACATCATAGTGTTATATATTTGGTTCAATAACATCACAATGTTATTTATTTGGTTCATCTTATTCTCATGCATGACTAAAACTTCCTCTTCAGTGGACTCTTTAGCGGTGAATCAATCGATCCGAGATGGTGAAACTTTGGTTTCAGCTGGTGGTATTATTGAAGCTGGTTTCTTCAGTCCTGGAAGTTCAAAAAAACGGTACTTGGGTATATGGTACAAGGATGTGTCCCCTTTAACAGTGGTGTGGGTGGCTAACCGAGAAACCCCTCTTGAGGATAATTCAGGAGTTTTAAAACTCAAGGAAAAAGGGATTCTTGTGCTTATGAATGGTACAAACAGCAATATTTGGTCATCCAAAATATCAAGCAAAGCAGGGAATCATGCAAATGCTCAGCTCTTGGATTCAGGAAATTTTATAGTGAAGAACGGACAGAATAATTTCTTGTGGCAGAGTTTTGATTATCCGTGTGATACATTGATGCCAGGAATGAAGCTTGGATGGAACTTAGAAACTGGTTTAGAAAAATATTTATCATCTTGGAAAAGTACTGATGATCCTGCTGAGGGTGAATATGCTGTAAAAATTGATCGTAGAGGATATCCTCAAATAATGAAATTCAAGGGACCTGATTTAAAAACAAGAGCAGGGTCATGGAATGGCTTGTCTATAGTTGGATATCCAGGACCAACTCCTGATAAGTCTCAAATATTTGTGTTCAATGAAACAGAGGTGTCTTACGAATTTGATTATTTTAATAGATCGATTTTTGTTGTGTATACACTGACCCCTTCAGGAACTGGGCAGAGTTTGTTTTGGACTACTCAGACAAGAAGTCCCCAAGTTGTGTCAACTGGAGAGGAAGATCAATGTGAAAACTATGCCTTTTGTGGTAACAATTCTGTATGCAGTTATGATGGTAACCATCCAATCTGTGAATGCTTGAGAGGTTATGTTCCCAAGTCTCCTGATCAATGGAATATTGCAATTTGGGGTGATGGGTGTGTTCCAAAGAATAACTCTAATTGTAAAAATAGTCATACAGATGGCTTCTTTAAGTACACAAATGTGAAATTGCCAGACACATCTTCTTCGTGGTATAGTAAGACCATGAACCTTGATGAATGTCAAAGTACCTGTCTGGAAAACTGTTCTTGTGTAGGTTATGCAAATTTAGATATTCGTCGTGAAGGAAGTGGTTGTCTACTTTGGTTTCATAATCTGGTTGACTCGAGAAAATTCTCTCAATGGGGACAAGACCTGTATATAAGAGTCCCTGCTTCCGAACTAGGTACTCAATTTTTTTATGATTTGCTTTCATTTTTGTCTTTTATTTCATTGTTTCCTTTTCCCAGTTTGATTTCTTGTTAATTATTGCATTGTTCAAAGAGATGGGGGTCGAGTAGGGCAAGGCCATAAGAACTTCCAAGCTGTGTTAAACAAACATTTTGGTATTGAAGCTTGAAATGCCATGCTCAAGTGGTGACAATAATTGAAACATATATCTGCAGGTTGCAAGATTTTGCTAGCAGATTCTTAGAAAGTTATTACTGATGCATGATATTTCTTATATGGCATTTAATTTGTAAATTAAATACATTGCCTTTTTTACTCACACATTCTAAAGAAATTAAACACACTTATCTCAGCTTCAATATTTAGTAGAAGTCCTGTTGTAAAAGTCACTAATCATACTCTACTCTTAGATCATGTTGCAGCTGGCCATGAAAGCAGCACGAGAAAGATAGTAGGAATCACTGTTGGTGTGACTATTTTTGGATTAATCACATGTGTCTGCATATTGAGAATTAAGAAGACAGGTTAGTACAAAGATATCATTTACTATATAAATTTAGCATATATAAAGAAGAAAATCAAACATGTCCATATTATGTATCAGTGTTTGAAAACTGTTATCTTCTATCTAATCAGGGGCTGCAAGAAAATTTTACAGCAAGCATTACAATAATACACAAAAGAAGGAAGACATTGATTTTCCAACTTTTGATATTTCAATATTAGCTAATGCCACTGAAAACTATTCAAACTTTAACAAACTTGGAGAAGGTGGCTTCGGACCAGTATATAAGGTGATATGGAAAAACCAATTCAGCACTTCTAGTTTTCTTAAAAGCTTTCTAACTATAGAGAATATGATTATTTTTTAGGGCACACTGATAGATGGGCAAGAAATAGCTGTGAAAAGGCTTTCAAAGAAGTCTGGACAGGGGTTGGAAGAGTTCAAAAATGAAGTTGCATTGATTGCGAAACTTCAGCACCGTAATCTTGTAAAGCTTCTAGGATGCTGCATTGAAGAGGGAGAAAAAATGTTGATTTATGAATACATGCCTAACAAAAGCTTGGACTGCTTTATTTTCGGTTGGAGACTTTATGATTTGCTCTAAACATCTATGGCAGTCTTTTTATTTCCTAAATTTAGTTTACAAAATTTTAGAGATTACATGCAATTGATTTGTTAAATACGCATGTGTATATGACCAGATAACACCAAAAGGAAGTTGTTAGATTGGTGCAAGCGATTCAACATTATTAGTGGCATTGCCCGTGGACTTGTGTATCTTCATCAAGACTCTAGGCTGAGAATTATTCATAGAGATCTAAAAAGTAGCAATATTTTACTAGATGGGAATTTGGATCCCAAAATATCAGACTTTGGCTTGGCTCGATCAATTTTGGGAGATCAAGTTGAGGCAAACACAAATAGGGTGGCTGGAACATAGTAAGTTAGTTTCAACCTGATTATGATTCTTTGATTTTGCATTTTATACTTATTTTCCTTTGAAAAATAATGCATTCAGTGGTTACATGCCTCCTGAGTATGCTGCGCGTGGTCATTTCTCAGTGAAATCAGATGTCTATAGTTATGGTGTGATAGTACTTGAGATTGTGAGTGGGAAGAAAAACAGTGAATTCTCAGACCCAGAACACTACCATAATCTTCTTGGATATGTAAGCATAATGATCTGACTGACTGGCTAATTAGTCTAATTTGAATTGTTTATAGTCATCATTTTAATATGCATCATGTTAGGGATGGAGATTATGGACTGAAGAGAGGGCACTGGACCTATTGGATGAAGTGTTAGATGAACAATGCATGCCATCTGAAGTCATACGTTGCATACAAGTTGGTCTATTATGTGTGCAACAAAGACCAGAAGAGAGACCAGACATGTCATCCGTTGTTCTAATGCTAAATGGTGAGAAATTATTGCCAAATCCAAAGGTTCCAGGCTTTTACACTTACGAAGATGTTACATATGGAGCAAATTCTTCATCAACAGATCCTAAACGATGCTCTGTTAATGAACTTTCCATCACAGTCTTGCATCCAAGATAGGATATGGAGCCAAGAAATAACAAGGCTTCAGCTTCCAATGTGTGATAAATAGGTTATTTGAGTGCACATTGTGAAACAGTAAAATGAGCTTCTGCTTCATGTTTGCATAATGTATAAAATCAGGCATGTGATAAACATTCTGTGAAGAAAAGAAAGCTAAATTGCATTTTGCAATGGAATATCATCATCAAACATTTCTCATCCTTAACATGAAAAAATTTAGAATTCACTTGTTTAAATTTTGGTAGAATTTATTTAGACACAATTAAGGTTATGAAATTAATTTGTGTTTGGGAATTATACTTAAAAATGAATTGATTTGGTTTAGTAAAGCGCAATATATAGATATGTTTTGTGAATCCCACTAACAAAATCTTGATAACTTTCCTTCACATTTTTCTATTTTGGACTTGATAAGGCACTTAAATAATTTTTGTATTAAAAATTACTTATTAAAATGCGTAAAAAATATGAAAAAAAATGTATTAATAATATTTTTAGACAAAATTTTTCACTTTTGAATTTATAACTACTGTTTCTTTTTAAAGTGTTGTTTAACATTTGCCTATTGTTGTATATTAAAAATGAGAGAACTCATGTCTGGTGAAAATGTATGTGAAATTTTGCAAGGTGTCAATATTCCACGCTATTGGGCCACTTTATTTTTTTGTTACTAATCTCAGAACTGTTTGGTGGTGTCCAATACTCAATTAACTGGGCCACATTATTATTTAACTGCAAAGTTCTATAATTTAGACATTTGATTAGTCGTGTTTGCAATGATTCACGCAAGTGTTTATGAACAAACTGAAACTTGCGTAGACAAGTTTTAATTTTTTTGTAAAATTTTATTATCAAATTTAAAAATCTTACTACAAAATTTTCTTCATTTAGACTCGTGTATAACACTTTTATAGCACTAAATTTTCTTTTTATTTTTTCTCTATAACTTTAACATTAACCAACTTGTTATTTTTTACATACCCATCCTCATTTGAAACAATTGTGAATCAAACTTGTTGACAATAACATGTTAACATGGGTTCAGGCCATTGTTTTAAACACTTTTACAATGCTTATTTTAAATTTGTTAGAATAATATTAAAATAGAATGTAAAATGAATCGATCTATGTAAGTTCATTACTTATCGAATTAAGTTAATTTAGATAAATCATGTCATAATGACATTTTTTTTATCATATATATGGAAATTTTCTCTAAAATAATTTAGTGCATGGTAATCACAACTAGATAAAGCAAAATTTAAAAGACAATTTTTTCCTTGAAAAAATATATAATAAACAAAAAATAGAACTAAATTATTCTAATTTTTTTTAATAGAGTTAATATTTTTAATAAAAAAACAACTTACTTAAAACGTTTTTATTTTTACTATTTTTAGGGCTCATTCCTACATATTCAAATATGAAAATAATCAATAAGTTTAGACTTTGGATCATTGTAGCTCAGGATTTTTTTTCTTATATGAATCCAAAGGGATAAATTGAATTCTAAATTTTGGAAGTGACTTATAAATGACTTCTAGAATTTCATTTTTAAAAGTTATTAACTAATAAATTTTAAAATTTAATTTTTTAAAAATATTAAAATTTTATTGAAAAATTAAATTACAAAAGTGACAATAAAACAAGCGATTTCAATAAAAAAATATATTTAATGTCCAGGCCATTGGGATAATAATTCCAATAAAACAAGTTATTAAAGTCAAACAATATAATTTTATTTTACTTTAGATCTGAAAGTGCGTTAATCATGTAGTAAAAATGAACAAATTTAAGCCTAATGGAAAAGAAAATTAGAATATGGTCTCTTAATAAGATTAAAAGATGACTAGCTCACTCACTTAAGAGGCACATGTTCATAGAGCAATATGAATCACCAAAATTAGCATTCTTAAAATTAGGCCATAATCTATTTATAAAAGCTTATAAATGACTAACACGCAAAGAATTATGTATAAAACTAAATTAGTTATTGTCCTAAAATCAATTAGCCTACCTATACTATCATATCCAAATCTCTAAAGTAAAATAAAACCTAAAGTAAATCACAACTGACATGAACCTTTATTGATAAAAGAAAACAATAATAAAATTAATTCAAGTCTTACCAATTAAAATATCAATTATATAAACCAAGATTAACAGTTGATGAGAAATTATAATTGGTGGTGTTTATTATAAAATTAAGGAATGATATAGTTAAGTTAAGCGTTATTATATGACATAAATATTCTAGGTGAAGAAACAAATAATATTAATTTTTATTGTAATTAAGTATTTTGCTTCTTATTTTTGCATAAAAAACTGTACTTTATGAACGAAATAAAAATAAATATTGTACAAATTTTTGCTTCTGTGTAACTAATTAATTACATATGTCTGTAGAAGTATTTTGTTTGATATGCTTTTGCATATAAAATATTTTCTCATGTCATCATTAGATTAATTTCAAGAAATTAAAATCAACAAAATGTGACATAATTAATTAATAGATAGTTGAGCCATGGGATTCAATTTCTAATCGCCTGTCTGAAAAACTTTATTGAGTGAGATAATGCTTAAAGATTAAATATTAACAAAATTTAATTATTTTTATATTTTCTTCGCATGCATATGCGCGCTGTTGAATTTAAATAAAACTTAAAATACTATCATTGTTAAACGATGTGAAATATTTACATATTTGACAAATACATTATTATAATATGAAATGTCTGCATTGTTAACAACGGTGTTTCTATTTTACTAAACGGGAAAAAGTTGAAGAGGTCAACTTTTAGAAAACAAAGAGAAAGTTATGAAAATAGATTATTAAAAAAAGCATATGATTTCTATGTTTATTAATTTCATGTGATATATCAAAATTTAAAATTTAAATTAAGATTGACTTAAATTAAATAATATTATGTGAAAGGATAAGACTTATATTAATAACTCTTTTATATAAATTCATTTTATTAATGATTGAATTCAAAGATCTTCTTAAATAAATTAAATATATTAATTTCATATAATTAAGAATGAATTGGTATTTTTTTTATTAAGTTCATTTTAACGGATTTGGTGATTGGTAGTTGATAATTGACGCAGTAATTGAACCAAAAGAATGTGACCTAAGTTAATAGAAGTGTTACCAAATCCGCAGCCTCTGAATATTAAAAGAGGGGGCAGTGAAGGTTCTATCATCCTTAGAATATTTCCTTTTGAAGACTAAGGCGCAACGCCACCAATGGTCATCAACGTGGATAAGACTTTATGACTTCTCTTTGTCCACGGAATTTTAACCCCACCCACAGTTTGGATTAATTGAATCTCAAAAAGTGAACACCTGCAATTCAACAAATGCTGCTCTTTCAAACTATAGATTTCAATATTTGAGAATTAAAGCTTAACTTTTGGATGTGCTTTACAACTTTTTTTGGTATTATTTAAATGCATTATTTCATCTTGTATTATTTTACGTTGACTTTTTTCATGTTAATCTTTTATGATCAAAAGTTTTAGTGATCTCAACCCAAACAGATCCACCCAATATAATTTAATTGGGAAGAGTTTCATTTTTTAAACATACAAAAATTGACACCGTATGTAATATCAGATATAATAATTTTACTTTTGCATGTTACTAAATATATATAATAAAATAAAATAGATAATATTTGCTGTCTGAATTTTGTGCTTGAGGAGCATTTTCCTTTGGACTAAGTCTAGCAATCTATGATAAATTAGCCTTGGAATTTTCAATTCTTCAATTTTGTTTAAGCTGGCATAGCCAATGCAAGCCGAAGAATATTGTAATGGCAAGCAATAAGGTATGTGTTGTCTACTCTCTCATATCACCCTTCATTATCATTCCCATGGTCACTTCTCTGAGAAGCATCACTTCAGACCAATCAATTCATTACAACCAGACCCTGGTTTCAGCAGCTGGAACTTTTGAAGCTGGGTTTTTCAGCTTGGGAAATTCACAGAACCAATACTTTGGTATATGGTACAAGACTCTAACACCTAGGACAATTGTATGGGTAGCCAACAGAGACACCCCACTTGATAACTCCACAGCAATGTTCAAAATCACTGTTGGTGGAAATCCAATTATAATTGATGGCTTAGGAACCACAGTCTGGTTCTCCAATGCATCAACAATTGTAGAGAATCCTATGTTGCTGCTACTAGACACAGGAAACCTTGTTGTACTAAATGGAAGTAGTGCTGGGAACATTTTATGGCAAAGTTTTGACTACCCTGGTGACACTTTACTTCCTGGGATGGTACTTCATGTTAATAGAGTTAGTGGTGAGCATAATTCTCTCACATGTTGGAGGAACACTGGAGATCCTGGAAGAGGTGAATTTTCATATCATTTAGATGGTCATGGTTTTCCTCAACTTGTTATCACAAAAGGGTCAACATTGATATACAGATTAGGCTCATGGAATGGTTTTTTCTTCAGCGGGATTCCTTGGGAAACACTCTACAGTTACTTTAATTTTTCTTTCGTGTTAACTGAGGAGGAAGTTCAATTCAAGTATGAGCCCTTGAATGATTCAGATGTTTCAAGATACCTGATCACTCCAACGGGTAGTGTGCAACGTTTTGTGTGGTCATATCAGACAGAAACTTGGCAACTTTTCCTGGCTGGCCCTGTGGATCAGTGTGAAAACTATGCCTTGTGTGGTGCTAATTCTGATTGCAATGTTAGTAACTCTCCACAATGTGAGTGCCTCCCAGGTTTCACACCCAAATCTCCAGAAAAATGGAATTTGTTAAATTGGAGTGATGGATGTGTTCGGAAGGTGAACTTGGATTGTGATAATAGAGATGGATTTCGTAAACTTACAGGAATGAAGTTACCAGACACATCTTCCTCGTGGTTTGATAAGAACATGAATCTTCAGGAATGTGAGAATCAGTGCTTGAAAAACTGCAGTTGCATAGCATATGCAGCTTTAGATATCAGAGATGGTGGAAGTGGCTGCATGATTTGGTTTGATAAAATAATAGACATGAGGCAAGAAAGTTCTGTTGGACAAGAGATTTACATAAAAATGGCTGCTTCTGAATTAGGTGTTACTTACTTTTCTTTTCAATTTCATCTATCTTTTTTAATTTTTCTTTTAGTAGTCATAGAAAAAGAAATATAAAGATTTCAGCCTTTAGGTGATATTCCACACTCAGAAGATGCACATAATGATGGAAACATGTAGACAGTGATTAAAAATGCATGTTAGAAATATAATCTATATTGCATTGCAGGTAACAAATGAAACACGAAAAGATAAATAGAAATTAAAGTTGCTTGTGTCAGTTGCGGGATTAGAGTTTACTTACAGTGCTCTTAAAATATCTCAGGTCACTCATCAAATAACACAAACAAGAAAAAGTTAGCTGGGATTCTGGTAGGAATTGGGATACTTGTGTTGGTCATCGCAGTAGTTGGATATGCCATCTATCGCAGAAGAAAGAAACTTAAGAAGTCAGGTGAATTTAATATATATATATATATAGTTTTGCTTCTTTTCATTTTTATTTTTTCATGATACACTTAATGATTATAAGACATTGATTTGCAAGTCCTCTTTCATTTTGAGTTTATTGTGAATTTCCTAAAAGGAGTTCTGTTACTTTATTATATCTTTTAAAATATATCAGGTTATCCTCTATCATAAATCATCTACCCTTTTCAGGTAAGCAAGAAATAATTAGCATGGAGGATCATAGTGAGAAATATGGGAATGAAAGCATGGACTTGACTACATTTGATTTTTCAACTATAGCTAATGCCACAGATCACTTCTCCCTCAGTAACTTACTGGGAGAAGGTGGATATGGACCAGTTTACAAGGTGACAGGATTATATATTATTCCTATTAGTGGAACCATTATCTTCGTGATTTTAATGTTTCTAAGTAATGATCAATAGGGTACACTAGCCAATGGGAAAGAAATTGCTGTCAAGCGTCTTTCCTTGAAATCTGTACAAGGACCACAGGAATTCAAAAATGAAATCCTGTTGATTGCCAATCTTCAGCATCGAAATCTTGTGAAACTACTAGGTTGTTGCATTCAGAATGATGAGAGAATCCTAATATATGAATACATGCCTAACAGAAGTTTGGACAAGTTTATTTTTGGTATGAACATTTGCCTTCTCTAAATCCATAACTTGTTCTTACCATGAATAAAATGTCTTCTCCATGCTAACTTGTGATTGGAATTTGTTAGATAAAACTAGAAGCAAAGTGTTGGACTGGAATAAACGTTTATATATTATAAGTGGGATTGCTAGAGGACTTGTTTATCTTCATCAAGATTCGAGACTGAGGATCATCCACAGAGATTTAAAAACCAGCAACATTCTTCTTGACAATGATATGAACCCAAAAATATCAGACTTTGGATTGGCTAGGGCCTTCGGTGGTGATCATGCTGCGGCCAATACAATAAGAGTAGTGGGAACCCAGTAAGTACCTAAAATTTTATTTAATTACTTTATGGACTCATAATTTTTTTCTTCTTAGTTTTAATTTTCCTCTTCTGTGCTATTGTAGTGGTTACATGCCCCCTGAGTATGCAGTGTATGGATCCTTTTCAGTGAAGTCTGATGTCTTTAGCTTCGGTGTTATAGTATTGGAGATGGTTAGTGGGATGAAGAATAGAGAATTTTCTGATCCACAACACAATCTTAATCTTCTTGGACATGTAAGCTTAGAGTTCAACTTGCAAACTCAAACTTTAAAATCTTATCAGTAGCACAAATATTTTCTCATTTTGCACATATTCTACATCTGATATCAATAATCACAAGTTAGTTGTTTATGAATTTCAATTATCTCAGTGAGTGGTGATTAGCATTGTCTATACAAGTGCACTAAATTCATATTTTTATGTTTTTTAGGCATGGAGACTGTGGAGTGAGGATAAACCATTGGAGCTGATAAATGACTCCCTTAGTGATTCTGTTATTGAAGATGAGGCATTAAGATGCATTCACATAGGACTCTTGTGTGTGCAAGAGAGACCAGATGATAGGCCAGACATGTCATCTGTTGTTCTAATGTTGAATGGTGAGAGAGCATTGCCTAATCCACGACAACCCGGGTTTTATCCACATGAAGTTTCATCAAGCAAACAAGAACTATCTTCGACCAATGAAATTTCCATTTCATTGTTACAGCCAAGATAGAAAAAATATGCTCTTGCTCATATGGGGTGAGCTTCAAATATTTGTCACCAGACAGACAAATGGTGAAAATATTCTTTATGTCTATAGAAAAAGGAAAAGTAAATACATTAAGGTTAGTTTTGCAGATGAGCCATTGGTGTATTCTACTATATTCATCATTCAATATTGAATAAAATTCAATTAATTTTCCTCAACCTGAAGTGTTCTCTTATTTTAACTAGAAGAGATTTTTGTAGTTCGTTAGTTCGTGTCCTTAAGCAGTATTTATTTTAGAGAGGCTTTTTCTTATATAATTGCAGTTAATTCAATTTATATTCAGGTTTAATCCTGCTTTCTAATGAATAAAATTCTGATGCATTTACTCCAAGTTCTCAACATTTTCTTATCATTCAACTAACTATATGCTTATAAGAATGCTCCAAGTGTTACTACTTAACTAACAAGACACTTAAAGCTAATAGTGGGATGAGTTAAGGATCTGTTCTTCCATGTGTTGGAGCAGAATTTAGTCCTCAAACAGGCCACATGACATCGCAATACTTTATAAACTTGATTTGTTTAATGATCATTTTGAATTAAATAGTTGTATTAATAAAATTAAATATTTATTAAATGTTATTATATGAAGTATGCTTAAAAAAATTAATATATTTTTTTCTAACATATATTCAAGAGTATGCAATAAGATGAAAGAACATGATTAGAGTGGAGACTTTTACTTCTCTCTCAAGAAAAAAAAAAAAAAAGGGACTTCTAACATATGAAAAATCATTCACATTTTTTTTATCATTCATAATGAATGAAAGTAAAATATTATTTTCTATACTTAAACATCATCTTCTTATAACAATCTTCATAACTACAATAACATAAATTAAATTCTTTAAATATCCTTTGTAGCCGTGGATCTCATAAAAAAAATATCTTCCTCATTTTTTTAAAACAAAAAATTATATTTTACTCTTATTTTAATTATTTATGTTAACTTTTTGAATATATAAAATAATGAACTTGGTACAATTTTCCAAACATAGTGAAGTCCACTCCACTCTAAGCTGGAAACATAAGAAGAGACGACAGAATTATTTTGGCATTAAATCTGGTGGACATTTTTGCCCTTATAGGACCTTCTGCGAAAGCCATAGGCAAGTAACTCCAGCCCAACCCAGACACCAACGTTGTTCCTCACTTGTCTTCTATCAATCAATGCAATGCCACTCTCTCCTTCTCGGAAAATCCCTTTCCCTTTTCCCCTTTCTATATATATCACATTCTCTTCTTTACCCTCTCACACTCTCTCTTTCTCTTCCTTCATCATATATGGCATCGCAAAGCCCACAACCCCATTTCCACGATTACCTTCCTTTCATGGCCAACAAGCTCGGTGGGGATGGTCTCATAGACGAACTCTGCAATGGGTTTAACCTTTTGAAGGATTCTAACAAAGGGGTCATCACTTTTGAGAGTCTCAAGAGAAACGCTTCTTTGTTGGGCTTACATGGCCTCAGTGATGAGGATCTTCGCTCTATGCTAAGCCAAGGTGATTTTGATGGCGATGGGGCGCTGAACCAGTTGGAGTTCTGTGTTTTGATGTTTAGGTTGAGCCCTGAACTCATGGAGGGATCCAAGTTGTGGTTGGAGGAAGTTCTTCGACAAGAGCGTCAAGATTGATTTTTTATTTTTTTAATGTGTTGGTGTTTTTAAGCCCAATTTAATAATTATTTTTGCCCAATTTAAAAAATTGCCCCTTATGTATAGTCCTCATTTCAATTCAATAATTATTTTTGCCTAATGTCGATGTTTTAGTTAACATGGCCTCAAATTCACATATTCTGAACATTTTGGACTTGCGTTTATGTTTGCCAACTCGCAATTGAGTTACCCTGGGTTATCGTCTAATATCGTGTTTTGAATTGATGTTTAATGTGGCATAGTGGTTATAATTTTTACGTTGGAACGAAACTTAAGGTTTTGAAAGTACACTAATTAATTTTACATACATGGCTTTATATTGATACAAATGAGAGACTTGTTTTAATATTTTAGGTGAGGAGGATCAAATCAGTTTCTTTTGCCGGTTAATTTGACATATCTCTGTGCGTGGATGTCATGTTCCTGAAAATGATAGCGCCATTAGCTTAGATCCACATTTGTTTGGTGTAAAATTGAAACAAGGACAAAGATGAGAACAGGATGTACCTTTTAGCATTGGCCACAACACAGGATATTATATACATTGTATATAACGAGAAAGAGCTTCTTAAAGAATTTTTTTTTTTATTAGAATTAGCATTATAAATAACCTCTAGCCAAACACATGTTTAATTAACAATTTAACATAATATCAAGTTATCTCAAAATATGCCAAACTTTCAAACTGGTTGTGATTTAGTCTAAGTTACTTTCCAATCCCCTTCAGGAATTTTAACACTGATTTATTGATACAATAATGGCTTCTGGCTCTGGGAGTGGCGTATATTGAAAGAGACATTCCTAAGACCAAGACTTGTCCATGCAGATTATCTGCTACATGTTCTAATTCTATCCTACAATTTTTTACCAAATAAAAGGTGGAAGCAAGTGTAAACAAAAGTGATTCACTGAGATGCAAACTATAAAGCCATGTTTCCAAATTCTAAAACTGCTTTCATGTCAGTCTGAGTGCATGTTCCTTTCAAATGGAAAATGTTTCAATTTCAACCAATCTATTTTGGCCTTCGAAACTAAAGATCGTTTGGTGAGTCTAACAAGGCTGCTAAGTGCTAATCAAACGACATGTGGACTAACAAAGATTTGCAAATATTTTTGCCAAATGGTTACGTGTTGATTTCAATGTATACACTATACAGCTACCGATATTCTTGTACCCATGTGCAAACAAAATGAACTTCAGGTGTAAATGTATTGCTTCTTTCATTCAGAAAATCACGTATGAAGCTTCAAGACACAGGCAACCGATGAAGAATCTTTCTTCGATGTTTGTCATTACTAAGATTCTGTTATTCATTTTTCATACCTGCAGGGCAATTGATTCCATATCCAAATTTGAGTCACTTTCTGAGAACACCACCTTGGTTTCCAAAGATGGTAGCTTTGAATTGGGTTTTTTCTGTCCTGGAAGTTCTGGGAACTGTTACTTGGGTATATGGTACAAGCGAATACCAGTTAAAACTGTGGTATGGGTGGCCAATAGAGCCAACCCAGTCAAAGACAACTCTAGCATTTTGCACATAAACAAGCAGGGGAATCTTGTGATTGTAACAGAAAATGGGACTGTTGTTTGGACAGGACTAGCAGACTCCAGAAACAAGGCTTTTAACCCATTTGTTCAGCTCTTAGACACTGGAAATTTAGTAATAAGAGATGAGAAAGATGAAGATGTAGAAAACTACTTATGGCAAAGCTTTGATTATCCTTCTGATACCTTGTTACCAGGTATGAAGCTGGGGTGGGACTTACAGACAGGTCTTAACCGGCATTTATCTGCTTGGAAGAACTGGGATGATCCATCACCGGGAGACTTTACTTTAGGTCTTGCACTTGAAGGGTACCCTCAAATAGTTATGTGGAAGGGCCCAACAGCATTCTATAGGGGTGGTCACTGGAATGGTATTACATTCAGTGGTGCCCCGGAATTGAAGGAAAATCCACTTTTTGAGTTCGAGTTTGTGTATAACAAGGAAGAGGTGTACTACACATACAGCCTCAGAAATGAGTCAATGATTTCAAGAATGGTTATGAACCAAACCGTGTATACTAGGCAGCGCTATGTATGGATTGAGGGAGCTCAAACTTGGAGGCTTTATGCTTCTGTGCCAAGAGACAACTGTGACTACTATAATCTTTGTGGCCCTAATGGAAATTGTGTTATAGGTGACTCACCAATTTGCCAGTGCTTGTCAGGGTTTAAGCCAAAATCACCGGAAAACTGGGATATGATGGACTGGACTCAAGGATGTGTGCACAATCAACAGTTGAGTTGCCAGGATAAGAGTAAAGATGGGTTTTTGAAATTTAGCGGTTTGAAATATCCTGATACTACACATGCTTGGGTCAATGAGAGTATGGATCTCAACAAATGCAGGGAAACTTGCTTAGGAAATTGTTCTTGTACAGCTTATGCAAACTTAGATATAAGAGGAGGAGGTACTGGCTGTGTGATTTGGTTTGGTGAGCTTAGGGACATGAGACAGTTTTCTGGTGAAGCTCGTGATCTATATATTCGGATGACAACATCAGAATTTGGTATGGTCTTGATGTGTCTATAGCACTTGATACTGTATTCAAACAGAAGTGATTATTTATGCTACTACATTTATTGTGATTTTTCTGCAACTTCTTACAGTCTTTGATGATTTCATAATTGTTTTGTTACAAATCATGAAGCTGAGAAAGATGTACATAAGAGGAAGGTGGCTGCAATAGTCATCAGTGTTGCCTCGGTTCTCGTGGTGATTCTGATTTTCTCCTACATTAGCAAGAGAATGAAAAAGCTCGAAGGTAGTTTTCTAATCTTAATTAATGAATTTCCACTGAAATAAAACAAGACTAATCAGTTTCAATCTCAGTTCTGTGAGCGTGAGACTATTATATTGTCATTCTTAGGTCTAGATTATCAAGCTCTTATAAATAGTGTTGTTAGAGATTCTTACAGGCTTTAAACAGCCATTCAAAATTTTGAACGCCAACATATAATTGTCTTATTCTATTGCTTTCTCTTGCAAAATAGTGCTGCAAATTTTTTAATTTTAGCTGTTGTTAGGAACAACGTTGTGCAATTAGTGCTTGTGTTAGCTGTCAATCATAAATCAAGAAAACTGGAAATAATTTTTACTTTCAAACGGATTAAAATTGAAACCTTAAATGTTGTTTTCTTAAATCTATAATAATTTACTGGCTTTATTCACAACACCATTGGCAACTTTTGATTCACAAAATGTTCCTCTGTAGCACTATTATTTTCCTAAATATAAGTTTTCTTGTTTGGATAAAATAAAGAACAAGATAGACGTTGCATGTGGTAATGGCATATTAGTATCTTAGAATCAACTTGCCATGTTTTTCATATTTTGAAAAAAGCTCAATGCTCTTTACAGTTGAGGAAACAGAGAATTACTTGATGGAGAATAATGTTGAAAGCATGAAAGAAAACCTCGAGCTTACTTCGTTCGACCTTTCTCGTATTCTCAAAGCAACCAATGGCTTCTCAACAAACAAGAAGCTTGGCGAAGGCGGTTTTGGGACTGTATACAGGGTAACATTGCAGGATAATTGCTTTATAAAATATATAAAAGCTTGAAATCATTACTTATAGTTTGTATATAAATTTGAAACAATAGGGTATCCTAGAAGATGGACAAGAAATTGCTGTCAAGAGACTTTCACAGAGCTCTAGACAAGGATTGAATGAATTCATGAATGAAGTAATATTGATTGCCAAATTGCAGCATCGAAACTTAGTTAAGCTTCTTGGTTTTTGCGTTGAAGGAGAGGAGAAAATGCTTATTTATGAGTACATGTCTAACAATAGCCTAGACTCATTTATCTTTGGTTTGTGCCACTATCTTTTGAAATTTTATACTTCATTTTCTATATATATTTCCGCACGTCATTTTACTTCAATTTTTTATACGTCTGCTGGAAATAACTAATAATGTTGTTGGTTTTGGCAGATCATGTGAAAAGTAAAGTTTTAGATTGGTCTAAGCGCTTCAACATTATCTACGGAATTGCTCGGGGACTTCTGTATCTTCACGAAGATTCTAGATTAAAGATAATACACAGAGATCTTAAAGCGAGTAACGTCTTACTTGACAATGAGTTCAACCCAAAAATATCAGATTTTGGCATGGCTAGAACTATTGTCGGAGATCAAATTGAAGGAAACACGAACATGGTCGTTGGAACATAGTAAGTATTCTTAACATTTTGCAATTTACGTCTACCTCTACCCAACAATGATCTCAACCATGCTTGATTATATTTTTCAGTGGTTATATGGCACCTGAATATGCAATTAATGGACTATTCTCGGTAAAATCTGACATATTCAGCTTTGGTGTATTACTGCTTGAGATAGTATGTGGAAAGAAGAACAGAGAATTTTCCCATTCAGACAACTGTATAAACCTTATTGGACATGTAAGTAAAAAAAAGTTGATATTTTTCTGCTAGGACTTTTGAGTGACAAATTTTGGAAATTGAATGAATGGCTTTGTATGTTCTAGGCATGGAGATTTTGGAAAGAAGAAAGGGCTTTAGAGCTGATTGATTCATGCTTCAAGAATTCATGTATTCAATCACAAGCACTACGCTGCATTCAAATTAGTCTTCTATGTGTTCAGAGGCATCCTGAGGATAGGCCCATAATGTCAACTGTGGTTTTGATGTTGATTACTGATATTGCATTACCCCAACCTAAGGAACCTGCTTTCCTTATTGACAACGTCTTAGTTGGTGCAGATTCTTACCATAACCATCAGCTTTCTACATCCAATGGAGTAAGCATCACCAAGTTAGAGCCTCGGTAGTGGATCATTTACCAAAATCCTACAATGGATCAAAATAAAGATATGGAGCACAAGTTTGAAAGAGTTAAAATCTTTGCATTTATTCTTCCAATTTGGTACTATTTATAGATACTAGACCAAATATAAAAGTGAAGTGTTATAAACCAGCATTCTTGGTCTCTCTGGTAATTTTGTATTACGACTCCACAACGTTTTTCCAAACCATTATGAGCGACAAAATTTTCCCATCAAGCTAGAATAGTAATTACCAGAAATATTAATCAGTAAAATAGTATATCAAAACAAGTATAATATATCACGGAAATTATGGAATAAAAAAATATGAGAAAGGTGGTGACATTCACGTAAACACCCAAGAGTTATTGTTCATTTATTCTCTGTGATGTCACCAGTGACGGATCTGAAGTGCAAGTGGGAAGGCGTGAACTATATATCATCACATACTCTATGTATTTGTGCAAGGAAATTCTGTTTTCATTTAATAATTTTTTATACAACAAAAACTCTGCAAGAGATTTTGTTTATTTATTTCTTACACCTAAAAGATAAAGGTTATGAATATGAATATATTCTAATATCCAACAGCAAAGGATATTTCCTGAATAAAAATAAACAGAGAGCATAATATGAGAATAATAAAATGGTGAACTTGGAAGTGCAAAGTTTTTTTTCGTTTATGATAATCGGCAAAGGAAAGCTTTAGAAATAAATAAAATTTTGCCACGCAAAGAAGAAGAACCAGATGTCTTGTCCAATTGGTTTGTGATGGCGTCACGAGTGACGCCAGAGTCAAAGCAGAGAAAGTCAAAACTTGAACAACAAGGCAAAAAAAAAAACACATTCACCGCACGCACTGCTTCCCAACACTTTCTTCTTTCTCCGACTTCCCTTTATAATACATACATTCCTTCACTTTCTTCCATTGCACTTGAAAAAGAAAACATTGCAGAACCATGTCCACATCACAAACTCACGTGCTCGCTTACCCCTTCCCTTCTTCAGGTCACGTGATCCCAATCATTGACCTCGCCAAAGCCCTTGTATCTCGCGGTGTACGAGTCACGGTTTTAGTCACTTCATCGAACCAAGCCTTAGTCCCAACCACCTATTCCCCTCTTCTCCAAACTCTTCTTCTACCCGCGCCTAACGCCTCCGACCCCAACCAAATCAGGCTCGTAGCTCTCGTCACCTTCATGCGCCAATACCACTACCCCATCCTCCTCGACTGGGCCCAGGCCCACCTTCCACCCCCTTCAGTTATCATCTCTGACTTCTTCCTCGGCTGGACCCACCACCTCGCACGTGACCTCAACGTGCCACGCCTCGTTTTCTCCCCCTCCGGTGCTTTCGCTCTTTCCGTCTCTTACTCCCTCTGGCGCGACACCCCCCGAAACGACAACCCCGAAGACCCCAACTCCGTCGTTTCGTTCCCCGACCTACCGAACTCCCCAGTTTACCCCTGGTGGCAAATCACGCACCAATTCACAGCCCCCGAGAGAGGGGGACCCGAATGGGAATTTCACAGGGAGAACATGCTCTTCAACATTGACTCATGGGGCGTCGTTTTCAACACGTTCACCGAATTAGAACGTGTTTACCTTGACCACATGAAGAAATATCTTCACCAACGAGTATGGGCCGTGGGTCCGGTTCTACCGGACCAGAAAAGCGGACCGGAAAACCGAGGTGGGTCAAGCACCGTCACGCGCCATAACCTCATGGAATGGCTCGACGCACGCGCGGATGGTTCGGTTGTTTACGTGTGCTTCGGGAGCCGCACCTTTCTCACGAACTCACAAATGGAGGTGTTGACACGTGCCCTAGAGTTAAGTGGGGTCCACTTCATTTTATCCGTTAGGACTCCCGATGAGAGACACGTGGCGCAGGGCCACGGTAAGATACCGAGTGGGTTCGCGGATCAGGTGCGAGGCAAGGGGTTTGTAATAGAAGGGTGGGCCCCGCAGCTGGTAATACTGAGTCACGGCGCGGTGGGATCGTTCATGACTCACTGCGGGTGGAACTCGGTCGTTGAAGGGTTAGTTTCAGGGGTAGTAATGCTGACGTGGCCCATGGGTGCGGACCAATACACGAACGCGAAGCTGTTGGTGGATGAATTAGGGGTTGCGATTCGCGCCGCAGAAGGGATCGAGAAGGTTCCAGAAGCGATAGTGATGGCGAAGAGCATGGAGAGGTCATTGGGGATGACGAAGGAGAGAGTTCGAGCCCTTGAGTTACGAAACGCTGCGTTGCGTGCTATCAAGAAGGATGGTAGCTCTCACAAGGACTTGGATGCCCTCGTTCACAAACTCAATCAACTTTAAGCATTAGAAAGTGGTATAAGCATCTCTGCTATTCCACCCTTAGGAAAGAACTTGAATTAGAGTAAAATTCACAACAGAATATGATTGAAACTCATTAATGAAATTCAGCAAAAGTTGCTGTTACTACAAAAATTACACATCTATACAAATAAATAAGTGAATATGCAGTTAAATAAAATAATTTTGTCTATCTCTCACTCAAATTTGAGATAGTGACATCGTTAACTGAATAGGGTGATAGGTTCTCAAAATCACAGTCTCCTTTAGTTGAGATTTCTTCTGTTAAGTAACACGGATCCTTAGGTACAGGCAATGCACCCTCGTTGCTCAATAATACCACTACAGTGCTCATGTTTGGCCTATCTTTTGGATGATGCTGCACACATAAAAGACCAATATGAATGCATCGCAAGACTTCAGAGAGAATACAAGAGTCCTCCAAACTAGCATCAATGAACTGCATTGGAACACCCTCTTTCCATGACTTCCATGCCTAAGACATTTTAAAACAACGGTCATCAACCAGTTCATAAAATAAAAACTGAAACTGTTAATGATACTTACTTGCCCTGTAAGATTATTGTAGTCACTTAGATAGAAGAGTCTAGAATTTTTCTTGCCACTTATAATCTCTAGCAATAATATGCCAAAACTAAATACATCGGATTTGATAGAGAATATTCCGTCAAAAGCATATTCTGGCGCCATATAACCGCTGAAAAAAATTCAAAAAGAGTTGATTGAATATATTAGATTATTGTATAATAATAATATTTTAGTAGAAATAAAGATACCTACAATGTACCAACTACTTTGCTTGTATTCCCTTCAATTTGATCACCTCGGCACATTCGAGCTAGGCCAAAATCTGAAATTTTTGGATTCATCTCATAATCTAATAAGACATTACTTGCCTTAAGATCTCTGTGTATGATCCTTAGTCTTGAGTCTTGATGAAGATAGAGTAGTCCACGGGCAATTCCATTTATAATGCAAAAGCGCTTTGGCCAATCTAGAAGTTTACTGCGATCAGAATCTACCAAATTTCATGGTTATCTTCTAATATTGCAAAAAATATGAGAAAAATGAAATTCTAAATTCAACTAAGAATTAGTTTTGACAGAAACACTAACCAAAGAGAAAAAAATCAAGGCTTTTGTTGGCCATAAATTCGTATACAAGTAATTTCTCATTATCTTGAATGCAGCAGCCAAGAACTTTAACAAGATTTCGATGTTGTAGTTTAGCACATAGCATAACTTCATTCTTAAATTCTTTTAATCCTTGTATAGATGTTTGTGAAAGCCTCTTAACCGCAATCTCTTGTCCATCTGGTAGTGTTCCCTAAGCAAATCACATTTGTCAGGAAAAAAAAAATAAATGTAGTGAATAACAGTTTTTGTGCTATGTGGCACACTTACCCTGTATACAGGTCCAAAACCCCCTTCACCAAGCTTGTTTTGATTTGAGAAGTGATCTGTAGCATGTGCCATTAAGGCAAGGTCAAATAATGGTAGTTCCAAGTCTTCTTGCTTGCTTTCATTGTTCTTTACTCTTATCCTTGTGATGATCTCTGTTTCCATGCAAACGAATTGAATGAGAAAAATTATCTTGCAACCTGTACTAAAAAAGTTTCCTTTTGAACAACAACAACAACAATTAAGACTTATCCGCTTCCTTTTGACCTACAATACTTTGAAATTTATTGTAAGTGTTTGGTTTTTAATTATAAGTTTTTATTTTAAAAATGCCATTCATTATTGTGGGGTCGAAAGGAGGAAATGACTACAAAATCTGTTTAATATTTCCAGACAATAATATATATGAAGATTATGAACAACGCTTCCCTCTGATTTCAAAAGGAATGGACACAATCACATCCTTCTACGACTTCATGTGACCATTCTAAATATTATGTGTTGGCTCTTCCATGGAAAATATGGGAAAATCATTATGAATAGGTAACATGGGTTAGGCGGAGACTTACCTTTGATTTTTGTGTTGCTCCTCCAATGAATGAATATGAAAATTAAAAATATCGCAATAACAGAAAACACAGCACTTGTGATCACAGCCACATTTTTCTTTGAACCACCTTTTGCACCTTGAATTCCTTAACAAATAAAGGGAAATAAATAGTCAAAACATGCAAAAAAAAAAATGGGTATTGAGATTAATTACAATTTATCTTCATCTTAAGGTAATGAAATCAAAATCAAGATCAAATTTCGTACCTATTTCGGACATCGCCAATCTAACATAAATATCTTGTCCACCATTTTGAATCACTCTTAAATCTAATAGATCATCGAACCAAATGGCACAGCCACTACCTTCTCCCCTGATGTCTGAATTTGCATAAGCCATACAAGAACAATTTTCCCAACACTTGTTCTTGCATTCATCAAGAGTCAAACTTGAATTGACCCATGATCTCTTAGTGTCTGGTGCCTTCACGTTACTAAATTTTTGAAAACCATCCTTGTTCTTTTCCCTGCAACTCCATGTTCCATTGTGGACACATCCTTCATTCCAATTCATTTGGGTCCAATTTTGTGGCGATTTTGGCTTGAACCCATCCAAACATTTGCACACTGGAGACTCATTAATTACACAGATCCCAAATGACCCACAAAGATTATAGTTGTCACAATAATCACCAGGCAATACTGAAGACATTATCCATGTTTGGCTATCACGATTCCACGTCAAGCGTTGGCGTGTATAAACCGTTTGATTCATCACAATTCTTGAAATCACTGACTTATCACCGATGCTATAAGTAAAATAGAATTCATCGTTATTGGACACAAATGTGTAGTTGACTACTGAATTATATGCCAAAAATGGACTACCACTGAATTTAATGCCATCTGAAGGGCCACTTCTATAGAACTCTTTTGAGCCCTTCCACATAACCGCTTCAGGGTTATTTGTAGGTATAATACCCCATTTAAAGTCCCCTAGAGAAGGGTCATTCCAGTTTCTCCAAGCTGTTACACGCCTATTGAGGCCTTTTTTGAAGTCCCATCCCACTTTCATTCCAGGCAAAAGTGTATCTGAAGGGTAATCAAAGCTTTGCCACAAGTAGTTTTGAGGATTGTTGTCTTTCTCATCTCTTAGAACCAAGTTGCCTGGGTTTAATAGCTGTGCTACTACGTTGACCCTTTTCGTTGTTGCGTTTGTTGACCAAATAACTGTGTTGTTGTGGTTGAGAAGTACAAGGTTTCCCTCCATGCTTATGCTCAACTTGCTGGAATTGTCTTTGATTGGGTTGTCACGGTTGGCAACCCAAACGATAGTTCTAATTGGTATATTTTTGTACCATATTCCTATGTATTGGTTTGTGGAATTACCTGGGTTGAAGAAACCCAACTCAAAGGTTCCATCGTTTGAAACCAAGGTCATGTTCTCATGAAGTGATTGAAACTGAGTAAGGGTATCTGTTTCAGCTGAAATTTTAGAGAAGGACAAAAGTAACTTGGCAACAAGAAACATAAGAGGAAGAGTGGCCATTTTACATTAATGTTTGCTCTTGATCACTAAGAGTTAAATGTGTATAAGCTGAAATTCCCAGCGGCCAAGTATGTTCTATCAATTCAATATAAAAGGAATCTATCTGTTTAAATATTGCGAAATTTCCCAGTGGAAACAGCAAATGAAATTGTCATTTTGGGTACCCACACATTGCGTAGTTTTAAATATATTATTAGATACATTACACTTGCGATTTCTTTGATAGTTGAATTGTTTGTGTCAAACACTGTTTCTGCGTTAGTTTATATGTTAGTCAACTCATTATCTTCAGTTTCAGATAATTTATTTATTTTTGTGTCAGTTGATTTATTGTATTTAAATATCTGTGTTTGAATTGTTGCATTACATAATTATATTTTACAGCTTTGTTCAATTTCGTTAAGAATATGACGTAGATAATTTAACGTAAAATGAAAGGATAAATAAAATATTATTTACGAAAATGAGTCATACACGTAAGTCATCATTGAAGGATATTATAGAGTTTGAATTTACTTGTGTGTAAGAGCACTTAATTGGAACTGTATGATTGGGTGGTAACTATGGTTAGTTGTATGCGTGCGTGAAAGGAGGGAAACTTTTTTCAATGCTTCTGAAGAACACATACACACACATCTGGTACAATATATATCAGGCACTTGAGCAGTGACCTAGAAATTTTGTGATGAATTTTTTAATTCATTATTGTGTTACTGATGTGATCTTCATGGAGGGCGATTTTTACGGTCCCTATTTTGGGAAAAGGAGATCAAATCAAGCCGATGATGAATTAACTACCATGATATTACATAAGAAAAACCATTATACATAATACTTCTGATTTTATATAACCTTGCACAATCAGGAAATATAAGAAAAGACATAAGATATAATACAAAATATAAAGGAAGAGATAAACAAAAAAAAGGTTTAAATATATTTTTCTATCTTTGCATTCCTGTGAGATTTTAATTTTAATTTCTTAATTTTTTTTTATATTTTAGATAGTTAGTTCTCTTTTCAGAAAAATTGGTGATTTTAGTTTCTACTGATGATTTGATTAGTTAAGAAGCAATCGTACGTGTTTAAATTTTTTTAGTCAAATTATTGCTGAAGACCAAAAATATTAACTTTAGAAAAATTTTATACTAAAATTAAAATTTATAAATATATTTTAAAATCAAAAGATGTATTTTATTTAAATGTTATAGAATTATTAAAATAGATTAACTCAATAAGAAATATTTTTATCATTAAGAACCCCTGAACACAAAACCACACCAACCCTCAACTGCCTGAAACTTAGCATACATAATGAAGATAATATTACATGTTTTTAACATACTGATTTCATGATTGAGAGAAAATTTGTTGGCATCTTATATATTTGTCACTCTCCACGACTCAAATAGAGCCACATATTACCATCTTGACAATTTCAAGTCTCAAACTTCTCCCTTTGTAATGAATTTGTTAATATATTAAGATGAATATCAGTTGCATGAATCTTGTCAAGATCAAGCAACTTGGAGCATGACACATCTGGTATTTAATGTGTGCGTGTGTATATATATTAATATAATATTAAATTAAATAAATATTTAGTTTATAAAATAAAAATGAAATATTCTTAAAAGTTTAAAAATTAGAATATTCAACTCGTACAATCTAAAATTTTAACAGGAGAGTTTACTCAAAAGTAGATTCAAATATGAACGAAGGAGCAGCCAGCAGTCGTTTACAAATGTTGTTTTACTGGCGAGTCACTATTCTCGGGCGAAGGTGTCTTTAAAGTGTCGTTTTGTATTTAAAAATGATTTGGAAGGGACAAGTATTGATGGCATAGCAATTAAAACAGAGATGTCATTAGTGCTTTTAGGCCCTAAATAATTGTTATTCTATTAAACATTGTTTAATTTTGTTTCTTATTCATATATATATATATATATAAAAGCTATGATCATCTTAATTACAATATATTTGATGTAGACTCTTTTGACAAAATCAAATAACATTTTGAATCACATAATCTTCCATGGCTTGCTTGACTTGACCTCTTTCGGTAAAATAGACACCATATATAATTAAATCGATCACTCCTATCACCTTCAAAACCTCAATAATTCATATATAAATTCGTTACAACATTTGTAAATGACTGCTGGCTGCTCCTTGGTATATAATTAAATATGATTAAATTCTCGTATTAACATTTGAGATATGAGTTGAACTTTTTAATTAAAAAAATATTTATATTTAATTTTCTAAGATAATATTAAAAAAAATATATAAAATAATAAAAGTAAATATTGTTTATAAAATAAAAAAAATATTTTAAAAAAATTTAGACACTAAAATACTTTATTCATAACATCTTGTGAACTAATTATGTTATCAAACATGCTTTAAACTTTATTTGATAAATTTAGCTAAAAGTTTGTAATTTATACCTAAAAACGTATAGTTAATAAGTAATTAATTGATTGAATTATAGTTATTGAATAAAATTACTTGTATTGCTAACTAAAATGTGCTAAATGAATTAAAAAAGAAATGCTAAAATTATTTTATTTGAGTGTGTAAATTATTTAAAAAGTTAGGAATAAAATTACTAAAAAATTATTAGAAGCTATCTTTTACTAAATTAAATACTACTTTTCGTAAGTTTGTTTTAAAAAGTTAAAAGCTTTCTTTAAGATGTTTTTGATATAACACATGCTTATGACTTATTTATAAGCTTAATTTTTTTTTCATTATATCAATAAAGTTAATTAGTAAAATTTTTTGATAAATAAAAATAAAGTAAGCTTATATGTTTTGAAAGAGCTTTTCTGAGTTATGATTTTTGAAAATTAGCTTCTAAAAAGCTATTCCAAGTAACATTCACCTTATTGGAGGTTAGCAATAATTTTTCTATTTTTATACTTAATTAGTTAAATAATTTACATTTACATAAATTAACTTTAATATTTTTTAATCATTTAAAATATTTCAACTAGTGATGCAATTATGTTTTCCAAGAAAATTTAAATTATATAAAAGATTAAGATAAAAAGAAAGAAAATAGTAATACTTAACTTCTAATAAATTAAATATTTTGAAATAAGATTTTTTTTTTTTACTGAATATCTTGATTGTTTGTTAATACTTGCCACGTCTTATTTTGAACAGCCTTGGATGCAGCTTCATGCACGCCACTCACTCAAACGGTTTCGATTCACTTTCTTAGTTCTTATACCCAAGTTTATAGTCAAATTCTATGCTCATTCTATGTAATATCCTCGTCCTCATCATCATCATTATTATTATTATTAACCGATATGATTCGTTTTTCTGAAGAAAGACTACCGGCGTTAATTCTCTGACTTCTAATTTCATATTATTCTAAGTCGAAGTCACAATTCTGAACAGAATTTGAACCATGAGGTTTAACATATTGAATTCTCCTTGTTCAGAGGGTAATTCAAAATATTGAATTGACGAAATGGGCATTTGACTAATTCAAACTGCGAACTTCAACTTGCATATATAACGCTCGCTAGTGATGAGCAACATAAACATAAAATGGCCACTCTTACCATTATCCTTATTGTTGCGAAGCTATGTTTTTGCTTTTCAGCTGCAACAGATACCATAACCCAGTTTCAATCACTTCTAAATAACATGACCCTTGTTTCCAAGGATGGAACCTTTGAATTGGGTCTCTTCAGCCCAGGTAGTTCCACAAACAGTTACATAGGAATCTGGTACAAAAGCGTTCCACTCAAAACTGTCGTTTGGGTTGCAAACGGTAACTACCCAACCAAAGACAACTCCAGCAAGTTGAGCATAAGCAGAGAGGGAAACCTCGTACTTCTCAGCCAGAACAACACCATTATTTGGTCAACAAACGCAACAACAAAAGTTGTCAATGTTGTAGCACAGCTATTAGACACAGGCAACTTTGTTCTAAGAGATGAGAAAGACAATAATCCTCAAAATTACTTGTGGCAGAGCTTTGATTATCCTTCAGATTCATTGTTACCTGGAATGAAATTAGGATGGGACTTCAAAACTGGTCGTAATCGACGCCTAATTGCTTGGAAAAATTGGGATGACCCATCTCCGGGGGATTTCATATGGGGTCTGGTGCCTACCAATAATCCTGAATCGGTTATGTGGAATGGCACAAAAGTGTTCTATAGAAGTGGTCCTTTTGATGGCATTCAATTTAGTGGTAACCCATCTTTGGATTATAATGCATTAGTCAATTATACATATGTGGCCAATAATGATGAATTGTGTTTTTCATATACTATCAATGATAAGTCATTAATTTCAAGAATTGTTATTAATCAATCAAGTCACGTTCGCCAGCGGGTGACATGGAGTAATAATACTGGAACGTGGAGGGTGTCTTCAACGTTGCCAATTGATTATTGTGACCATTATAATCTTTGTGGTCCATTTGGGATATGTTACGTTGGTGATTCCCCACTGTGCAAGTGTTTAAATGGCTTCAAGCCCAAATCGCAGCAAAATTGGATTGAAATGGATTGGAGTCAAGGATGTGTGCACAATGAAACATGGGTTTGTAGAGAAAAGAATAAGGATGGTTTTGTCAAATTTAGTAACGTAAAGACACCAGACACTACAAGATCGTGGGTTAATAAGAGTATGACACTAGAGGAATGTAAGGAAAAATGTTTGGAAAATTGTTCTTGTACGGCTTATGCAAATTCTGACATAAGGGGACAAGGTAGTGGTTGTGCTATTTGGTTTGGTGATTTGTTAGATATAAGGCAGATTTCAGATGCTGGGCAAGATTTATATGTTAGAACGGCGGTGTCTGAAATAGGTATCAATTATGATTTATATTTCGCCACCTTAGTTATGGTAAACTATGTAAATTCTACTTAATACTCGTTTTTCTTCATGTATTGACAATTTATTTCATTTTCTTCGTGCAGCTCAAAAAAATAAAGATGCAAAAGATAGTTCAATGCGAAAGGCGGTTCTGATCGCAAGCACTGTTTCATCTTTTGTTGTGATGCTTATAATTTCAACATTTATTTATTGGAGGAACAAAGGTAAAATCAAAGGTAAGCCTTCTTAACCTATATTGCCTTCATATTATCATACTCTTTCCATAAAATATGTTAGAGAAAGGAGTATTCATGATCATCCGTGAGTGACCTAATATTTTTATTGAATCAATTCTAATATCGTATTAAAAATATATCAGGTTTAACTCACTTCTTAAAGGGAAGAGAATTGCCTCAGTCCTATGTGGAGTAATCTTGCTAAATATATATTTCAATAGAAATCATATTCTTTACTATTCTGAATATTTTAATAGAGTTAATATATGATTTAAATGGTCACATTAACACAAAAATTATGGTATTGCACTGATAAATTATACTAATTACTTTTGAAATCGGAAAAAGTGTGTGATCCTGATCTTTAAATATAATTTTTTAAAAACATTTAATTAATATTACTGTTTCAATCCTATCAACTATCATATGCTTACATTATTTAATAACTTTTTATAAAACGTAAAATTTATCAATCTAAAAATTACTTTATAAATTTTAATTAACTAATATCAATGATTCCAAATTCTATGTATATAAATATAAAATAAATGTCAAACTACTACAACTCAAAAAGTAACATTTGCAACACAAGTTAAAATAATTTTTCTATTCAATTTGTTTGGATGAAAACAGATATCATCACAGTTACAAAGAAAAAGAATGACGAAAACAAAGAAGATTTTGAGCTACCATTGCTTGACCTCACTTCAATAGAGCATGCCACAGACCACTTCTCAGATAGCAATAAGTTGGGCGAAGGTGGTTTTGGGCCTGTTTACAGGGTAAGTTTAAAATACTTGTTCATCATTTTTCATATAACAAAGCTCTAAATTTTTATGTGTATATATCTTTAACTTCCTTCCCCATAAACGGTGATGTGTTTAGGGAATACTACAAGATGGGCAAGAAATTGCTGTGAAGAGGCTTTCCCAGACATCTGGACAAGGATTGAAAGAATTTAAAAATGAAGTTATTTTATGTGCTAAACTTCAACATCGAAATCTCGTTAAGGTTGTTGGTTGTTGCATTCAAGAAGATGAGAAACTACTCATATACGAATTCATGGCAAACAAAAGCTTGGACTTCTTTCTTTTTGGTTAGTGTCAAGATTGAAACAATTCATTCATTATATATATATATATATATATATATATATATATATATATATATATATTACTTTTAGGATCATGCTAACAAGTATTTTGAAGATGCTAATTAAGCAATAAATAAATAAATTTTGTAAAAAATTACAGTGGGGTTACATTAGTAATACAAGGGTATGTTGATAATTATTTTTTTTTATTAAAATGTTCCATTTTTTATTCCATAACTAGTGTCCAAGGATACTTGTTAGCATTTTTGATGTTTTTATCGTTGCAATATTAGAAGTATAATAATCTTTAAATTTGATAGATTCTAGTCAAAGTAAACTTTTGGACTGGTCCAAGCGCTTAAACATTATAAATGGAATAGCTCGGGGAATGCTTTATCTTCATCAAGATTCAAGATTGAGGATCATACATAGAGATCTCAAGGCAAGCAATATTTTATTAGACAATGAGTTGAACCCAAAAATTTCAGATTTTGGTTTGGCTCGAATGTGTGGGGGTGATCAAATTGAAGGGAATACAACAAGAGTAATTGGTACATAGTAAGTATCTTTATCCATCCTACAGTCTTATTACATATTAATTAAACATCAAAATAACTCTTTTTGTGGTATCTTGCAGTGGTTATATGGCACCTGAATATGCTTTTGATGGAATCTTTTCTCTCAAATCTGATGTATTTAGCTTTGGTGTATTATTGTTAGAGATAGTGAGTGGTAAGAAAAATGGCCGATTTTTCTATCCGAATCAGTACACTAATCTTATTGGCCATGTAAGTAACATTAATAACTTTAGATTTCATATAGTGATGTGGTAGATAATATTAATAAGATTAATCTTATTCAATGTGTTTTAGGCATGGAGCTTATGGAAAGAGGGCATTCCAACACAATTAATTGATGCTAATTTGCAAGATTCATATAATCTATCTGAAGCTTTGCGGTGCATTCATATTGCTCTCTTGTGCGTGCAACATCATCCTAATGATAGACCAAATATGGCATCTGTGGTTGTATTATTGAGCAATGAGAATATATTGCCTCCACCAAAGGATCCTACCTACTTAATAGACGAATTTTCAATTGGATGGAAGTCTTGTTCTACAACCCAAATGGCTTTTTCAATTAGTGAATCATTACCCCAACCTTAAATGATAGAAACACACATATTTTACTTCTTTTATTTGTACAGCATTAACAAGATGATAAGTCTAACATGGAATATGTGGCTGTACTATTGAACAGCAGAAGTGTTCAGCCTCCATGTTGAACGACAGATTGGCAAAGTTACGTAACGTCATAGCTACATATTGATTTATTTATTTTGTAGAAAAAATAAACTTTTTGTCTCTTCGTAATGACTAATACATGATTTTTTTTATTCAAATTCAATTCTTCAATTTATTCAATTCAAACCTTTAAATACTTGGTTTATGATATATTTGAGATAATATATGATTTGAATGGTTAGATAATGAAATTTGGTGGAAGAAAAATTGAAGAATCCTGTAGGCAGGGAAGAGGAAAAAAATTCATTTTGAAATCTATGACAATACTAAAAAAAAGTTTTAATAACAGTTAGAAAATAATTAATTATATAAAGTATAACTGCTATATTGCAAATGATATAAAATATCATAAAAGTAACAAAATCGTTATAAGGGTGAACCTCTATCCTAAAATTAATGTAACATTAGTAGAACCATGGCTCATGCTGTTAGATACAGTTATTAGAACCTAGAATGCACAAGATAACATGGGTTGTCTGATATATTACCTTGAATCTAGAACACCATGGGGCCATACTCCGGTTCGCCTATGAATTGGAAAACTAACTGAGAATCCCAGTGGACGAGCAAGTGAAGCTGAGAACCAAAAAGCCAAGCTTGAGCAAGCCATTGAAGTGCATCTCTAAAGGCTTCTCTTTATGCAAAACATTCCATTTCACACCTACCCTACTAAGTGTGGCTCCCCATCTATAGCATCATCAAGATGTCCAAACCTCATTATCATCAAGATGCAAATAAATGTACTCATGATTACAATTAAATAATCGTGCTAAAATTGAAACTTATTACAGAATAATATTTAAATTTATTTTAAAAATATATAAACTTTATAGATATCAAAACCTTATTCAAACTTTATTTATACATGTGTTTGTAAATGGGTACGTAAGTTTGGAATGATTTTTTGATCAAGTGATTTTATTCAAAGTTGGATTTGGATTTGGATAAAATGTTAAGCATATATTATGTAGTGGATTCAATGAAATTCTTGAATGTTTGGGTGTGTATGTATATTTATGGTTGGTTTGGTGTATATAAATAGGATACTGAATCAATTATGAAATGGCAACCTTATATTTTTGAAATCGTATAAAAAATATTCCGTGATAACACAACATATTCTTTAAAAAGTATTTAGCAAAGCTTGTAGGGGGTGCATGATATGGGGTAAAGAACTTGTGAAAAAACTAACAATTTTTTTTAAATGGCAAGGTTTTTACTCTAAAACAGTAATTACATTAGTATTATATATTACGCATAGGAAAGAAAAAAAAAATCTTTATATATTAAATTTAAGCCTTTATTTTTAAACAAGAGGGCCTTAGAAATTATTTTTTTATTATTTTATGTGACTTTTATTGCATTTAATTTTTTGAAAATTCAGTTTTAACTTGAATTTTAAAGTTTAGTGTTATGAAATAAAATACTTTTTAATTTATAAAATTTATTAAATTTTAAAATGATTATGCAATATATTCTTAATTTTTTTTAAAAATTATTTAAATATAATAATTTTAAAAACGAGTGTCAAAAGATGAACACGAAATTCATGATTTCTAGCTGCAACGGGCTTAATATGAACGGGGGCATAGTTAATGCTTCAATCCCTTGAGCATTGCCATATCTAAGAAACACTTTTTATCCTTTCGTGTATAAGAAGTTATAAAAGTAATTTTTATATAAAGTAATTGATAATAAAAGATTGGGATGGTTTTAAAATGAGTTTAGTTTTAGTGTATCGTTAGTGTAAACTTATTTTACTATTTGTGAATGTCTGTCAACCAGCGTAATTATTTTTATTTTTAAGTATATTTAAATTAAATGTTATATATATATATATAAAATTAAAATTTGTTTTGGTTTGTGCTTTAAAAAATAATGTGAATGTGTACTTTACACCTACACGGATCTGAGTTGATTTCTTCAATCAATCTATTTATTTATATATTTGAGCTATCATGATATTTTACCTTCGTCTGATGTTGACTTTTCTCATAAAACAAACATTTTTATCGAGGTATTTTCTCAGGCTTGATTGGATCTTCTTTGGCAAAAATAGCCACCATAGAAATAGAAAAATCACTCATGTCATGTTCACAAACACTATAATCAATTCTTAATTTGATTACCAGGAAGTTTCGTGGAATCCCATCTTGCAGATGATGAAGGCAAACAGCACCGATGAGGACGAAATTGCAGGTGGCCATACATATTCACGAGTCTAAACATCACACATTGCCACCATCCATAATGACAATTTTTCTAGCTCTACAAGAGAAACAAGTGAAAAAAATGGACCCCATGAAAGCATCACTTAACACATGTTTGTTGGTTATATGTTTAAAGTCAAATTATCTTGCTTTTCAAATATGATATCCTCATTGTTATTATAAATATAATTGTGCTATGCATGCACATGGCTCATTCCTGTAGCAAGACCACCCCCATTCTAATTTCTATTGACTTTTCTTGCATTTTATGTTAAATCTATGTCAACATTCTAAAGAGAATTTGAACCAAACTTTAAAATATAATTATTTAACGCAACAATTCAAGTACACATATTTAAATATAACGAAATATTTGAAATTAAAAGATATATGATTTGAAACTGAAGCTAACTAAGACGACTTCGTATATAAAGCAATTTGAAACGAACCATTCAACCATCAACAGATGGAAAGTGTAACGAAACTATAATATATTTAAAATTAACAATTGTACCTAAAGCTATGAAGTATGAGTACTTTAAAACTACAATTTACTCGTATAGTACTCATACCAAATATTCGATGCATGTATTATTTTTATTTTTACTATATACTTTTTCTTTAGATATATAGAGATTAATATATATCTTAACTGAAATGTGTTATTTAGATTTAAATTCAATTAAATTTATATTTTTAATAATTTTTCAAGAAATTAAAGGTAAGTGATAATACAATGGTGATGATAAATTAATATAATAAAATATCATTTACTTATATAATTTTACCATATCTATATTTTATTTTTCAAAAAACTAATATATGTACATGTCGTACTATACAGTACTGAGTCCTATTCATATTCATGGAACATAGAACTAAACTAATAATATCATTGACTGAGTTAGGTGGGAAATTTCGATGAAGTACGCGAAGTTATGCTACGAACTTCAACATTTAAATTCTTGTATGTAATCGTGAGAAAACAATAGGGAGCAATGGAGATTCTTCCCGTTATGCTTCTTGTAACCAACATACTAATTTTCTTCTCTAAAATATCTTTTGCTGTAGATATCATTGCCCAGAATGAGTCACTTTTCTATAACACGACCTTAGTTTCAAAGGATGAAACCTTTGAGTTGGGTTTCTTCAACCCGGGTAATTCTTCAAACCGTTACATAGGAATCTGGTACAAAAATATACCAGACAGAACAGTAGTTTGGGTTGCAAACCGTGGCAACCCAATCAAAGACGACTCCAGCAAGTTGATGATAAGCACAGAGGGAAACCTCGTACTTCTCAATCAAAACAACACCATTATTTGGTCAACAAACGCAACAACAAAAAGGGTCAACGTAGTAGCACAGCTATTAAACTCGGGTAACTTTGTTCTAAGAGATGAGAAAGACAACGATCCTCAAAACTACTTGTGGCAGAGCTTTGATTACCCTTCAGACTCCTTTCTACCAGGAATGAAAATTGGATGGGACTTCAGAAAGGGCCTTGATAGGCGCATAACTGCATGGAGAAATTGGGATGACCCTTCTATTGGGGACTTTACATGGGGTGTTGTACCTACAAATAACCCTGAAGAGGTAATGTTGAGAGGGTCAAAAGAGGTATTCAGAAGTGGCCCTTCAACGGGTACTCAATTTAGTGGCAACCCTTCAGTGATAAACAATACAATACTTAACTACTCTTTTGTGTCTAACAATGATGAGTTATATGTCACAGCTAGCCTCATTGATAAATCGGTGATCACAAGAATTGTGTTGAATCAAACACTTTCTGTTCGCCAACGCTTGACATGGAGCAAACAAAGCAAAACATGGAGGATGTCTTCACAATTGCCTAGTGATTTATGTGACACCTATAACATTTGTGGTGCTTTTGGGATTTGTGTCATTGGTAATGCACCCGTGTGCAATTGTTTAGATGGGTTCAAGCCCAAATCGCCTCAAAATTGGACCCAAATGGATTGGAATGAAGGATGTGTGCACAATGAAAGGTGGAGGTGTAAGGAAAAGAATAAGGATGGTTTTAAAAAATTTAGTAATGTGAAGGCACCGGACACTAAAAGATCATGGGTTAATGCAAGTATGACACTTGATGAATGTAGGATCAAGTGTTGGGAAAATTGTTCTTGTTCGGCTTATACAAATACAGACCTTAGGGGAGGTGGTCGTGGCTGTGCCATTTGGTTTGGTGATTTGTTAGATATGAGATTGATTGCAAATGGTGGACAAGATGTGTATATTAGATTGCCGGTGGAAGAAACAGGTATGAGCATTCATTTTGGTTTTGTCACTATGGAAATGTTGCTAAAATTTAATTTTTTTCAACACCCATTTTTCTTCACATATTGATGACTATATATTTCATTTTTTTCATGAAGAAAATCAAGGTGTAGAAGGTGGGTCAAAACAGAAGGTGGTTGTGATCGCAAGCACCATCTCCTCTGTTATTGCGATAGTACTAATTTTCGTATTTGTTTGTTGGAGGAACAAAACAAAAATCAAAGGTAAGCCTCTGCCTAACCCATATGCCTTTTCATAATGATTTTGTATTATTTCCACGGAAAAAGTTTAAGGCACATTTGGAATGGCCACATAAAGTCATAAAGACCCGTAATGATGTTATTAGGTCCATTCATTTAGAAATAAGAGGAAAGCGTGTGATCATAATCATGATATATATCATCGGAAGTTTTAAATATATATTTGATACTTTTTTTTTTTCTAAGCAAATATATATTTGATACTTACATTTTAATTCTTTTTTAGTCTTTCTGAACTCTTTATTTTTGTAAAATTATTGTTTTAACCCTATTGCTAGTGTAGACTACTAAAACATTGTTATACATCAAATTTTTTGTTAAATTACCGTACTAATAGAAATTAAAATAAAATTTTCAAAAAAATATATAGAAATTAAAAAAAAATTAAGAGAAATTAAAAACAATCGATAAAATATAAAGAGCAAAATATATTCAAGCCTTATATAAAAACACAATCATTTTACATTCATGCGTACCTCTTCCCAAATTATTGACTATCATATTTTTTTAATAAAATTTATTTAAATTAAAAAAATTTCATACCATAAACTCTGAATTAAGATAACATCAAAAGCAAACTTTCTTACCACAAGTTGTTGAGAATTTCTATTAACCCAAATTAAATTTCATAAAAACTAAATACTACATCACACTGTATTAACGAGAGAAGAAGAGAATTTTAAATATATCTAGATTCATAGAATTTTACTAGATAAACACAGTTGAATATGAACTTCCGGCACAATGATGAGCAAAAACATTTGGTACAATATACTTTTTCAACGAAATTATTGATTCTTTTGTCAAAACTTGATGTTTTCTCTTTTAATGAGAAGAGAGTAAACTATTTTAATTTGATATATTAGAGACTATGACTACATTTATTAAGGTTACCATTATTTTTTAATGGACTTAAACTCAAACTCAGTATCCAATTATTAATTTCATATTACCTTTTATTAGCAGTCTAAAAGACTTACAAAAATTAGATCAATTAAATATAAATGTTATTAATAAAATGTAGTCCTACTTATATTATTATATTATTAGAAATATAAATTTTTTAACACAAATTGGAATATGGTTTTTCTTATTTAAATTGTTAAATGGAAACAGAGATCTTAATGAGGATAAAAGAGGAGAACAACAAGAATAAAGAGGAAGACTTTGAGCTACCTCTGTTTGACCTTGTCTCGATAGCGCATGCCACTGATCACTTTTCAAATCACAATAAACTTGGTGAAGGTGGTTTTGGGCCTGTATACAGGGTAAGTGAGTAACATAGTTATTGATGATTAAGAAATGATCAAAGCATAAAAAATGATAATTACTGCATTTGATTTTCCTCCCTGTATGTGTATATGTGGTGTGTGAAGGGAAAACTGCTGGATGGACAAGAAATAGCTGTCAAGAGGCTTTCAAGAACATCTGGACAAGGGTTAAAAGAATTTCAAAATGAGGTTATTTTTTGTGCCAAACTTCAGCATCGAAATCTTGTTAAAGTTCTTGGTTGTTGTATTCAAGATAACGAGAAATTACTCGTATACGAATTTATGGCCAACAAAAGCCTTGATTTTTTTCTCTTTGGTTAGTGTCTCTGCCGAAACTGATTCTTAATTGAATTTAGAATTTCATTTTTCTCTTATAGTTTTTGCAATATTAGAAGATAACCATGAAATTTGGTAGATTCTGATCGCAGTAAACTTCTAGATTGGCCTAAGCGTTTTTGCATCATAAATGGAATTGCCCGTGGACTACTTTATCTTCATCAAGACTCAAGATTAAGGATCATACACAGAGATCTTAAGGCAAGTAATATTTTGTTAGATAATGAGATGAACCCAAAAATTTCAGATTTTGGTTTGGCTCGAATGTGTGGAGGTGATCAAATTGAAGGAAAAACAAATAGAGTAGTTGGCACATTGTAAGTATCTTTATTTGTTCTAAAATCTTATTACACATTAATCAAGTATCAAAATTAACTCTTTTGAATCTTTTTTCAGTGGTTATATGGCTCCTGAATATGCTTTTGATGGAATATTCTCCATCAAATCTGATGTATTTAGTTTTGGTGTATTATTACTTGAGATAGTAAGTGGTAAAAAAAATAGCAGACTCTTCTATCCGAATGACTACGATAACCTTACTGGACATGTGAGTGATATTGTTATATACTTTTTTTCACATAATGAAATGATAAATAACCACTCTTTCTAATTGTTTTAGGCATGGAAGTTGTGGAAAGAAGGCAATCCAACACAATTCATTGATTCTAGTTTGGAGGATTCGTGTATTCTATCTGAAGCTATACGTTGCATTCATATTGGTCTTTTATGTGTTCAACAACATCCTAATAATAGGCCATCAATGGCATCTATAGTTGTATTACTGAGCAACGAAAATGAGTTGCCTCTGCCGAAGGATCCTAGCTACTTAACCGAAGAAAACTCAATTGAAAAACATATTTATGCAGAAAATACAACATCTTCTTCGGTTAATGACCTCACTATCTCAATTTTAAGTGACAGATAGATAACATTATTTTAGTTCTTAATTGTCTATTAACTTTTTATTTTTATATATATCTTAATTTTTGTACTCAGATGTTTGTTGATTTTTTTTAAATATGTTTTTATCAGCAAAATTTTGACACTGTTACTCTGCCAATTATAGGTATGTAAAAGTTAATTTGAAAATTTTATTAGTAATGGAGATGTCTGTCTTAACAGTGCAAAAATTTCAAATTTAATAACAAAAGTTTAAATGTTGCATGGCTAGAAGTCATTCAAGCATGTTACCCAACCCTATATTACTTTTTAGAGAGATTTTTGAATGTTATATAAGAGATTTATAAGCCATTCCTAGATGTATTGTAAAATACTTATATGAATTATATATGAAAATAGAAGAAAACATATAGTTTTTTTTTTTTTTTTTTTTTTTGTAGAAGGCATAATTCAATGCACTGGAATGCGGAGATTCATCGCTAACAATAATTGAAAAAGTTATGATTTCCTCTAAACTTCTTGTTGACTTAAATTCATTTAAAATCAAATGAGTTATTAAAACATTAGCTTTCTCAAAATTACAAGTAATGAGTATTAAATACCTTGAAGACTGAATTTTATTTATTCTTGAATTTTAATTAACGCAATCACTCGCCCCACCAAACAGCTTTTGATAGGATTCAATACTTGAGCTCAACAACTTGAGAATAAGAATTATTTCCATTAGTAATTAATAGTCAATGGTCGATATTCTTTTTAATATAAAATTAACTCTGACATCATTACCATTATTATACGTAATTTTATTGGGCAAGAACCAACGTGGACTTGCAAAATTCACGCATGCAATAATAATTAGCTTTAGAATATGGACAATTAAGTTAGGCAATAGTTTTATGATGGATAAAATTTTGTCAACTACATGACGCAACAAAAATATATAACGAAGCAAAAAACAATAGCACCTTCACTTGTAGAAAGTCTAAAATAGGATTAATAATTAAAACTGCAAGGACTTGTGAGATTGCATGTTTGGGCATATATATATAACTCCACCTTCTTTTACGTACACTTCTTGGAGTTAATAATTACATATGAAGTCTTAATAGTTGCTCCATATGAAAGCTGATTATGCACACAAGTTGACGAACAATCTGATCATACTCTCTTTCTCACACACCCACATCAATAAACATTAGTTCAACGTGCGATTAAAGTCAACGAAATTTGTGCATTCAGATTGTATTGGTCGTTTTCGGTAGTTTGGGTGAATGGAAGGATGAAGAGGCAAGGGAAATTAAAACTCTTTATTTGGGTTGATTAGAAGAGAGGAAAGTTTGTAATTTTTAATTAACAACCTTTATTTCTTGAATTTTAAATCTATGTACTTTGAACTTTTACTAAACTTAAGCATATATGTAAGTGACACTACGCCAGAATAGAGATCTGAGAGTGGTTCTATTTTAGATTAGAGAGCGTTTAAAACTGCTCTAAAATCCTGGGCTATCTGATGTGTTATATTTAAGAGAGCGGTTAAACAACCGCTCTCAAAAGTTAATATTGGAGAGCAGTTTCAGGCAGCGCTCTCCAAAATATAGGTGTAAGATTAGAGAGCGGTTCTTGGAACCGCTCTCCAAAGTATAAATATAGACCGCGAATTTGAAATTTGAAATTAATTTTTTTTTAGTTTTCGATCTGTTGTAAAGTAAAATTAATTTATTATTACGTTTAAATTAAAATTTAAAATTAATTTCTTTGTGAGTTTTCTTTATTTTTATCACAAATCAAAATTGAATCTTGAGTTTATCCATTTGGTGTTAACCAAAGACAATCCATATATGCATGAAGCAAACAGAAAAAAAAAAAAAAAAACAAATTAGTAGGATGATTTTTAACGTTAATAGAGAGAAAAAAAAAAAAAGAGAATGGATGATTCACCATTAACAAAGAGAAGAAGAAAGAAAGAAAGAACAAAGAAGTACCTACAAATGTGAAAAAAATTTGTTAGCGCAGAAATATGAAGAGAACAACAGAGAATAAAGAGGTAACTACATATATGAAAAAAAAAAACTAATTATTAGCGCAAAGAAGATTAAGAGAGAAGGATGAAGAAATACCTACAGATGTGAAAAAAAAAAACTAATTTGTTAATGAGAGAAGACAAAGAGAGCATGCTAACAGAAAAGATGAAGAGAACATAAGAGAGCAAAGAAGAAGAACAGAACTTACAATAAAAGAGACCAACTTTATTAGCTAAGAAGAATAATTACGTTGAACGTGTTTCATTTATAAATGACTTTAGAGAGCGGTTAACAGAGAACCGCTCTCCAAGAATGATTTTAGAGAGCGGTTCTTTGTTAACAGCTCTCAGAAGTATGACTTTAGAGAGCAGTTAATAGAGAACCGCTCTCAGAAGTATACTTTGAAAGTGGTTAACAGAGAATCGTTCTCTAAATATATAATTACAAAACAGTTTTTACTAATCGCTATATAAATTAGGGCTTCAAAAACTCATTTCTGGCGTAGTGTAATAAAATGTCTTAGAAATATTGTGTTTTCAGATTCACTGCAATGGTTTTAAGTAAGATGTTAGGCTAGATGAGGTATTCATCGTTAGATTGTTCAATGCTTCTATTAATTGGGGATCTGTGGAAGGTTAATGCTATTTTGAGATGATGATTCGAGAATATGTCGCAAAATCTTGGATTGGGCATTATTGACTTTGTAATGTTTTTTTATATTGATTTAACATCAGAAAAGTTATACTGATATATTTGTGGTATATTTGTAGTGTTTGTTATTGGTAGATGTTTTGCAAGAGTTGGTTGCTTATTTCATCGATCTATCACATTCGAAAGGGATCCTATTTTGCAAATTTTGCATGATTAAGACTATGACCGATTATTTAGGTCAAACCAAATTCATGTAGGCCATGAAAATAAAATATTTTGTATCCATCCACACATGACAAACCATATACTATTACTTGCTTAATTAAACTCGATTTATAAGGCTCAAGTTAAGATTTTTTTCATATTTAATAATGATGACTTAAGTTTAGAATATAAATGTTCACAGTTAAACAATTGATACTTTAGAAGAAAACGTAATTTAACGGGACAAGAAAAATTTAAAACAAGTAGTTTGAATTTACAAATAAAATTTTGAGAAAAATAAAATAAATTAAAGAAAGTAGTTTGGGCCAATGGCCAAAACATGAACCTCGTATCTTCTGTTGTGAATCACATTCCGGTCAACTTATGGCAGCATAAAGTATACCAAGTCAACCCGGAAATAATAATAGCAACCGTAATCATATTAATTACCCCAACGCCCCTTCTTTATGGCATATCCTATATGCTCATAACAAGTGGCTGTGAGCACCAATTACCAAAAAATGGCCACCATTACTACTATGCTTGTTATTTCCAAACTAGTAGTAACATTTTTCTTCCCTCAAATTTCCTCTGCAGTCGACACCATTAACAACTTTCAACCACTTCATGATGGCACCACGTTGGTTTCTAACGATGAAACCTTCGAACTGGGTTTCTTCACTCCAGGTAGTTCCATAAACCGATACATTGGAATTTGGTACAAAAATATCCATGTCCCAACCGTTGTTTGGGTCGCCAACCGTGACAATCCAACTACCGACAACTCCAGCGTTTTGTGCATAAGCAAAGGCAACCTCGTACTTCTCAGCAAAAATAAAAGTCTTGTTTGGTCAGCAAACTTGTCAACAAAGGCGTTGAGTCTGAGTCCCTTTGTGCAACTCTTAAACACCGGAAATCTAGTACTTAAAGAGAAGAACAACGAAGAAGAAAGGGTCTTGTGGCAGAGTTTTGATTATCCAACAGATACACTATTACCTGAAATGAAGCTAGGATGGGACCTTAAAACTGGTCTCAATAGACGTTTAACTGCATGGAAAAACTGGGATGACCCATCTTCAGGGGATTTTTCTTGGGGAATTGTGCTTGGCAACAACCCTGAATCGGTAATGTGGAAGGGTTCTGTCGAATACTATAGAGGTGGCCCTTGGAATGGGGTTCAATTCAGTGGCTCACCGGCATTGAGGGCTAATCCAATTTTTGACTACAAATTTGTCAACAATTCAGATGAGGTGTTAAAATAGTATCTTCATCATTTTTACAATATTTTAGTACATCTTAACTCATATTTTATGATTAATCTTTCTTAATTCTTCAAGGACTGCTTAATTTTAAAAATTAATTTTTGTTTTTGTATGTACACACATTGATGTGATTAGTCTCCTGTAAATCAAGATAAATTAATAATAAGATACGTAATTCTCCAATCTAAAATCTCAAATTTTTTTTCTTCTTATTTTGAACAGGTGTACTACACGTACGACTTGAATAATAAGTCTGTAATTTCAATACTTGTTATGAATGGAACCCTTCATTTTCGCCAACGAATCACGTGGATTCCAAAATATGGAACTTGGAGTGTGTACCAGTCTGTGCCGAAAGATAACTGCGATGCTTATGGCCGATGTGGGCCTTATGGGAATTGCATTGTTGATGATTCACCTATTTGTCAGTGCTTGAAAGGGTTCAATCCAAAATCACCCCTGAATTGGGGTATGATGGATTGGTCACAAGGATGTGTGCGTAGTGAACCATGGAGCTGCAGGGTCAAGGATAAAGATGGTTTTATAAGATTGAGTGATATGAAATTGCCTAATACTACACAGTCTTGGGTCAATAAGAGTATGACACTAGAGGATTGCAAGGCCAAGTGTTGGGAAAATTGTTCTTGCACGGCTTATTCTAACTTAGATGTAAGTGGTGCAGGTAGTGGCTGTGTAATTTGGTTTGGTGATCTTGTTGATTTGAGATTGTTTTCAAATGGTGGGCAGGATCTATATATTCGAATGGCTACTTCAGAGATAGGTGATTGCTTTGATTTGCTTCTATTGTTTTCCTTCATTTTATATTAAATGTCACTCAGTATTAATGTATATAAATACATATATAACCAAAGAGAGTATCTTCCATAGTTACAGGGACATGGCAGTGTCTTCGGGTCTAACCAGTGTTTTATGTTTTTCTTTTCTGTGAACCTGTAAATGCAGATGTGCGGCATAAGAAAAAGGTAGTTTTGGTAATTATAATTCCACTTGTAGCGGTTTTTATGATGCTATTGGCATTTTCCTACATTTGCCGGTCCAAAAGAAAGTGTAGAGGTATAATTTTTAGTCATCTGCTTCCTTATTAATTTCACAAGTTTCTAAGGTTTTTGTTAACACTTACTACACTGTAAAGTGAAATGCTCTGAATAAATTTATCAACCCCCCCGCCCCCCTACATACACGCACAAAATATTACTACTAATTAACTCTTTATATTGGTCAAACTTTTTACTATGACATATACATGGTACACAAATACATTCTTTATATTTAGCACCCCTAAATTTTATCCTCTTTGTAAATAAATACTTTATAAATTTTAATTTCATCCTAGTTGATCCTTAAACATCAAATTTATTTTATTTTTTGCAATCAAACACTTAGAAAATTTGGTGTTCAACTTACCCTTAGACTTCACTAATTTTATAAATATACACCCTGCTCTTTAATTTTGTTTCAATTAATCTTTAAACTTTATAATTCTTGCAAATAGCCCATTCTATCAATTAAGTTAGTGCTAAAATCATTCAATAAAACATTTGATAAATTATTTATCTTCATACTAATCATTCATTCAAATTTTTGTGTTATAATCCTTTTTTCTTTTCTAAATATCATAACGTAATTCAGATTCCAAACTCTAGAAAAGAATACAAAGAAATAAAAATAATCCACTATAAATATTTATTATATAATTAAGAAATGTTTTCTCTGTATTTTTTATTTTATTTTTTTGCAAAACTATTGCTATATTATTATTATTATTATTATTATTATTATTATATAATTTTTTTATTTTTTTATTTTTATGTTTAGAATAATGAAGATTTAAGATAAATAAGTGGTTAAAATTTTTTCTTCATAATTGTATTTAAATTAAAATTTTAATCATATAAAAATAAATTTTAAGAATCAATTGTGATGAAAATAAAGTTTGAGGTATATATAGCGAAGATCATATGCATAAATATTATATATATATATATATATATAATATAATATATAATAATAGATGAGATATTAATTAACTAGTTTTTGATCCAAAGTATCTAATCTCTTCTTAATAGTTGTCTTATTATAAACCTTGTTAAATTTTTTAATATTTCATTTGATTATCTGGAGAAAAAAAAAAAGCCTTCACCCCCCTCCTATTGTTGGATTCCTTGAGATAGCACAATAGACTAGTTTTAAATTTGGTGCGTTGCATACACTTAAAAATTAAAATCAAGTTTTTGGTTGATGTTCTTTCTTCTTGATTATATTGGTTCCCATTACTATTTTGAAGAGAAAGCAAACAAAAGGTTGTCAACTAAAAAGAAAGATGAGACCACACAAGAAGATATTGAGCTTCCAATCTTTGATCTTGCAACAATAGCTAATGCCACTAATGACTTCTCAGTTGACAACAAACTTGGCGAAGGTGGCTTTGGACATGTATACAAGGTAACATGCAACTTACCTATTACCAAAATCATGAATCTTTCATCAGACAAAGGAAAATTATGAATCTTATTATTAAATTTCCTTATATGTTATATTGTTTTCAAACTATGAATTGAAACATAGGGTACATTTGCAAATAGCCAAGAGATTGCTGTCAAAAGACTTTCGAGGAGCTCTGGACAAGGATCGAAAGAATTTAGAAATGAAGTTATATTGTGTACGAAGCTTCAGCATAGAAATCTTGTTGAGGTTATTGGTTGTTGCATTCAAGGAGAAGAGAAAATGTTACTTTATGAATACATGCCCAACAAAAGCCTAGACTCATTTTTATTCGGTTAGTGTCCACACTAAACTTATATTTAATTAAAGTTTGAATTGTTTTAAATTTTTCTGTTTTGAAAGAGAATACTGATCAACATAATGAAAATCATGACAGACTCTACTCTGAGCAAACATCTAAATTGGTCTATACGTTTCAATATAATAAGGGGAATTGCTCGAGGACTACTTTATCTTCATCAAGATTCTAGATTGAGGATTATACATAGAGATCTTAAGGCAAGTAATATTTTATTAGACAATGAGATGAATCCAAAAATTTCGGATTTTGGTTTGGCTCGAATGTGTGGAGGTGATCAAATTGAAGGGAAAACGAGTAGAATAGTTGGCACATAGTAAGTTAATTTCTTTAGTTATGATGAACTGTATTCAACATTAATAAAAAAAAAATCTAATTAACTTATTGTTGATTCTTTCTAGCGGTTACATGGCACCTGAATATGCTATTGATGGACTATTCTCTACCAAATCTGATGTATTTAGCTTTGGTATAATATTGTTGGAGATTGTAAGTGGAAAGAAAAACAATGGACTTGTCTTTACAAGTGACATGTATAATCTCATTGGGCATGTAAGTAATAAACCAATTTCAATTTCAATATAACGAAGTGGCCATTAAAAATTGGTTTTGCACTGTTGCAGGCTTGGAGGCTGTGGAAAGATGAGACCCCAATGAAATTGATTGATGATTGTCTAGGAAGCTCATGCATTTTATCCGAAGCTTTTCGATGCATTCATATTGGTCTTTTATGTGTGCAACAACACCCTAACGATAGACCAAATATGGCATCTGTGGTTGTGATGTTGAACAGTAATGATGCTTTGCCTCAACCAAATAAACCTGGTTTCTTAATGGATAAAGTTAAAATTGAAGGAGAATCTTCTTCTAGCAGAATGATATTTTCTTCAACTAACGAAGTAACTATGTCAGTGTTGGATGCTAGATAAAGATTTTTATGTTACTTATTATCATATACATAGACTTAATTAATTAGCACACAACTTTAAATGTACTTTTTTTGTTGTAAAGAATCTCTTGTTCGATCTAAAATTAATATATAATTATTCTCTGAAAATAACTTTAAAAAGTAATTAGATATGAATCGTTGTTCAAGGTCATACTTTTTTATTTTATTTTAATTATTTTTAAAATCATATTGTCTATGGCATTTTTCTTTCTCTTTCTTATTACTCTCATTCTCCTTTCACTCACTTTACTCGAGTTTATTAATGATCAATGGCGAATTAGGTGAGAACAAACTGCTGGGCTTCATTTATATTATATTAATTAATAATAAATCTTTTAATTATGTTATGAAAGATTAACATTAAAAAATAAAGAATAACAATCTGTTTTCTTTCTGAATTCAGGATTACATTATCATATTTATATAATATACCGTTAACCCATTCAACAGAGTGTGTAACGGAAAAACATAGAATCTGAAATCCGTTAGTCAGCGCAATTAATTAAAATGAAGGACGTGAATTATGAGTCTATAATTGAGAATAATTGAGTTTTAAAGAAGAAAGAGAAGAAGATACATATTTTATTTTTATATAAAATGAATTTATTATATTTATAAAAAGTAAATTAATTAAATATTAATTCATTAAATTTATATTAAGATATTATTTTAATTTTTTATTTTAAAAATTATATATCTCTTGGTGAACCTTATGCGTGTTATTGACAATTATTTGTGATTTGACGATTGGATAATAAATCGTGAAGAAATCAAAACAACTTGACTCAATCTAACATATCTTATTAATAGAAAATTGTTTAAAAAATATAATGTTCCAAGGAAAAGTCCAACTGAAGCAGAAGATTCGATGGACTCAAACAAAACATTTGCCAGTTAGTATTACTTATATTTATTTATAATTATTGTCAAATTTGTGACAGCGTCTACAATGACAAAACATAAAAGCGACATTTATATAATTTAAATAAAAAAATGTTTTGTCTAAATCATAAAAGCATAAATCAAGAGAATTGCCAGCATAGACTAAATAAACAAAACAAGCAGAAGTGGTGCTCTATATTTCCTCAATTTAAATACAATAAACAAATACCCAAGAAGTTTTGACTGGAATCCTCTTTTGGAATTATTCAAAATAATGATCAATCTTGAAAAATAACAGTACCCTCATTCATAAAATTATTTCCTCCTTATTATCTAATCTCCAATTATATCTTCAACTCTAGCCATTGTATGCTTTAATCTACACAAAATGGCGGCCATTCTTTCAACTATGCTAATTTTTTCCAAGTTACTATTTTTCTTCTCTCAAATTTCCTATGCTACTGACACGATTTCCCAATCTCAATCCCTTCTTGATGGAAACACCTTGGTTTCTAAAGATGAAACCTTTGAGTTGGGTTTCTTCAGTCCTGGTAGTTCCTCAAACCGCTACATAGGAATATGGTTCAAAAACATTCCAGTTACAACAATAGTTTGGGTTGCCAACCGTGACAACCCAATCAAAGACAACTCAAGCAAGTTGATCATAAACCAAGAGGGAAACCTCGTACTTCTCAGCCAGAACCAGACCCTTCTTTGGTCAACAAACACAACAACAAAAGCATCAAGTCCCATTGTGCAACTCTTAAACACTGGAAATTTAGTACTCATGGATGAGAACAACAACAACAATAACAACCCAGGTTTTTTGTGGCAAAGTTTTGACCATCCTTGTGATACATTATTACCAGGAATGAAGATAGGATGGAACCTAAAAACTGGTCTTAATAGACGTCTCACTGCATGGAAAGATTGGGATGATCCTTCTTCAGGAGATTTTACTTCAGGTATAGTACTTAGCAGCAACCCTGAAATGGTTATATGGAAGGGTTCTGAGGAGTTCTATAGGAGTGGACCCTGGAATGGAAATACGTCTAGTGGAATATTGGGATTGATGGCTAATCCACTTTATAATTACGAATTTGTCAACAATGAAGATGAGGTATATTACATGTTTACTCTTAAGAATAGTTCTGTGATTTCTATTATTGTTTTGAACCAAACACTTTCACTTCGCCAACGCCTCACATGGATTCCTCAAACCAAAACTTGGACCGTTTACCAATCCTTGCCAGAAGATGGTTGTGATGTTTATAATGTTTGTGGTGCATATGGAAAATGTGTCATTAATGCGTCACCAATTTGCCAATGTTTAGAAGGGTTCAAACCAAAATCACCTCAACATTGGAATGCCATGGATTGGACACAAGGGTGTGTGCCTAATGAACAGTGGAGTTGTGGGGTTGAAAACAAAGATGGGTTTAGTAGATTTTCTGGGATGAAAGTGCCAGATACTACGCATTCTTGGACCCATGAAAACATGACACTTGAGGATTGCAAGGTACAGTGCTTGAAAAATTGTTCTTGCACTGCTTACTCAAACGTTTATCCAGGAGAAGATAGTGGTTGCTTGATTTGGTTTGGTGATCTTCTTGATTTGAGAGTTTCAGAAAGTGGGCAAGATCTATATGTTCGAGTTGCAACGTCAGATGTGGGTAAGACGACAAAGTATTCCTCTAACTTATTATGAAGTTGTTCAGTTTCAGTTACCTCACGGTAAATAAGATTAATAAGATTTTGTTTATAAAGAGTAAATAAATATTTATATAATTTTTATTATTATTTTAACCTCGTTAATTCATTTATTATAACGTGATTTATTCCATGGAATAATTTAGACTAACCCCTGTTACGTTTATTAGAGGGCCATTACTTTATTTGGTAATCATTGGTTCTTCATTTTTTTAAGCTAAAAATGCAGATGCTAAACATGGACACAGAAAAAAGGTCGTCTTGGCTGTCACAATCACAGCTTCGTTGATCCTTGTGATGCTATTGGCATTCTGTTACATTTATATGACCAAAACAAAAAACAAAGGTAAATTTCTAAGCTAGAAAGCCTTTATTTCTTAAAGATTCTAAAATTAGTTTAATTGAATACCAACATTATCTCAAATGCAGAATAGTTGTACACAGTTGAACATTCTATGCTATTTTGTTAGATTGCAAAATTTTAAAGCAATTCGTTTTACATGTATGGCTTGTTCAGTTGTTTGAGAACTTAGGCAATATTGATCTTCCCCTGTTTCATACAATGAACTTGATCAATCAAAATATATTAATATATTATATCTAAAATAGTCAAATCCTTCCCCGACTGTTAAGTGCAAGAAATGATAATATTAAATTTAAAGAAAAGAAACTAATGGTCTATCCATTACTAATAATACAATGATCATTTTAAATAGAATGTTAATGCATTTTTGTTTTTCTTCATGTAAAAATGTAGAGTTAAATATATTTTTTTCTTAGTGGAATTTTTTTTTGTTTTGGCTCTCAATTTTTGTGAGTTCGTCATTTTTATTCCCTAGTGATGATATGGTTAATTAAAGTTATTTCATTTTAAATTTCTATTGTATCGCATTAGTGAGACAGAATCAAAATGTTGAATTTAAAACATTGAAGGACTACAATTAAGTTTTTTAAGAAATTAAAACAAAAATCTCATAAAAATATTAGAACTACAAATATATTTTTAAAAATTGCATATATACAATTAATTTTTTTTATATGATTTGACTATTTAATAATTATACAAAATTTTATAAATTTATTTATTGTGAACGTTCATTTAAGATCACTAATTATGCAAATTTTGGGTTGAGCTTGGAATGATTATAATTTTCTAATAAAATTTATTATTTTTTTAATGACATTGTTCTCATTCAATACATCAAAGATGAAACCGAGAATATTATATTAACAAAAGGGAAAGATGATAGCACACAAGATTTGGATCTTCCATTCTTTGATCTTGCCACAATAGTTGATGCCACTGATAACTTCTCGATCAAGAATAAGCTAGGCGAGGGTGGTTTTGGACCAGTATACAAGGTAAATTTTCAATCTAAACTATTAGTGAGGCTCAAAAAAATTCATGAATTTCATTATTTATCAAGTTTGATCATATAAAATTTAGGGTATATTGCAAGATGGACAACAAATTGCAGTCAAAAGGCTTTCAAGGAGTTCTGGGCAAGGAATAAAAGAATTTAAGAATGAAGTTATATTGTGTGCCCAACTTCAACACCGCAATCTTGTTAAAGTTCTTGGTTTTTGCGTTGAAGGAGAAGAGAAAATGTTAGTCTATGAATACATGCCTAACAAAAGTCTTGATTCATTTATTGTCGGTGAGTGTTTTGTAAAAAGTTTAATAATTGAAAATAGTGAAGTTTGATTTGTGCTATAATTAAGTCATTTTAGAGACAAATTACTAATAAAAACTCATTGGAAAATCTTGACAGATTCAACTCAAAGCAAACTTTTAGATTGGCCTATGCGCTTTCACATATTGAATTCAATTGCTCGAGGACTTCTGTATCTTCATCAAGATTCTAGATTAAGAATCATACATAGAGATTTGAAAGCCAGTAATATTTTGTTAGACAACGATATGAACCCAAAGATTTCAGATTTTGGCTTAGCTAGAATGTGTGGAGCAGATCAAATTGAAGGGAGTACAAGTAGAATTGTTGGAACATAGTAAGTATCTTATTGCTAATTTTACAATGATTATTAGATCATTATATCAACTTTTACATGGTTTCTTGCAGTGGTTATATGGCACCAGAATACGCCATTGACGGATTATTCTCTATAAAATCTGATGTATTTAGCTTTGGTATATTATTGCTTGAAATTGTAAGTGGAAAGAAAAATAGAGCACTTACCTTGCACGAGCACGATAATAATCTTATTGGACAGGTGAGAGACACTTACAAAGAAAATGCTTTTCTTATTATAAACTACTATATAATAGTTGTATTGAATTGTTGTAGGCATGGAGACTGTGGAAACAGGAAATTCCTGAAAAATTGATTGATGCATCTTTGACAGGCTCGTGTAATATATCTGAAGCTATTAGATGCATTCATGTTGGTCTTTTATGTTTGCAACATCATCCTGATGATAGGCCAAACATGACATCTGTGGTTGTAATGTTAAGCAGTGAAAATGCTTTACCTCAACCAAATGAACCTGGTTTCTTGATTAAGAAGGTCGTAGTTGAAGGGGAACAATCTTTTGGACAACTATCATCATCAGTTAATGAAGTAACTATTTCACTAATGAATGCTCGATAGATAAGTTATATTATTTTTATTCTAGTCTATGAATCTAATTTGTAACTAACGCTTATAACAATGTCAATTAGCCACTATATTCAGTTTTGGTGAAAATATTAGTTTTAAAATTTTAAATAAAATTATAATTAACAATATAGTATCTAATTAGAGATGACATGATAATTTCCTTTTTATTACATGCATTCAATGACACTTTAATTAAATACACACTCATGTAAGAGACAAGGTGAGTTTGAGTTTTGGACAAGGTTGATATTAGAACCTTCAAACCCGAATATCAAATCCAACATTTTTAAATAAAATAAAAATCAAATCTAAACCCAATCAAAATAAATTTGTTCTCACAAAATCATATTGAGGTTGTCCTAATTCCCATATGCTTAGGTCTCATTGCTATAGAAATTTTTGTGTATGGTCCCACACCACTATGATTCTAACGAATAACAAAATGATATGTATGTATATTTAAAAAAAAAAAAAAAAACTAGACACGTGACAATATTTGTACAGATAGAGATCATATGGTTCAAATCACCTAAAAAATTCTCCATTGCCATTCTACATGTAATGAAGTCAATTTTTATCAGCTCTAATTCAAGTTTCCATTTTCATGTTTCGGCTTAAATCCTTAAAGTTCTGGGTTCTCCCAATACGAAACTATTTGAGTCGAAACCCTTACAACAGTAAGTATACCATCTTGAATCTGATAATTTTAAGTCCAAATCGTATCCCATGGAGAAAGCTATTTTCATTTTTATGCAGAAAATATTGTCTGTAAGTTTTAGCTTAAATAGCTTTCTTTTAAACTTAAAAGATCTCTCATATTTTAGGACTATATTAACAACTGTACGAGCCACGCAATATTTAACTTAATCTTGTAAATTTGCTGAAGTTGCTCAATTTTTCCTTACAAAGTTTACAACCAGTACTTTAAAGATGTGTTTGGATGAGGAGACAAAATCAAATAAAATAAAAAGAGAAAATAGAGTGAAAAGGAAGTGTTGTTTGAATGAATATTAAAAAAAGATATATGCTTATTTAAATAAATGAAAAATATTATTAAAATACATAATTAAATTGTATTAAAATTATTATATAATTGTGATAAAAAAATTTAAATTAGTTATAAAAATTGATTTTTTTATCACAATATTTTTCTTAGGAATTTATTTTAATTTTTATAAAATAATTAATTTGATAGGTAGAAAAAACACACATGTCCCTCTCCTCTCCTTCAACATTCTCCTTGTTCTCTTATGCGTGCAAAATCAACCCAGTAATATACCAAATATGACATGAGTGGTAGTGATATTGACCCCAGCCGAATGAACAAAGTTTTCTTAGTAGAAAAGGTATCAATTGAAGAAGAATCATCTTCTGAAAACAAAAGATATGTTATTCGACCAATGAGGTAACTATGTCAAAGTTTGAACCCAGAATAAAAAAATTGCTCTCGTTTTAGTTCAAACATATGTTGAATTTTATAAGTTTGGGGGTACTTCTAAGATAACTATAGCTAATTAGACTCAATTGATCTTTGGTTCACTTTGAATGTATTCACGTGATTTGTGCTTGTCAAATTTCCTTGCTGCAACTGTTAATTTATTCATGAAACTTATGGTAGGCCAACATATGTGCCATATACATATGTGAATTTGACTTTTGTCTGTATAAATAAACACACAATTGTTCACATTTACTTTTGTACATCAATTTTCTTTGCAACATATATATTAATTTTTAGTCTTTTAAGCTTTGTTTGAATTTTACGACGAAGGGACAGAAAAAGGAAAGAGATGAGAAGGAATGGGAAAGGTTAATGATTACTAATTTTTATTTGAAAATTAATTAAATATAAGAAAAAGAGTTAGAGATTTTTTTAAAACTCCAAATCTCTCTTAACCTTATTTTTTAGTAACTTAGGTACTGAAATTTATTATTTTTATTTTTATTTTTATTTTTAAAATTAAATATTTAACATAGTTCAAAATTAAAATAAAAAACAAATAAAGAATAAAAAAATATTTTTTTTCAAAAAATGATAATTTTTAGATTAGTTTTTTCATGCTTATTACCGAGTTACCTTTTTCTTTTATACATCAATTTTCTTCAGCAACATATATACTATTTTTTAGTCTCTTAGGCTTTGATTGGATTGGATATTGAGGGAGAAGGAAGAAGTTAATCACTAACCTTTATTTAAAAATTTAATTAAATATAAAAAATTGTAACTTCATATCCTTCCTAACCTTTTTTTTTTTAGTTTTTCTAGCGTGCAAGTTTTAGTAATTCATGGATTGAGATTTATCATTTATATTTTTATTTATTAAATTAAATATTTAGTATGGTTTAGAATTAAAGTAGTAAAAAAAATGAAGAATAAAAAATATTTTTAAAAAAAATATTAATTTTTGTGTGAAAATTTTTTAAATTATAAATAAAAATTTTAAAATATTTAATTTTTGTATAAAAAGACAAAAAATTATATAAATACAAAACATAAAAAGATAAGAATGTGATTTACATATTAAATCCTCTATTATCTTTCTCTTTCAATACTAAATATTCAAAAAAAGAAGATGTTTAACTCTCTTTCTCCTCTCTTTTATGTTTTTTAAATTTTTTTTTTTAAACTTTCAAACAAAGCTTTAATTTTTTTTTAGTATCTATATTTTTTTATTTTCCACTTTTTATTTCTTTATATATATTTTTATCACTTCATCTATCTTATAGGTTATTTTTATCTCTTTATTTTTTGTATTCCTCTCATTCTCCACTTATTCTAAACTTCAAAAATGGAATGTGAACAACTGAGCATTACCCTTTCCTTCCAGGGATAGAAGCCTGAAGTTGAGTTGGGTCTGCAACACAAATTAATCAACCCATTGATTATTGTTTGGTTGCCAAATCCCAATCAAAGAGTAAAATATATCCCCACAAAGCGCCACATAGTTTTATATTTTATGTATCTTTTGAAATTCCAGGCTTAATTAATAGTGACGTGCTTTCACTCACTTTAATCTTGAGTTTATCAATGATCAATGGCGAGGCCTCATCTATTAGTTAATAATAAACCCTTTAATTACGTTCTAAAAGATTAAAAAATAACTGTTTTCTTTCTGCATTCAGGATTACATATCATATTTATATAATATACCGTTAACCCATTCATCAACAGAGGGTAAGGGGGAAACAAATAGAATATGAAATCCGTTAGTCAGCTCAATTAATTGAAATTTGATTTTGTAATACACTACTTTTTTTCATCTTCATCTCCTCTATCTCTCTTATTTTTAAGTTATAATTGAGAATTGAGTTTTAAAGGAGAAAGAGAAGAGGATAAATATTTTATTCTTAAATAAAATGAATTATGCCATATTTATAAAATTAAACTAATTAAAGATTAATTCATTAAATGTATATTAATTGATTATCATTATTTATTTTAAAAAATAATAAAATATTTATTAAAAATTTCAAAATCTAAATATCAAATATAGCCTAATGTATTAGTTAATAATAATCATAATAATAATAATAATAATAATAATAATAATAATCACATCTAATACTACGAAAATTGTCGATCTCTTGGTCAACCTTATGCGCGATATATTGGCAACTATTTGTGATTTGATTTGATGGTTGAATAATAAATCGTGAAGAAATCAAAACAATATGACTCTAATGTATCTCTTATAAATGGAAAATTGTAATGTGCCAAGGAAAAGTCATTCTGTAAATAGAAAATTTGTAGTCAAAGAATACCTTAGCCAGTTAGTATTAATTATTTTTATTTATCATTATTGTCAAATTAGTGACAGCCAAACTCTTTAAATTATCGCCTAAATGAGAAAACATAAAAGTCACAGTCTAAAAGCATGTTTATTTCCTTTTTTAAAAAACAGTTTTTTTAAATAAAATATAATACAAATTTGTATTAAATTTTATTTTTAGAAACAGAAAACTGTTTTTTTTTTAAATAAACATACCTTAAGAATTTAAAATTTATTTTTTTATTTAAATCATAAATAACTTCTAAAGGTAATTCAAAAACTAATAATATTAATAAAATACTTGAATTTAAAATAAAAATATTAATAAAATCTCATTTTCTTAAATAAAAGTGATGACTTTCCATTTCTTACAATTTTATGTAAAAAATAAAAAAATATAAGATAAATCACTTCAAATTAAAGTACAAAAAAAAAAAAAACCTCAAATAAAAGCAACAAATACACAACCTTAGCCAGAATGTGTAAAAATGCGTAAGTAAACCATCAATACATCGAGAGAATTGCCCAGTATTTTCAACTTAGACTAAATAAACAAAAGAAGCTGAAGTAGGGTTCTATATTTCCTCAAATTACATACAATAAACAAATACTCGAGAAGTTTCTCACGGGAATCCTCTTTCATAATTATTCAAAAGAATGACCAACCTTGACAAACAACAGCACCCTCCTCATTCATATTATTTCCACACTATTATATTTCAAATCTCCAATTATATCTTCAACTCCAGCCATTGTATGCTTTAATCTACACAAAATGGCCATTCTTTCAAGTATCCTTGTTTTTTCCAAGTTACTATTTTTCTTCTCTCAAATTTCCTATGCTACTGACACGATTTCCCAATCTCAATCCCTTCTTGATGGCAAGACCTTGGTTTCTAAAGATGAAACCTTTGAGTTGGGTTTCTTCAGTCCTGGTAGTTCCTCAAACCGCTACATAGGAATATGGTTCAAAAACATTCCAGTTACAACAATAGTTTGGGTTGCCAACCGTGACAACCCAATCAAAGACAACTCAAGCAAGTTGATCATAAACCAAGAGGGAAACCTCGTACTTCTCAGCCAGAACCAGACCCTTCTTTGGTCAACAAACACAACAACAAAAGCATCAAGTCCCATTGTGCAACTCTTAAACACTGGAAATTTTGTACTCACGGATGAGAAGAGCAACAACAATAACAGCCCAAGTTTTTTGTGGCAAAGCTTTGACCATCCTTGTAATACATTATTACCAGGAATGAAGATGGGATGGAACCTAAAAACAGGTCTTAATAGACATCTCACTGCATGGAAAGATTGGGATGATCCATCTTCAGGAGATTTTACTGCAGGTATAGCACTTAGCAGCAAGACTGAAATAGTTACGTGGAAGGGTTCTAAGGAGTTCTATAGGACTGGACCGTGGAATGGAAATAGGTCCAGTGGAGTATTGGGAGTGATGGATAATCCAGTTTATGATTACGAATTTGTCGACAATGAAGATGAGGTATATTACATATTTACTCTGAAGAATAGTTCTGTGATTTCTATTATTGTTTTGAACCAAACACTTTTACTTCGCCAACGCCTCACATGGATTCCTCGAACCAAAACATGGGCCGTTTACCAATCCTTGCCAGAAGATGGTTGTGATGTTTATAATGTTTGTGGTGCATATGGAAATTGTGTCATTAATGCGTCACCAATTTGCCAATGTTTAGAAGGGTTCAAACCAAAATCACCTCAACATTGGAATGCCATGGATTGGACACAAGGGTGTGTGCCTAATGAACCGTATAGTTATGGGGTTGAAAACAAAGATGGGTTTAGTAGATTTTCTGGGATGAAAGTGCCAGATACTACACATTCTTGGACTCATGAAAACATGACACTTGAGGATTGCAAGTTACAGTGCTTGAAAAATTGTTCTTGCACTGCTTACTCAGACGTTTATCCAGGAGAAGATAGCGGTTGCTTGATTTGGTTTGGTGATCTTCTTGATTTGAGAGTTTTAGAAAGTGGGCAAGATCTATATGTTCGAATTGCAACATCAGATGCGGGTAAGACGATAGGGTATTCTTTTAACTTTTTATCAAGTTTTCAGTTTAAGTTACCGCAAGGTAAATAAGATTTTGTTTATAAGGAGTGAATAAAAAAATTATAATTTTTAATATAATATTTTAACTTCGTTAATTCACTTTTGATAACGTGATTTATTTCATGGAATAATTTAGACTAACGCCTGTTATGTTTATTAGAGGACCATTACTTCATTTGGTAATCATTGGTTCTTCATTTTTTTAAGCTAAAAATGCAGATGCTAAACATGGACACAGAAAAAAGGTTGGCTTGGCTGTCACAATCACAGTTTCGTTGATCCTTGTGATACTATTGGCATTCTATTACATTTATATGTCCAAAACAAAGAGCAAAGGTAAATTTCTAAGCTAAAAAACTTTTTAATTTCTTAAAGATTCTAAAATTAGTTTAATTGAAAACCAACATTCTTTGAAATGCAGAACCGTTGTACACATTTGAACATTCTATGCTATTTTGTAAGAATGCAAAATTTCAAAGCAATTCGATTTACTTGTATAGCTTGTTTCAGTTGTTTGAGACCTTAGGCAATATTGATCTTCCCCTGTTTCATACAATGAACTTGATCAATCAAAATATTAAATGCAAAAAGAAAAAGACACTTATGGTCTATCCATTACCAATCATACAATGATAAGGAAATATTTAGAAGGATTTTAATGTGTGTCAATTTTTATTTTTTTTGTTTTGTCTCCCAATATTTAGAAGTTTGTCATTTTCAGTCCCTAGTGATGTGATGATATGACTAACTAAAGTTGTTTTCCTTTAAATTTCTGTTGTATCACGTTAGTGAGAGAGATTAAAAATGTTGAATTTACAACATTGAAGGACTACAATTAATTTTTTAAGAAACTAAAACCAAAATGTCATGAAAATATAAATACAAATATATTTAAAAAAATTGCATATACAATTTACACTTTTTTTATGATGACTATTTAATAATTGTACAAAATTTTACAACTTGATTTGTTGAGAATTTCCATTTAAGATCACTAATTATGCAAATTTTGAGTTGAGCTTGGAATGATTATAACTTTCTAATAAAAGTTATTAATTTTTTATGACATTGTTCTCATTCAATACATGAAAGATGAAACCGAGAATATTATATTAACAGAAGGGAAAGATGATAGCACACAAGATTTGGATCTTCCATTCTTTGATCTTGCTACAATAGTTGATGCCACCGATAACTTCTCGATCAAGAATAAGCTAGGCGAGGGTGGTTTTGGACCAGTATACAAGGTACATTTTCAATCTAAACTATTAGTGAGGCTAAAAAATTCATGAATTTCATTATTTATCAAGTTTGATCATATAAAATTTAGGGTATATTGCAAGATGGACAACAAATTGCAGTCAAAAGGCTTTCAAGGAGTTCTGGGCAAGGAATAAAAGAATTTAAGAATGAAGTTATATTGTGTGCCCAACTTCAACACCGCAATCTTGTTAAAGTTCTTGGTTTTTGCGTTGAAGGAGAAGAGAAAATGTTAGTCTATGAATACATGCCTAACAAAAGTCTTGATTCATTTATTTACGGTGAGTGTTTTGTAAAAAGTTTAATAATTGAAAATAGTGAAGTTTGATTTGTGCTATAATTAAGTCATTTTAGAGACAAATTACTAATAAAACCATTGGAAAATCTTCACAGATTCAAGTCAAAGCAAACTTTTAGATTGGCCTATGCGCTTTCACATATTGAATTCAATTGCTCGAGGGCTAATGTATCTTCATCAAGATTCTAGATTAAGGATCATACATAGAGATTTGAAAGCAAGTAATATTTTGCTAGACAATGATATGAATGCGAAGATTTCAGACTTTGGCTTAGCTAGAATGTGTGGAGCAGATCAAATTGAAGGAAATACAAGTAGAATTGTTGGGACATAGTAAGTTTCTTATTGCTAATTTTACAATGAATATTAGATCATTATATCAACTTTTACTTGTTTTCTTGCAGTGGCTATATGGCACCAGAATACGCCATTGACGGATTATTCTCCATAAAATCAGATGTATTTAGCTTTGGCATATTATTGCTTGAAATTGTAAGTGGAAAGAAAAATAGAGCACTTACCTTGCACGAGCACGATAATAATCTTATTGGACAGGTGAGTAACACTTACAAAGAAAATGCTTTTCTTATTATAAACTACTATATAATAGTTGTATTAAATTGTTGTAGGCATGGAGACTGTGGAAACAGGAAATTCCTGAAAAATTGATTGATGCATATTTGACAGGCTCGTGTAATATATCTGAAGCTATTAGATGCATTCATGCTGGTCTTTTATGTTTGCAACATCATCCTGATGATAGGCCAAACATGACATCGGTGGTTGTAATGTTAAGCAGTGAAAATGCTTTACCTCAACCAAATGAACCAGGTTTCCTGATTAAGAAGGTCTCAGTTGAAGGGAAACAATCATTTGAAATACTATCATCATCGGTCAATGAAGTAACTATTTCACTAATGAATGCTCGATAGATAAATTAGATTATTTTTATTGTAGTCTATGAAATTAATTTGTAACTAACGCTTATAACAATATCAATTAGTCACTTTATTTAGTTTTGGTGAAAATACATTAGTTTTAAAAAAATTTAAATAAATGTATTGTTATCAATATATTATGTAATTAGGGATTACAATGAGAGCTGTTGGGGCAAGTTTACCCCTTCTCAAACCTGATTCTTAGTCTCTAAACTTGATCCTGCCCTGCATGTCTTAGTAAAAAAAAAGTAAAATTGTACTGTGGACACATTTTGTCATACAGAACGCAAGCATGGGTAACTGATAGGGTGTTATCAAGATGTACGCTCCACCGGCTTATGATCTTCGCAATGTTTCCTAAGCTTTGTGTGGAATGAATCACAATTGAAAAGAAAGCTTGGCAACGGAGATTTTTTTTTTTTTTCCAAATTAAATCAGCCATTTTAAATGAGCTTAAAATATCCATAGAGAAACCTGAGCTTAAAACCAAATCAAATATTTAAAAGATAGTTGAGTTTCAGAAAACCAGTCCAATTAAAATATCTTTTAAACTTAAAAGATCTCTAATATTTTAGGAAAATTTTAGGACTATAATAACAACTGTATGAGGCACGCAATATTTAACTTAATCTTATAAATTTGCTGAAGTTGCTCAATTTTTTCTTACAAAGTTTACAACCAGTACTATAAAGATGTGTTTGGATAAGGAGATAAAATAAAGTAAAATAAAAAGAGAAAAAAATCTAAAAGAGAAAAATAGAAAATAGAGTGATACTAGAGAGAAAAGGAAATGTTGTTTGAATGAATAGGAAAAGTATTATCTGCTTATTTAAATAAATGAAAAAGATTAGTAAAATAAATAATTAAAATTATTAATAATCGTGATAAAAAAATAAATTAATTATTAAAAATGATTTTTTTATTATAACTTTTTCTTAGAATTTTTTTAAATTTTTATATAAAATAAATGATTTATAAGCAGAAAACACACACACACACGTACGTCCCTCCTCTCCCCTTCAACATTCTGCTAACTTAGAGGATTTTCTTTTCAAGATAGGTCTTTGAAATTTATAAAAAAAAAAAAAAAAACTCTCAAATCTCTTTTCTCTTTCTGTTCAAACATCCAAACCGCTCTTGGTTCTCCTATCTTTTTCTCCAACCAAACATAACCTAAGATACATGTTAAAGAATAAAAAAATATTTTAAAAATAATGTTAATACAATCATACTATTGTTTTTAATGCGTATTAAAATTTAAACACTGGTCTAATCTAAAAGTGGGAGCTTTTTAAGAAAAAGTTAAGTTGTTGTTCACATTATTTACACTACAGTGTATATGCCGTACGTAGACTGGAAACATAGATTTATGCAATTTCTTTTATCTTATTTTGGTGTAAGGAGGTTATGGAAATAAATGAACCTATTTATAAGCATATATATGGCCGCCTATATCATATCACCTTGTCAAATACGGCGACGCAAATGGACCAACTGAGCCCATAATGAACAGTGTCCATCCCATACCATAATTTAGCAAAATCACTTAGACGTCCATAAATATCTTCAACTTTTGTGATAATATAGAACAATTGTTGCAAAATGGCTATTCTTCTTTCTACTATGTTTCTTATTTGCAAACTACTGTTGTTTTTCTCTCAAATTTCTCATGCAATTGATACCATTACTCAGTTTAAGTCACTTCCCGATGGCAGCACCTTAGTTTCTAAAGATGGAAGCTTTGAGTTGGGTTTCTTTAACCCTGGTAGTTCCACAAATCGCTATGTTGGAATTTGGTTCAAAAATATCCCTGTAAGAACCATAGTTTGGGTTGCTAATCGTGACAACCCAATTAAAGACAACTCCAGCATGTTGGTGGTAAGCAAAGAGGGAAACCTTGTGCTTCTTAGACAAAATGGGTCTCTTCTTTGGTCAACCAATGTATCAACCCCGGTTTTGAGTCCCATTGTGCAGCTTGTAAACAATGGGAATTTAGTAATTAGAGATGAGAAGGTTGACAATAGTGAAGAGAATTTTTTGTGGCAGAGCTTTGACTATCCTTGTGATATATTGTTACCAGGAATGAAGTTGGGATGGAACCTAAAAACTGGTCACAACCGGCGTCTTACTGCTTGGAAAAATTGGGATGACCCATCTACAGGAGACTTCACTTCAGGTCAGAGTTATTAGATTCTTATGATTTACGTTGACTTAATATATGATTAACTTTGTTTTAATCTTCAAAAATATTATTTCTTCATTTTTATCACTTTACAATAACGTGACATACATTTAATCATATTATATCAGTAACTATTTTAAGATATAAATGATGTAACATGAAAAAAATTGATGTGATAACTTTTATGATTTGGTGCAATCTATAATTGATGATTTAAATCTCAATTTGATAACTAATTTAGGTATAAAGCTTGGAAGCAATCCTGAATTGGTATTTTGGAAGGGTTCGGTTGAATACTACAGGAGTGGCCCTTGGAATGGCATTTTGTCTAGTGGAGTATTTGGATTCGGACCAAATCCACTTTTCGATTATAAATATGTCAGCAATGAAAATGAAGTGTATGTCACATATACCCTAAAAAATAGTTCTGTGATTTCAATACTGGTTTTAAACCAAACCCTTTATCTTCGTTCACGCATTACATGGATTCCTCAAACAAGAACTTGGAGTGTATACCAATCCCTACCACAAGATAGCTGCGATGTATATAATGTTTGTGGCGCATATGGGAATTGTATCATTAATTCATCGCCAATATGCCAATGCTTAGAAGGATTCGAACCAAAATCATCCCAAAATTGGAATGCAATGGATTGGACTCAAGGGTGTGTACGCAGTGAACCATGGAGTTGTGGAGTCAAACACAAAGATGGTTTTCGTAGATATGTTGGGATGAAATTGCCTGATACCACACATTCTTGGATAAATAGAAGTATGACACTTGAAGATTGCAAGATCAAATGCTTGGAAAATTGCTCTTGCACAGCTTATGCTAACTTAGACACAAGTGGAGTTGGTAGTGGTTGCTCTCTTTGGTTTGGTGATCTTATTGATTTGAGAGTTTCAGAAAGTGGGCAAGATTTATATGTTCGAATGGCTAATTTAGATAAAGGTAAAGACAATAGTATTCAAACTTTTTTATTCTATAATTAATTAGATTTCCATTGCTTTTATTTAGGAATCATAAGAGCTTCAATTCTTTGTCCAACTATACATGCAGATGCTAAACATGGGCGTCCAAAAAAGCTAGTCTTGGTCCTCGCGACCATAGTTTCGTTAGTCCTTGTGATGCTATTGGCTTTCGTCTACATTTACATGACAAAAGCAAAGTATAAAGGTAAATTTTTTAGCCATAAAACCACTTTCATTTCTTAAAAGTTGGAACACCCAAATAGTAAAATGTTCAACACAATTATATTAGAATTGAAAATTTCAGCAGATCTTTTTTACTTGTGTTTCTTCTTTATGGCTATTGAGGCAGTCTTTTCTTGTTTAGAATAGTGAATATACATGATTCATATGAATAAATTTCCTTCATTATAGGTGTAAGATATAATATTATTTATTGTATTACATTAAAGTGATACTTAAGGTATTTGACATCATCTGTTACCAATCATGAAATTAATGAGAGGATATATATTGAATAGAAAATTCTATACGTTTGTCTTTTGTGTTGTGTACATGTACGCACATTTAATATCTTTCTATGTTGCTTGAGCCATCCATATTTGCTAGGTGTGTTCACTTAAAACCTTTCAATGCAATAGCGTTGTGTGGGGCTTCAAGTTTTTCTAACAATCTATTTAAAGTTTTGACTCTTTTTTTTTTTGTTTTAAAAAATGGAATGACGACAGAAGAGAAAGGTAAAGGCAGACAAGAAGATTTAGAGTTACCTTTCTTCGATCTTGCTACAATAATTAATGCCACCAATAACTTTTCAATTGACAACAAGCTTGGCGAAGGTGGTTTTGGGCCTGTATACAAGGTAACTTTGCAACCTTTCTGTTTATAAGGTTAAAGAAAATACACTATTTTCATTATTTATTAATTTTTCATATTTACAAATTTTAGGGTACATTATTAAACGGACAAGAAATTGCAATTAAAAGACTTTCAAAGAGTTCCGGACAAGGATCGAAAGAATTTAAGAATGAAGTGATATTGTGTGCTAAACTTCAACATCGAAATCTTGTTAAGGTTCTTGGTTGTTGCATTGAAGGAGAAGAGAAAATGTTACTCTATGAGTACATGCCTAACAAAAGTCTCGATTCCTTCCTTTTTGGTAAATGACACTTTATTCTAAAAGCTTGATAACAACATTCTTTAATGAAAATTCTAATCAACTTATTCAAAAATTTTGTCAGATTCGACTCAAAGTAAAATTTTAGATTGGCCTACACGCTTCAACATCTTATGTGCAATTGCTCGAGGGCTTCTTTATCTTCACCAAGATTCTAGATTGCGGATTATACATAGAGATTTAAAAGCAAGTAATATTTTATTAGACAACAGCATGAATCCAAAAATTTCAGATTTTGGCCTAGCTAGATTGTGTGGGGCTGATCAAGTTGAAGGCAATACAAATCGAATTGTTGGGACATAGTAAGTATATTTTAAGGTCAATGCTTAATTTTTACATTGATGTAACAAATCATTAAATTAATTTTTGTGTGGTTGCTTTCAGCGGATACATGGCACCTGAATATGCAATTGATGGAATATTCTCCATAAAATCAGATGTATTTAGCTATGGCGTATTATTGTTGGAAATTGTTAGTGGAAAGAAAAACAAAACACTTACCTATGAAGACCGTGATTATAATCTTACTGGACATGTGAGTAACAAATAGAAAAAAAAAATATTTTTTATATAACTAAACCATAAATAACAATTACATTGAATTATTGCAGGCATGGAGATTATGGAAAGAGGGTACCCCAGAGCAATTGATTGATGGTTGTTTGGTAGACTCATGTAATATAACTGAAGTTGTACGATGCATTCAAGTTGGTCTTTTATGTTTGCAACATCATCCCAATGATCGGCCAAACATGACATCTGTGGTTGTGATGCTTAGTAGTGAAAATGTTTTACTTCAACCTAAGGAACCTGGTTTCTTATTTAAAAATGTTTCAATTGAAGGAGAAGAGTCTTCTGATAAACAAACATCTTCTATCAATGAAGTAACAATCTCACTGTTAAATGCTAGATAGAACAATTTGTTTATTTAAATATTGGATATGAATTTCTATAATTAGTAGATGAGAGTTAAACTATATGTTTATCATTATTTAATTACAATGAAATACATACATACATATATATATATATATATATATATATATGTACTTTTTATTTTAAACCAATATTTTGGCAAAGTTAATGTTCGCCTTGCATATAGAAAGTATTAAACTAGTTGTTAACAACTACACACCCAAAGTCCATAAATTGTATTTTGAGTGTTAACTGAAATCTAGTTCAATCTTCGATAACAAGTAACTTAACACACACATATTATTAATTGATATTATGTGCTAAATTTGTATATTTACACCAATTAAGTTAGTAGCTGAGTCATATAAAAGCTAATTTTACTAATGAGAAACATGACAGAAGATTTTCAATCTCATAAAATATATAAACATAATTTTAAATAATAAATATGAATTAATAATTTTTTGTGTGCACTTAACATATATTTTCAAATAATAAAATTTAAAATAATTAATTTAAAATATTTTATATAATTTTTAATTTTAATAAATTTTATAAATTTAAAATAAATATTATAATTATTAATAGTCATTTAAGTATTCACACTAATCATCATATACTTTGCTATTTTATTGATTTTTGAGGTTTCAATACACTTAGAAATCAAGACATAAGTTTGGAAATTCAAAATTTCAATCACTCAATTCTCCTTCTCCAAAGTTTGTGAAGTCATCTTGCACAACAACGGATTATTGCATGAAAAATTTGAACTATAAACAAGGCAGAAAGCAAAATAAAATAAAATAAATTAATATAAGATGTTTGACTTCACTTATATTGTTTACTTTTACCTATTTTTTATAATTTATATTTATCATCAACTATTTATTTTAAATCCATTAATTTAACTCTAGCCAAATGATCATGCTGGATATGAAATTAAAAAAGTATTATGATCCAACAAATTTATCAATTCAACAACAGATTAATAGTTTAGAATTAAGATTTATCACAAAATTTTAAATTCAGTATTCCGTAGTTGATAATATTTTATTATCTACCACACAACTAACTTAAATAATGATAAAATTGATCATATCTTGATAACAATTAAAGTAGTAATTTAAATCTCATTAAAATAAAAACATAAATTTATTTAAAAAATTAAAACAAAATTCGTAATATAAGATTGAACATAACTCTTAAATTGAAAAAATAAATAAATAAATAAACCAAGTAATGTTGAAGATACAGTGGATCGAATATCAAGAAGCCATTTTGGGGTCTAAACACTTATTTTGTCCATCACGTAAGACGTGCTTTCAACAGCCTTTATTGCCAACCAATTGCAGACATACACTTAGATTTTTTTCCTTCTTCTTCTTTGGTCTCTGACAAACATTTAATGTGCAACTAATTCTGTAAAAGCACGTTTAAGTCTGTAGCTTTTGCAGAATGCTTTTATACAGTCCAAATGCATCCCACGCAATTATAGAAGGGAGATCCATTATATATAATATTGATTAAAACATTTTAAACAATCATCTTATCTTTTATCTCTGTAAATCATTTTACTTATTAAATAAAAATATTAATTTTTTTATATCCTGAAGATAATAAATATTTAAACTTTTTATTTAATATTTACTTTATAAAATTGCAAAAAAAAAAAATGCAAGAGAATATAACAAAGCCCCAATGTAAAGATAAAAAAGAAATAGGAATTTACTTTAAAATCAAGATTTAAAATTTAATGAATAATGAAAAGATTCATATCAATGCTTTTAATCTCACCTATTCAAATAATTTAAAATGAATTTACTTATATTATTTCTCCAATAATTGAACTTATGCCTGCGCCTTGTAGACCAGGGCAAGGGCATGTAGCGATCGAGGGACAGGGCTTTGTTCTTATCATTAGACGCAACTGAGTTTGACCAATGCCTTCTTATCATTACAATGAACGTTTTGTTGAATGTAATTTCTATATGATATAATTTTAAGCGAAATATGTATCTTAATATTACACCATATAAATTTGTTATAATCTTAATGCTTTTGAGACTTCTATATGTATCATTCATAAAAGAAAAAAGATATGTTTGAGACAAGGTTTTGACTTGAATGTGAGTGCTTCTCCTATTGAAATTTCAAGTTTTGGTTCAGCCTTTTATTAGGAACTATCGCCTTCTGCTAGAAAAAATAACCATTTATGTTCATAATAATCTTATTAACACAGCATTGTATTAAATTTAATTTCATAATATAATTTAAAATTTTAAAAACATTTGTAAACGTACCATTATATAGTTGTTTACAATTTAACATTACATTTATATTTAATTTTTAAATAATTAACAATAGTAAGTCTGAGAGAACAAAATTGATTTAATCATTTCATTATATTTTGTGTAATTATAATTACCGTATGTTTATAAAAGGAAAATGACACTTATTTTCGGAACATGTCTTGTTCATTTACAATATTTGAAATTTTTTTTAATATCATATGATTTTAATAAATTCGTTGAATTATACTATATTTTGTTAATGGTCAGGGAAACTAAATTTTAAATGTATTTTAGCATTCATAAATTGTGTACATCTTGTTATCGGTTAAAGTAATAAAAGTTTTGCCTTTACAAAACTTTTTTTTATGCTATTGACTACTTCATAAGAATATTCGATCCAATAATTATATTAATGAATCAGTGATATGAATAGTACAGCTACACCGATGCATTATGAAATCAGCAATGCTATTTTGTCGGTATACATTATGTGATCATAAATAATATAAGCCTCCAAAAGCAAGGACCTTCAGCGACCCATGCATGAGATCATGTCTACCCCCCAATGTTGATGCCTATGGCACTATTCAGATTAATACTTACAACTCCCTCAATAAATGTGCATGTATACATTCATCTTCAACTTGAATGATCGATCGTGGGAATTAATCAATTAGCACAATGACAATTTTCACTGTCACACTTGTTATCGCCAAGCTATTCTTCTTCTTCTTCTTCTCTTCAAAAGCTTCCTCAACAACCGATACCATTACCCTCTTACAACCACTTCCCGATGGAAGCACCTTGGTGTCCCAAAATGGAACCTTTGAGTTGGGTTTCTTTTCTCTAAGAAATTCCACAAATCGGTATGTGGGAATTTGGTTCAAAAATATACCAATAAGAACCATTGTTTGGGTTGCCAACCGTGACAATCCTCTCAAAGACAACTCCAACATGTTGAGTATAAGCAAGGGAAATCTTGTCCTTCTCAACAAAAATGGCACGGTTCATTGGTCAACAAATGCAACAAGAAGGATCTTGAGTCCCATTGTGCAACTCTTAGACACGGGAAATTTAGTACTTCGAGACAAGCACGGCAATAACGACCTTGAAAATTTCTTGTGGCAAAGCTTTGATTATCCTTCTAATACATTATTACCAGGAATGAAGCTAGGATATGATAAAAAAACCGGTTTCAATCGACATATAACTTCTTGGAAGAATTGGGATGACCCTTCTCCTGGGAACTTTACTTGGGGTATCACACTTGATATCAATCCTGAAATGGAACTATGGAATGGTTCAGTTAAGGTCCATAGGAGTGGCCCTTGGAACGGTGTTAGATTCAGTGGTGCATTTAGTGGTTCAAATGTGTTAAGCACTCACCCACTTTATGTTTATAAACTGGTCAATAATGACGATGAGGTGTATTACACATATAACCCAACAAACAAGTCTGTGATTTCAATTGTTGTTATGAACCAAACCATTTATAGTCGCCAGCGCATCATTTGGATTCCGGAAAATGGAACATGGAGGCTTTTCCAAACAACACCAAGAGATATATGTGACACTTATAATCCTTGCGGCCCATATGCAAATTGCATGGTTAATGGATCACTAGTTTGTCAATGTTTAGAAGGATTTGCTCCAAATTCGTTCCAAAATTCAGAGACAAATGATTTGGTAGTGCAAGGATGCGGGAGAAGTGAACCTTGGGCTTGTAAGGTCCAAGGCAAAGATGGTTTTCGAAGATTTGTTGGGTTGAAATTTCCAGATACTACGCATTCTTGGATTAATAGAAGTATGACACTCGAGGATTGCAAGGCCAAATGCTATGAAAATTGTTCTTGCACTGCTTATGCAAACTTAGATGTAAGAGGAGGAGGTAGTGGTTGTTCCATTTGGTTTGGTGATCTTATTGATTTGAAAGAGGTTTCACAAAGTGGGCAATTTCTATATGTTCGAATGGCTAATTCACAAAAAGGTAAAAGTTTTGCTCTTCATCCAAGTTCTAACATCATTGATGATTTTAATTATTTTGGATGAGGACTACTGATATTGCTAATTCAATTATTTTTTTCAACTTGTAAATGTAGATGGTATTGATGACCATAAGAAAATGGCAGTTCTGATAAGTGCAACCATACTTCCTACTGTTCTCGTGATACTATTATTGGCGATCTCCTTCAACTACTGGAGAAAACGAAAGAATAAAGGTATATTTTGCAAGATCATATATAACCCTCTCCATTGTTCCAGTGTTGAATTTTGTTTATATATGTTCCAGATTTTTATATTTATCTCATGTAGTTTCATGTTTATTGAATTTATTGCTTATACTTTTTTTTATATCACTTAACTTTCTTATATTTTATTTTTGGGTCACTGAATCTTTTTATAGTGCTATTCTTTTATCACTTTAACCTAAGAAGGTCAATCGATAGAGAAAAAGTATATATATACTGTTAGATTTAAGTTAAATAAAAAAATCAAATCAAATGTGTAAAATTTTTTAGATTTACACATAGATAAGAAGAATTTGCCGCTATATCTATATATATATATATATATAAACCTCACAAAAACCCTTGCTATATTTTAAAAAATTGATGGCGGTCTCGTTAATTAATCAAGGAAAAAAGACGTTTATAACGGAGAAAGATGAAGCTGGTGGACAAGAAGACATGGAACTACCAATGTTTGATCTTGCTACATTGGTTAACGCCACCAACAATTTCTCAATTGATAACAAACTCGGGCAAGGTGGTTTTGGGCCAGTATACAAGGTAAATTAGCACCATCCCCTTATTTGAATTTGATTCTTCTGAAGTATGAAACGGTGTAAAACGAGAAAGTAAAACTTTATTTACTATTAGTTTAAATTTAATTAGATAGAGTTTAACTTTTTCAATTTAGATATTTTTTCACTATAGAGGAATGAAATCCCACCTATTTATAAGAAAGAATGAATCTTACATTTGTTTATTGAAATAAATAAATCACCATTTTATCAATTTTTTCAAACTATGAAATTTAGGGTGTACTATCAAATGGACAAGAGATTGCTGTCAAAAGACTATCAAGGAGTTCTGTACAAGGATTAAAAGAATTTAAGAATGAAGTTATGTTGTGTGCCAAACTTCAACATCGAAATCTTGTCAAAGTTCTTGGTTGTTGCATTGAAGAAGAGGAGAAGATGCTTCTCTATGAATACATGCCCAACAAGAGCCTCGACTTGTTTCTTTTCGGTTAGTACGCAAAGCTTGATATGCCTATGGAAGTTATACTTCTTTCAAAATCTTATTGAAAAAGAAAGACACTACCAAACATAATGAAACAATCTTGACAGATTCAACACAAAGCAAGATTTTGGATTGGCCTAAGCGCTTTCAAATTTTATGTGCAATTTCTCGTGGACTTCTTTATCTTCATCAAGATTCTAGATTAAGGATAATACACCGAGATTTAAAAGCGAGCAACATTTTACTAGACAACAACATGAACCCAAAAATTTCAGATTTTGGCTTGGCCAGAATGTGTGGAGGTGATCAAATTGAAGGAAATACAAATAGAGTAGTAGGAACATAGTAAGTATCATTGATGATATGACAATTTTGTTGTGCAACACAAAACTTGAACTAACTTTTTTTTTGTGTGTTCCTTTCAGTGGTTATATGGCACCCGAATATGTTATCCATGGATTATTCTCTACAAAATCAGATGTATTTAGCTTTGGCATATTACTACTGGAAATTATTAGTGGAAAGAAAAACAGAGAACTTACCTATCCATACCATAGTCATAATCTCATTGGGCATGTGAGTTATACAAATAACTTTAGTTTCCTAAGATTAAATCAATAAATAACAATTATTTTTGTTTTTGTAGACTTGGAAGTTATGGAAAGAAGGCATTCCAAAGGAATTGATAGATACTTGTTTGGCCGACTCTTGTAATCTATCAGAAGCCTTACGATGCATTCATATTGGTCTTTTATGTCTACAACATCAACCAGCTGATCGACCAAACATGGCATCTGTAGTTGTTATGTTAAATACTGAGAGTGAATTGCTCCAACCAAAGGAACCTGGTTTCTTAATAGATAGAGTCTTAAATGAAGATTCTCAATATAGAAACCAAACATCTTCAACAAATGAAATAACTATTTCACTCATGGATGCTAGATAAGAGAAATTGTTTTATCTCTCGCACATGTCATTTAATTTCGTAATTGTGAAATTAATTAATAGTTTGAAAGTGACAATTTCCTAAATTTAAGAGTTTTTGGTGTAATTAACACCCTTATGCCATGTAATTCTTAACTAAGTATCATTTTCTTTGTGTTCATAACTAACACAGGTTTATAAATAGTTAGACGTGTTAATTATTAGATTTAAATATGTTTTTAGTGTATATAATTATGGTTTAATTAGTTTGATCATATGGAAATTCTTTGTTAATTTTAGTTTTCATAATTTTTATTTTTTATAAATGATCTCTTTCATTGTAAAATAATGAAATTATATTTAGATATATATAAGATTATCCTGTCTCAGAAACCAGTAAGGAAAAGTGACCAAGAAGTGCTTAGAACTCTCAAACAGGACAAGAGAGAACTAGAGCTTGAAACTCTTAATAGAGAATGAGAATTTACTTCTTCAACTTAATGCCAAAATGAGGAGTACAATGGGGTATTTATAGTATTACAAGGATGGTTCTAGAACATAGATTATTTTATAGTAGATATTAAATAAGATAATTCTAGATTAGAGATGTTTCTAGAGAATGATTAAGTCTAGAGTAAGGATATTTCTAGACTAGAGATATTTTTAGATATTGGGCCATACTTCCCTGGTTGGAAAAGACTCGTCCTCGAGTCTAAGTATTATCTTCATAATAAGATGATAGATCTGCAACGTTGAATGTAGCAGAAATTTCGTATGACTCAGGCAGTTCTATCTTATAAGCATTGTCATTGATCTTCTGTACTACTCGGAATGGTCCATCTGCTCTTGGAGACAATTTAGCATTTTGCTGCTTTGGAAATCTATCCTTCTGCAGATGAATCCATACCAAATCTCCTTCTTTGAAAATAGCATGTCTTCGATGCTTATCTCGTTGAGTTTTATACTTGGTATTTTCCTTCTCAATTTGTGCTCGAACTTGCTCATGAAGCTTCTTAATCTCCTTTGCTCTTTGGTCAGCATCAGCACTGAACTGGTTATTAGTGGGAATAGGGATCAAGTCCAATGGGCTAAAAGGTCTAGTACCATACACGAGCTCAAATGGACATTTTCCAGTAGCAGGATTACTGGAATTGTTGTAGGCGAACTCAACTTGAGGTAAGATAAGATCCCATTGTCGAAGATTCTTCTGAACAAAGCTTCGTAGTAGATTTCCCAGAAGTCTATTTTTTGCCTCTGTTTGTCCGTCAGTCTGGGGGTGGCTATCACTGCTGAACTGTAGTTTAGTGCCCATCTTCTTCCATAGAGTCCTCCAAAAATGGCTTAAGAATTTAACATCTCTATCCGAAGTGATGGTTTTGGGAATTCCATGAAGTCTCTCCTTGAAGAATAGATCGGCAATGTGAACAGCATCATTGGTCTTTTGGCAAGGTATGAAATGGGTCATTTTAGAGAACCGGTCCACGACCACCATTACTGAGTCCTTCTGTCGTTGTGTACGAGGTAATCCTAACACAAAATCCATGCCGATATCCTCCCATGGTGCAACTGGTACTGGAAGAGGTAGGTATAGCCCAGTGTTTTGGCTTGTGGACTTGGCAAGGTGACATATTCGACACCTTTGAATGTGACGAATAACATCCCTTTCAAGTCTCGGCCAATAGAAGTTTTTTTTTATTAAGGCTATTGTCTTGTCTCGTCCAAAGTGTCCGGCTAATCCTCCGTCATGTGCTTCCCAAATGATTGCTTCTCTTAAGGAGCATTGGGGAATACACAAGACATTGTTTTTGAATAGGAATCCTTGTTGTCGATGGTAATGTTGGAAAGGTTGATTTTCTGTAGAGCTCCAAATGTTCCGGAAATCTGGATCATCTTGATACAATTTCTTAATAATTTCAAAACCTACTACCTTCATCTGCATTGTAGATAGTAATGCATGCCGTCGACTTAGCGCATCTGATACACTGTTTTGAACCCCCGACTTGTGTTTAAGCAGAAATGGATAGGCTTGAAGGAACTCACTCCAAGATGCATGTCTACAACTTATCTTTTGTTGAGAATTCAAGTGTTTCAAGGCTTCATGATCTGTATAAAGGATAAATTCCTTAGGAAGCAGATAGTGACTCCAATTAGGGATGACAATGGGTAAAGTACCCGATGGGCACCCGCAAAATTTACTCACAATGGGTAGATATTTACCCGCTATACGGGTACGGGTATGGGTGTGGGTAAAAACCTGCAAATTTTAATAAGGATGGGTGCAGGTATGGGTATCTAAGTACCCACCCCGCCCCATACCCGCATATATATATATATATATATATATATATATATATATGCTTGAACTTTATTTTACAATTATGCATTGAATTTTTGTATTATTATATTACTTATGTGAAGTTATATAAGATTAATATTAAAATATATTTAATAATAAAGTAAACCAAAAAATTTATTTTAGTTTATATTTTTAATAGAAAAATTTATTTACTATTTTATATCATTTAATTAGGCTAATACAATTTAATTATTACATAGTTAATATGATATTGACTTTTTTTAAAATATTATTTATATATGACACACATAAAATATTTTTTACACAAATATTTTTGTTAATAAAATCATACTGATGTTTAAATCATAAAGTGAATGATAAATAATAAATATATTGTAAATATTTTATAAATTTTATAATCACCTACTATTACCGTAAACTTATTATTTATTAATGATATTTAAATTTTATTTTTTTATTTTAATTTAAATAATATTTTTCTATGCAACATATGTATTACAAGCACAACTATAATCTATTGAATCTAAATAATATTATTTTTACTATTTATTCACGTTCAAAGAAGTTTTTGAAAAGATATAAATATAAAAAATTATTGTTAATTTTTATTTGTTAATTTTTTCATATAAAAAAGTATAATTTTTTTAATATACACGTATATTTCTTTATTATAAAATTTTATTGTAACTATTTATCTTTTATTCAAATTCTTTCTTTTAAAATTTATATACATTATAAATATTTAATTCATTAAAATAATTTTTCAAAAATTTATATTTTTGATAAAATTCTTTCGTATAATATATGAGTTAAAAATATTAGTATTAATATATATATATATATATATATATATATAATTTTAATTAAATCTATTATTTTTCTTACAATTTTAAATTCAAAAGTTAAAAACAATATTTTATGTATTCACTTTCTGTTGTTAGTATTGAATTTCTCTACTCTAACTCTATTCTCATTCTCAATGACTCTCTCATTAAAACCTAACAACTATAAAACATTATTTATTAGAGTTAGTTGTCAATGTCGTCACAAGAGGTCACTAAGTGATCCCACACAAAGGGACAACCATTGTATAGATCTATTTCGTTGTCGTTCTAACGTTACCAATCATCAAATCTCACACAAGATAGGGTTATCACTGACAAATAACTTATGTGTTTAGTTTCGCTTATTGTTTCTAAGAATTTTAGTTTAGAAAATTATTATATTAAGATACATTTAACATTTATGATTTTTGAATATTTGTTTTTATCTATGTTTGTACCTTATTCGGCAACTACATATTGAATTTTTGTATTATTATGCTATTTAGGTGAAGTTATATAAACATATTTTTCTTTATAAATATTTTTTTTCTCAAACAAGCGCGGGTAATGGGTACAAGATGGGTATGCGAGTATCCAGAGGGTATGGGTACGGGGATTAATATTCATACCCACGCGGGTATAGGACCGGGTACGGGTATTTTTTTAAAACTCGGGTATGGGGATGGGTACTATAGTACCCTACCCATACCCTACCTATTGCCATCCCTAACTCCAATGTTGCAGTGCTCTCACAATAGCATAGAACTCCTTATCATAGGTGGAGTATTTGAGTTTAGCATCATTTAGCTTCTTGCTAAAGAAAGCTATAGGCTTTCCTTCTTGACTGAGAACGGCGCCAATGCCGCTATTCAAAGCATCACAGCTTACTTCGAACACTTGATCAAAGTTAGAAAGTGCTAAAACTGAAGCTTCAGTTAGTCGTCTCTTCAACTCATCAAAACTATTTTGAGTGCGTTCTGACCATTGAAATTTATCTCTTTTAATACAATCTGTAAGCGGGGCAACAATAGAGCTAACATTCTTTATGAATCTTCGATAGAACGAGGCTAATCCATGAAAGCTTCGTACTTCTTGCACAGAGTTAGGGGTAGGCCAGTTGATGATTGCTTCAACCTTGCTAGGATCAACCTTGACACTGTGACACCTTAATGTCACAAACTTCAAATACGATAAACGTATATCTAAGGGCATAATATTTTATCGTAATATTCACACAATTTCGTAAATATAGGAGTTAACGTGCATAACCAAATATTCATTTAATTACTTGTAATTTAAGTGTATATCATCCGTAACATTCTTTTCATTTATCATTTAATCAATCTAAGTGTAATTTTTAAAGTTAAACTTATTTGTCAAGCGAAATTTAGAATTAACTAATTTACCATACATGGTCACAAACGTAATTCATTTGGAGACTAATAAAAGATAAAAGAGATCCCAACACATGTCACACCCCTGGGAGAACAAAACTACACATCATCCAAAGCATTCAAAAAGTAACTAACAATCCCTAATTTAATTCTCCCAAAATTCCCATCATGCAAAAAGAAAGGGGTACACACACGTGGATATACATAACACTAAGTCAATCCAGAGGAGTATACTCCTCTGAGGGATCAGAGTCAGGCGAAGTAGAGAGGGTAGCGTCCGGGTCAGAAGGCAAACTGGGCAGGTCCTCGTCTACATCTTCCAGCCAGCCAGGAGTAGATGGAGGTATGCGAGAGTATGGAGAGGACAGGGGTGGTGAGGGACTACGGTGTGAGGGTCCAGCCTCATCAATGGGTGTCAGTCGGCGGGGTGGAGTAGGAGGGCGAGGTCTGACGGATGACTCAATCACCTGAATATCCACACACTCGG